CGGGCACGGACCAGACCTGGTTGGCGTCGACCATGAGGATGTTGCCGCTGTCGTAGCCAATGACCTCGCGGGCGATGCTCAGGCGCCTCTTGTCCTGCTCGACGCTGCTGCCGACCTTGAGCTTGAAGTGGCGGTATCCCTTGCCGAGGGTCTCCTGGAGGAGTCCCTTCATCTTGTCCTCGCCGTAGCCGAGCCAGCCGGCGCTGGTGGTGTAGGCCGGGACGGCGCGGCTGTTCTCGGCGTCCTTGATGCGCTGGGCCTTTGTGGGCTCCTGCTCCTTGAGGAGCTGGATGGCCTCCTCGGGGGTGATGGCGTCGGTGATGTAACGGAAGTCAATGCAGGCGACAAACTCCTCGGGAGACATGTCGGCGACGATGCGCCAGACGGGCTTGCCGAGGACCTTGGCCCACAGATCCCAGATGGCGTTGACGACGGAGCCGAGGGCCAGGTGGATGACACCCTTCTCGGGACCGATCCATCTCAGCTGGCTGTCGTTGACGAGGTATCTCCAGGTCTGGCCCCAATTTGAGACGAGGTCTGACAGCTTCTTGCCCTTGATTCTCTCGACCAGGTAGTCGATCGCCTTGCAGACAATATCGTTCCCTCGGCCGATTGTGAAGGTCTAGAAAGGGAGAGAGGGGTGAGCGACTTTGCGAGACTAGCTACGTGTGGAATCGGGGGAAGCATACCATGCCGTGGCCAGAGTACTTGGAGTCGGTCTCGAGAATGCAGTAGGCGGCAGAGTAGTCACCAGCAGCGTTCATGGCATCGGAACCGGTCTTGTCCAGGGAAGTAGGGAAGCGCACATCGCGCGTCTGCCATCCGGTGATAGTGATATCGAGACTCATGGTGGGCAATTGACTGAGAACGAGAACAATAGACAACTAGAGAGAAACACGGACCGTGATTCTTGGAGGAATGACTGCGGACGGCAAGGAGAATGGAGGAGGGAAGAATAGAGGAAATTGCAACATCACAAAGCAACAGCAGAGAGATTTGAGACCTTTATAGCCTCCGACGATGCGTTTCTTCTTCCCCCCCCCCCCCTCGCCTTTGCCAATGGCCAGGCCACTCACGGGCCACGACCCTCTACTTTTTCCCACCTCGCTGACTTTTACTTTACCCCGAGTCTGGAGTTGGGTCGGAGGGGCAGTCTGTTGCTAGCACTGAACAGCATGAGGGGGACGGAAGAATGGAGGGGGAGGGGCTTCAGTGGAGGGGCATGCGCCGGAGAGGGTCCCTTTTGGTGGGTCTTGGCAGCAGGAAACAACCCGGCCCAGAGACGGCGTGCCAGCGCGGGGGGTTCGCCAGGCCGAGCCGGCTTCGGACCCATCCCCTTTGTGGCTTCTGATTGATGGAGAAATTCCTCCGCCTCGACAATTAGCGTGCCTCGTGCTCGGTGTACGCTCCGCCAGACCCAAGGCCTCGTGCCTCGCAGATGTTGGCGATGTTCGTTGGTGTTGGGTGGGGGGAGCGAATGAGGAAGGAAGAATCCGATCAGAACAATTTCTCTAGTTCCCCGGCATTCGGGGTTCATGTGGCTGGAATTTGATGTTGCGTCCTTAGCCGTGATGAATTCATCTAACGCACGCATGTAATTCTCCGTGAAGTGTATGCAGAAGTTAGAACGGCTCTAGACGGCATCCCAGTGCCAATGGGGCCGTTCTCTCTGCGTTTGCGCTCATCGAGTTGACTTGGCGGCATTGGCGAACGAAGAGCGTGACAATCGAATCCCTCATTGGACTGTACCAACATCTGTACCCTCAACAAGTTGTCCCTCCAAACTGTCTGCTTAAGAAGGCGATCCTTCGTAAGACGCCCAGTTGTGTGTATGGTTCTCGGAAAACCGGTCAATTCTTGATGTCGAATCAAAGAGCGAACCTTGAAACTGGTGACTGCGAAAGACAAGGCCTGGGGTTTGCACATCCCGCCAAGCATGCCCTACGAAAAGAGTAGATAGTTCACGATGCAATGTGGGACTTGGCAGGGGACCCAAGGGCGGCATACCGTATCATCTAAGACGATTGCTGCCAAGAGAGGATCCTACATCTGCATGGCGTTGTCTCGCTCTCTAGCGCTTGGGTGAGATGTTCTTGATGAACACCCGGGCTGACGGTAGGGGTGAGACGCTTGCGGGCGGATTCGAGAAGCTCGATAACTTCTCCGAGACCACCGGACCGCGCCACTTGCTCGGCCGAGACTTCAAAGTACCGACGATTTCCACGCTGGAATAGGGACTGTGCCTGACTACTTTGGTCAACCTCAAGGGATGCCAAGTAGTCCTCTAGTATAGTGTCAGCGCTGAGGGGACTCGGCACGCTCCATCGATCACCCGGGGCGGGCCACGGCTTCTCCGCCTCCCGCAGATGGGCCGGATCCACGACAACGTAGAGAGTACGGAGAGTACGGGAGCCCCACAAGGTTAGCAGGCCGTTCAAAGCCTCTGAATTGTAAAATGAACTTCGACCGTCAGAGGGGCCGACTTGGTGAGGCCCAGGCCAGGCGAGGGCCAGACAACGCAGTGGGGTGGGCACATGAAGACGAAAAACGCCGGCAGTGCTGATCAGACGGCAGGGCCACTGCCATCCAGTGTTGAGAATGATGAGATCCTCCATGGCGTCAACTTCCATGTGGTATGCGCCCAAAGAATCGCCACCTCGCAGTATGAGGGTGTAGGAAGATGAATCACCGCCTCGGAGAAGAAATGGATGAGAAGGTTTGGTGAACTTGAGAGCGCGTGTTGCTACGAGATAGGAGCGATGACAGGCGAAAAGCATGCCAAAGAGAGTGGACATGACGCAGTCGCGATCTGAGAGATGAGGGGAACCAGAAGTGCGAAGTCTGTAAAGAAGAACTCTATCTTTGATGTTGTAGCGGTCGATAGAGCCATCCTCGGCGCGGCCCATGGGATGGCGGGCCAGTTGAACATGGAAAGCGGTCGGGGCGGGCGGGGGAAGGGCAGCCTCCCAAACCTTGTCTTGCAGCTCCAAAGGTAGATTGGGAAAAAGAGTAAAGTCAACCATGGCTGATGATGATTATGATGGTGGTGGTAAGGTGGAATAAAGTTGTTGTAGGTGGTGTAGGCGATGCCGATGCCAATGCCCATTGACTTTTAGATGAGGGCTGATGGATGAGATGGCGAAGACGGGTGGCTGTCGTCCAATACCGGAGCGCAGTCCGGGATGCTTGGACGACGATGGAGGGGTTCCGGAGGCGAGTTTAGTATATCGGCGTCGATCTTGGAGGACGCAAGGGGTTTGTTGGTTGAGAAGGCGAATGGCAGCTGAAGATGAGGAGGGGAACTAGCGAACAAGAGACGGAGGCAACAAGGCGATTGTTGGTTCGAGGACGATTCAATGCAGAGCAGAGAATGCGGGGAAGTTTGCAACCGTTGATTGGCTCATTGCGGCGTTGGGATGATGTCGAGCCTCGAGGTAGATGAAGCACGTCGCGCAGGGACAAAAGTGGCGGAAAATCAAGTTGTCAGGGTTGAAGGTGGGAGGAGGTGGGAACTGGGAATATGTCACTGTCCTGGATTACCACAGTAGAACTTCGTAGTGGATGAGGCTTTTCATGGGCCAATCGACACGGGGACGGGCAAGACGGGGGAGCCTTCCGACGTTCCGCCTGGCCTCTGGTCTCTGCCTGCCCCGAGCGCCTATTTTACCTAGTGTACAGTACGTACTCCGGACCTGTACGTACACCAACCCAGAAACACCAGTTTTCTAACCCACTTCAACTTGCAAGAGAAATGTTACTCAAAGATCATCAGGGGAGTATTCAGACTTGGATTCTCTAGACGGAACACCTGATCACCACGGTAGGCTATTCGCGAGATTTCACCACCGTTGCCCCGATGCCACCCGTCTAATCTCTGACCCCAACTCCGAACTCACTCCCGCTCACCGCGAACCATCCGACATGCCGTCCATCCATTGCAGTCGCAGCCCATCGTCACACGCAGCCCACCGTTGAGCGAATGCGAGTTGAGATATAACCCCGGCCAGCGATCGGGACAGCCCACCAACTCCCAGGCCACATCCCTGACCCGTCAAAAGCCTCGACCGTCTTTCCTGGGGCACATGTTGCAAAGGTGGGATACGATGACGTGGGTACAACAAGGATGCCATCGACTTTCCATCCTCCCCATCCATGTTTTTTCCCACAACTAACTGACAGTGACTGACTGACTGCTCATGGCAAGCCGCAAACACCGACAGACAAGAGCGGGATTTTGAACGCTTCGCCTCTACTCCGTACCCTCGGGTGAGTTTCTCGATATCCACTCTCCTCCACTGGAAAAGCAAACAGGAACTCATGGCTACCTTGTTCAGGCCCAGCCAACTGCGATGTGTTGTCCCAACCTCACATCATTCTCAGCTTAGCTTACCCTGCCTTGCCTCGCAGACGCAGCAGAGTGAGGCATCTCTCATTCTCACCCTACACTACCTTTCCTTGCACTCCTTGCACACACCATCCCGGTATGCCCTCCATCTGTAACCTCTTTAACCTTTTTGCTCTCCCACTGCCCGCTCCATGCCCGCTCCTCCAGTGGGAATCCGGTTTTGAGCTCTGCCTCGTCGAGTTCCCAAAGCCTCCATCATCGTACATGCATATCCCGACCTCCATGCGCGTGGATACCTGCGCTGACTCTGCCTTTTGCGGCTTGCCCTCCTCCATGCTACCTATATCATCCCTCCCTCTTGCTATCCCCTCACACCCACAATCCAACATGTGCATGGAACAGCCCATTTTCTCACGCTCAATTTCTCGTCCCCGAGACGTCATTTGCCGCTCACAGAGAGTCATGAATGCAGTATACCAAAAAGCTCAACCAGCCCATATATGAAATTCTGCAAACCCTAGATAACTCTTCTGCCACAATCACTGGCATTGCTACCAACAGATCAACACACGTTTTAATAGCTCCCGTCTCCTCATCGCCGTCTTCTCACCGACCTTGGTCTCATAGCTATTTACCTTACTTCAACCAGCACAACATGGATCGCCGTCCTCCTGCACAGTCACTGGTACCACCAGCACCAATATCAAGCAATGCACCGGAACCTCCGCAACGCCTACGCCACAGGCTGCAAAAGAAGTTCCTGTCCATCCGACGTCCTGCACCTATCGACCCAGTAGCATCAAACAAACTCAATACCGGGGTGGCATTAGCTGCCCAGCAAGCCGGAACCATCGGCCAACCTTCCCTACGTTTGTCACCAGACCTCAGCGACGCAAAATGGCACGCATATCTCGGAGACAGCAACGCTGTTCAAGAATCAAAACCAAAATCAAAACCCCAAACTACTAGACCAAGGACGCCAGAGAAGCCACGAAAAGTCTCATTCGATACACCAGCGCCGGCCATCATTCCAGAGTTCTCGCACCTCGCCGTCAGCAATTTGACACCGAGACCATCTCTCGACAGCTCACTCAGCTCACCGACCTCGTCCATCAGCACGAGATCGAGCATGAGACGCCATGCAAAGACGCCCATCTACGCCATCGGCCAACTGGAAAACGCAAGCCATGGGAGGAGTGCGAAACCCGCCGAAAAAGTCACCAGCGTCGACCTGATTGCGAACCAGTACCGGGATCTCCTCGAGACACAGGATGCCAGCTCAATATGTACCGACGCCCACTCTGATCCTTTTCCATCACGACAGTCGCTGCACAGCCAAATTTCCTCCTCCGCCACCCGGTCACGCCACAGCGCCGGCGAGACACCCGCAGAGCTCCGGCGTGACATCTTTTCGCCGGCACCGGCGCCTTTACGCCGTGCTTCGGCCGCGTACCCTAGGTCACCAAGGTCCGACGACGGAACGCTGGTTGCGTTTGACGAGGAAGCGATTTACTTCAAGCCCATGTCATTTTCACCAGAACCACCGTCGACACCCCCGCCCCCGCCGCGGAATCGCGCCCGACTGAACCGCAATTCACACTCGCCAGGGGGATCGAGCCAGAACTTGAGCTTGCAGATCGCCATGGACCTCTTGACCCGTGAACTCTCGACGAGCATGTTGGACAATTCGCACAAGACGGGAACAGACGTCTCGTCTCTCCAGGTTTGGGTGATGATCGAAGCCTACGAGAGGTTGAGGGATCAGGTCCTGGAAGCGAGGAGGCAAACGGATGAGTCGCAAAATCTGGAGACCGTGTTCGACACTTGGTTGAAGGCTCTGTATACCCTTCACGACCAAATGACCAGTGACGCGGCATCTCGCGGGAGCAACTACGATTAGGACGGATGGCGGATGATCTACTGTGAGTCTCTAGGAACGGATACACCCGCATGGTTAGGGTAACGGCGTTGGAATAGGTTCGGACATGGCATGTCTGAGAAAGGTACCTCAAGGTACTACTAGGTAGACAAGGTATCCAAACATCAGTATCCAAACATCAGTATCAAAATCCAGTACCAGTTTCAGTCTAGAAGTAAAAGGTCCTCAAGTCAATCAAGTGTGTGTTAGAAACCAGATATTGTTAAAGGAAGCGAGGTAGATGAGCAACCCCACCAGTTTGACAGTTTTGCGGAGGTGCCGAATTCGATGTCATCATTAATTTCCCCCTGGGGCGTGGGCCGCTGTAAGGAATCCGACTAGGCGGGTTCAACCAGCCTTAGGTACCCCGCCAAAGGAAAGGGACGTTTCCAGGGCACATAGCTTCCGCAGACGCGACTCTCGCCGCGTGCACTTTCTTCACCTCGTTCAACATCACCACTCGCATCGCCATCTTCCTGCTCTACGAGCCGTGCACCGTGACACCGACAGAACCCAGCTTTCGATTCCGACACATACGCGCAACTAAGGAAGTACGTGGAATTGCCAATCATGGATGACGATTTCGGTGCCGACGAAGACTTTCTAGCTGCTCTCGCGTCTTCGAACCCAGCACCTTCACGCCCCGAGACTCAACCATCTCGTCCCCGTGTGCAGCAACCGACACCGCAGAAGATACAGCAGCCCACACCGCAGCGCTTGGATAGACCACCGCCCGCAAATGCCTCTGCGAGCGGCAAGATTGTCCAACCGACACCCCAAGCCCTCCCTCAACGAGGATCCGGCTCGGCCATTCTTGTGTCTCCACGGCAGCGGGGCAACCCGGTGCTCGCATCTCTCAAGTCCATGCCGTGGGAGTACAGTGATATTCTAGCTGACTACGGTCTTGGTCTGACGACATGTGCATTGTTCTTGAGGTTGGTTCACTACCCAACCAAACTCCCTTTAGCCTACCTTGGTACCATGCTGACGGGTGTCTGCGCTCAGTCTGAAGTACCACCGCCTCCATCCCGAGTACATCCATACGAGAATCCGAAATCTCCAAGGAAAATATAACCTACGTATCGTCTTGACCATGGTCGATATTCCGAACCACGAGGAGGTCTTGCGCGAGCTGTCCAAGTCCTCATTGGTCAACAATGTCACCCTCATCCTCTGCTGGTCAGCCGCCGAGGCCGCGCGATACCTTGAGCTCTACAAGTCTTACGAGCACGCCAGCTTCAATGCCATCCGCGGCCAACAAGCGTCGACGTATGCTGAAAAGCTAGTCGAGTTCGTCACAGTCCCCAGGAGCGTCAACAAGTCGGATGCCGTTGCGCTGGTCAGCAACTTTGGTAGCCTGAAGAATGCTATCAATGCAAATCCCGAAGAGATTGGTTTGCTCGCTGGCTGGGGAGCTGTCAAGGTCAACAAATGGGTCAAGGCCGTCGAGGAGCCCTTCCGAGCACAAAAATCTGGCAAACGACAGCTAGATCGGTCGGAACGCACCGAGGATGGAAGGCCATCGCAAGCATCGAGGCTGGATCAAGCTGTGCCTCTCAGCAGGGTCCCGCTTCGCGAGATGTCTACCAGGGACTCGGCAAGAGGCTCACCTGCGACGGGCACACCAACGACAACCCAGCCCAAGAGGCCCGCGGCCTTGGAAAGAGGCAATCCAGATTTGGACGAGGACGATGAAGAGGCAATGATTGCCGCCGCCATCGAGGAATCAAGGCGGACTGCTGAGGTACAAGCACAAGCACAGACGCCGGTGCAGGCGCAGGCGCAGACGAAACAAGTTGACAGCGCAGGTGCCAGAGGCGATGCACTTACAGACGGGGTCGCTGCCGCACTCGCAAAGTTGCGGAAGCAGGGCTGAATATCCGTATTCACTGGGCCATCTCGCATTTCGTACAGCCTCAGAAACACGACACAGCCTTGAACATTGTGGACTAAAGTCTATTCGACGTTTCGAAAGGACGGCACGACTTACAAGAGAGGGATACGCGTTTAAGGCGCGGGGCACCTTTCGCACAAGAGAGCGGAAACATCATGACTCGTTATGGAATTCGAAGAAGAGCATAAACGCGGCTTCGAGAGGAAGAACGAATCGAACGATGAAGTAAACTTTTCGCACTTCCGAAGCGACCCTTGGTTCGTCGGTGAGCCAATCACGACGATGCCGGCCTGGAAACAGAGTGCAACCATCAGACGATTCGCCCGGTAAGAAAGCGAGAGTCCGGTGGTAGAGGCATGTCATCATGGTCAGATCTAGAATCTCCAACGCTGTCTCTGGCGTTGCAACAGAGCAGGTGTGGGATTGAATGCGGTGCTCAATATAGGTTGTGTTCGCGGGTTCGCGCAGTGCGGGGGCGGCCTCGACACAGTTTTGCAGGTACCGAACTCAAGTCAAGAGTTGGAGATGAAGATCGTCACGCACGCGTCTGTTATTTCTCCAATGTCACCCTTCTGACCAAGTCAAGTGGTTGACATGGGACGAGCTGGCGGACCTTAGTTCTGACGCCGCGCCATTTCTCCCTATCACGATTGACATTTGGTCCTTGGTTGTGTAACTCTCAAGCAGCTTGCCAAAGGACTAGACTATTCATGCGCTACTCCTTGCTCTTACATGAAATCAAAAGGCACTGCATCGATGCCGAGCATGCCGAGCCTCTGAGATCCAATGATCAGTAGCTCCGATCATCCACGGCTAGATTAAGCCGGGTATAGCGGTCACCGGCACACACCAAGCGGTTACGTATAAAAAGTCTACAAAGCTCGAGCCACATCGACCTCCTACCCCTCGCCCTATATCTATACCCAGTACTTTAAACAGGTATATACGGGCTGAAAAAATTCTAACTAACTTTTTATATTAAAATTATTTAATTTAATTTTTTTAATATAACTATATAAAGGAAATAATAATAGTCAGTGGAAGTCACTCGAGCTTATATACCCCTCGAGTAGAGGTAGGTATGGCCGTCAATATCGCTCGAGCTTTATAGACCTTTTACGCGCAACCCACCAAGCAGTCTTCTGATCCGCCCGTGCCAAGACCCAAGGCCGCAGTCGGTCATAATCTGGAAGCCTTGGTTTTGACTCCGTTGAAGCATATCTCAAAGTACCGAGGAGACACACTGCCTTATACGGAAGGTTAACGAGCACGACGAGTGACAACCTACAGCACCTAGTGGTCAAGACTTGAGATGAGGGCCCAGAATCCTCATCCCCCTCGGAGGCTCGGGTATTGCAACTCGCCAGCACTCGTTTGTTTCCTTACTTTTCCCGTATGCAACTGCAACGCAACGCTGCATTTAACTTTGGGTAGCACTGGCAAGGGGCCTTCCCCCCCGACAGCTGCTCCGCACGTGCTTGATTCACCAGGGACGTCCGTGCCTGGTGACTTTGCCATTTTCAAGATGAGCAGCGACGAACCTGGCAAGATCTTCACTGCGCGTGTTTGATGCCAGTCATTACGGCAACCAGCGGACTCGGCCCGCGTGGACGGCTCATCACTCGCCCTACCAATGGTGCAACCCACGTTCTTCTCAAGAACAGTTCGTCTGACTCTGGGTGTTAGATGCCACTCAGTCTCATTCTACTGGGGTTGGTGGGACTTTGGGAGGTGGAGGGTGATATCGAAAGGAACAATAATCAAGGAGGGCGAATATGAGCCGGAGATGGAAAGGATAGACACCGGGTCGCGAGGACCACCTACCACGTCGAATAAGGCACAACAAGCAGCAGCCGACGTTGCAGACGCAGAAAGCGGGCAGAAGCAGGAGAAGAAGCAGGGGCAGCTGGTGTGGGAAGAAAAAAAGGTCCGCCCGACTATGAGACATGGAGCAGGGGCGAACGCAAAGTCCGGGGGAGCATGGATGAGAAACAGAGTTTATTCATCTCATGCTGTGCCTGCGTGGAAAGTGTCCCAGTTTCCAGGTCCTCCCTCCCGAGTTTCCCAGAGTTTGTCGATTCCTGGGGGTTGCGTGATTCCAACACCCCCGACTGACCACATTGTCATTTCGTTAGTCTTTGCGCGCCCCAATAATGCAGTCGACGTAGATATATATATGTTCGACCGCAGCCTCTCTCTCTGTGTTCCCCTTTTCGTCGTCGTTCGTCCGGACCTTACTTCGTCTGTAGTCTTTCTACTCCCAGGACCGACATCTAATAACTGGAGGCTCTCTGTCGCGACATGATGCAGCTGTCAATGCGTGGACTGGCCATCGCCGGGCTCCTCGCCCAGGCGTCAGCCTCTCCTCAAACTCCTCTGCCGGCCGCCGCGCCGCAGTATGTCAACCAGCCTGAGAGGGCGGCAGCCGTCAAAGAAGCATTCCAGCGCTCGTGGGACGGGTACCGCAAGTTCGCCTTTCCGAATGACACACTCAGGCCCGTGTCAAACACGGCTGAGAATGACCGGTACGTTCGACACTTTATCCAAAGAGGCAGCGCAAAGGCCCGTCTTCTGACAATGTTTTATGTAGAAATGGTTGGGGCGCCAGTGCTGTGGACGCTTTGAGCACTGCCATCCTCATGGAGAACAAGGACGTTGTGGGACAGATTCTAGACTTTATACCGACTATCAACTTCAACGTGACGGACAGCGAGGTCTCTGTGTTTGAAACGACTATCCGATATCTTGGCGGCATGTTGGCAGGTGAGACAGGATTCGCAATGTGAATGGTGGTGTTCTCCTGCGATGCTGATATAACTGAATAGGACATGACTTGCTGAAGGGACCTCTTAAAGACGTCACCAGTGACCAGACCGGTGTAGACAGTCTTCTCACACAGTCGAAGAAGCTCGCAGACAACCTCAAAGTCGCATTCGATACAGCAACCGGCATCCCCGACAACACGCTCATCTACGACCCCAAACCGCGCAAGCAGGGCTCTGACACGAACGGCATTGCGACCATTGGAACCTTGGTGCTGGAGTGGACTCGCCTGAGCGACTTGACGGGGGACAAAGAATACGCGGACCTGTCACAAAAGGGCGAGAATTTCCTCCTCAAGCCCAACGAGGAGGTCTTTCCCGGTCTGCTGGGTACGGACGTCTTCATCGCAAACGGGACATTCGCGGATAAGTCTGGTGGCTGGAACGGAGGCACCGACAGTTTCTACGAATACCTCATCAAGATGTGGGTGTACGACCAGAACCGCTTCTCCCTTTACAAGGATCGCTGGATTGCTGCGGCCGATTCATCGATCAAGTTCCTGGCGTCGAGCCCGACTACTCGGCCTGATCTGACGTTCTTGGCGGCGTACAGCAATGCGAACCTGAGGTTCGTCAGCAGCCATCGTAAGTTGATCCGTTACTTTTGGACATGATCAAATACTAAAATGTTCGTCTAGTCGCGTGTTTCGATGGTGGCAACTTTATCCTCGGTGGTCTCGTTCTCAAGGAGCAGAAATACGTCGACTTTGGCATCAAGCTGACCGAGGGCTGCCGCGAGACATACAAGCAGACGGCGACTGGAATCGGACCGGAAATATTCCGCTGGCAAGACAACACGCCGCCAGTCAACAAGACGCTCAACCCCGACCCGCCCGCGAACCAGATAGAGTTCTACCAAAAGGCAGGCTTCTGGATCAGAGAGGACGGTGCCGGTTACGTTCTCAGACCCGAGGTCATTGAGAGTTACTACTACGCCTACCGCGCCACTGGCGACAGCAAGTACCAGGACTGGGCCTGGGACGCTTTCCTGGCGATCAACAAGACGTGCAGCGCAGGGAGCGGCTTCTCGTCCATCACCAATGTCCAAGATCCGAAGGGAGGGACGGCGGACGACTTCCAGGAGAGCTTCTGGTTTGCCGAGGTCCTCAAGTACAGCTACTTGATCCAGGCGACGGATGCCAAGGTTCAAGTCGAAGTGGCGGACAACAAGTTTGTTTTCAACACTGAGGCGCATCCGTTCCAGATCGCCTAGAAAGCTAGAACTTGTACGGGGAGAAGGCCAAGGTTGTGATGCATTCATGAGCAGGGGTGGATGGGTAATATTGATAGTTGGGCATAGATAACTACCCATTATGAATAATTGCATTTTTGTTTTTTTCTCTTTTGATAAGTTGATACGTCTTCTTCCTAGACGTGATCTTTGTCGTTTCCTGTCTGCCCGCTATGAGCCGCCGTCTCTCTTGGCGTATTCCTCCTCCATGGCCTCTTCGTAGAGCCGGTCGGCCTCGAGCTCGGCTTCCGTCTTGGAGCGGGTCGTGCCGGCTCCCGTGTTTGCGCCGGCGCCGGTGACTTGGCCCGTGTGTCCCGTTTGCTGGTGCTGGCTCTGTTCGTTGGTGGTGGTAGTAGATTGGGCTGGTTGTGTCTTGGGAGGTTCGTCCTCTGGGACTTGGGGGACGCCTAGTTTGATGGGGAGACCCATGGCGATGACGTAGTTTGGTGGGATGGTGGGATGTTCAAGGGGATGTTGGAGAGTGGTAGTTGGATGTGGATGTGGATGATGATGAGGGTGAGTGCGAGAGAGTGCTTGTGAAGAGAAGTGTGGCTGGAATGAGGCTGGTGTGGATTAAAGCAGGTAATTTTATAAGTAGTAGGCCAGGGAAATTGTAGCTGGATGGAAGATTCTACGTGGCGGTATTCGCAATGGGGAGTCAGAAGAGTCTCAATAGCATTGCTTGTCATACAGTACTTTGTGGCGAATCATGGGAGGGAGCCCGAGCTGTTCAGTTTAGCTGACCTAGGGACGCAGCGAGCTCCGCTATTCGCCGTGGCAGTTCGGATCCGAAGCTGTCTTCGAGCCGATCCGCCCCACACCTTTGTGTCTCCGGATGGAAAAGTGTCACGGCTTCTTGCGTCCAACCTAGGTAGCCAGAGTGAGGTACGTAGGTTAGGGAATGTAGTCATACACGTGCTGTGTTCACCAGGCAGCCGGGATCGAGATCTGGGTGGGACGGGATTGATAGAGGTCTGGCCCGTGCCATGATCTAGATGTCTTGAATGTTTGGAGCACTCGTGTCTCTGTCTCTCTCTATATGTGTGTGTGTGTGTGTGTGTGTGTGTGTGTGTGTGTGTGTGTGTGTGTGTGTGTGTGTGTGTGTGTGTGTGTGTCTTGCGTACCGGGAAGTGGGCGAGGGAGAGGAAACGATTTAGAAGTTTGAGCCACGTTCTGGATGAGACACGAAAACACAGGATCTGTTCCCCGGAACGAAAATGCTCGAAACTTTGCTTGTGATGGGACTTGAAGGCAGAGTCAAAACACAAAAAAGTCAAAGAGTACTGCAACGTTTTGGCTGTTGAGTTCAAGGTATGCCATAAGGGGGCCATGGGATGCAACTTGTAAATAAGACCCAATGTTACAGCAGTATTTGGCAATCTGCAACCTGTGAATGCTTCAGTAGACGCAAAGGTTTCCCGGTGGGATGAGTCGGACAAGGCCCTCGTGGATGAGTGTTCCTGGAAAACTCAGGAACGACATTGCGACTTTGCAATATTGGTGGGAGGGGGGTACCACGGCAACGTCGTTCCTGGTGATGTGTGTGTGTGCGCGCCTGGACCACCCAGAGATACAAGATACTGCCTACTCTAAATCGACTCGACCAGCCACGTAAGATCTGTCTCAATCGTGCTTGGGCGAGGAACGGAAAGAACGGCGCAGGGGCACTGCTTTTCTCTGTCACGTTATCAAGTGAGGTTCTTTTCTTTGCATTTGTCTGGTGAGTGTATGAGTTCGTCATTCTGGTTCGACTTGTGCAGGTCGAGTATTCCCGATTACAGAACAGAATAGAAGCGAACAAGGTGCATCCAGAGCGGTCAGGAACCATTTTGGATACCCAGCGAGCCAGTGAGAGCGTTTGGATTTCGAATGTCCCGTCTCCCGTCGGCGCCGAGCACCGAGCGGCGATTTCCCCTTCGGACTTTTCTCGATCAACTACGAAGTAGCTTTTGCAGAAAACAATTGACCATGCTTGTTTTCTCCTTCACCGTTTCTCTTTTCCCATGTCCTCCAGCCCCCCCAGGCCTCTCTAGTAGACATGAATTGACTCGGCGTTGAAAAATAAACGCCGGAAGACCGGCCGTATGCTCCCCCCCCCCCCCCCCCCCCGGAGGTTCGGCCGGTTGCACCGCGGACCAATCATCACCGAACATAGGCGCAGTAAGAAACCCAAAAGAGAAAACGTAGTCATGTAAAGCGGAGGTAACCATGCAGTTTGGTCGTCACGGTGCTCCGAGTTGCGTTTGAGGATATAAGAGGGTACGTACCGCACATCTCCATCCGTACTCCCGAGCTTTGGCGGGGCCCTCCCGAGCCAGCAGACCAATAGACGATGCTGGAATCGTTGCTTACATCCGGATCTACCCAATCATCGAACGGCCGTTGCTGATTACTCGTCCGAATGGTAACACCGGGTCGCAGGGTGGCCTGCGACCCCTGCAGCCTCTGGGATCGGGGGCCCTCGAACTCGGCCCTTGCTAATGGCTTTCCGGGTCGTAGTGAGGAAGAAGCTACACCATAGGCTCTTTTTTTTTTTTTTTTTTTTTTTTTTTTTTGGCTGTCGTGGTCGAGGCAAGCAGGCAAGCTTGGCTTGTTTTTTCACTTCTGGGGCTTTGTAAGTTTCGTTTTTGTTGCCCCATTGCTTGACATTCTTTCTCCCAAGTACCTTGATTCTGCTTAGCTTTGATATGTAAGGGCAAGAAGGGGGAGGGGGAGGGTACCTTAGGGGAAAAGTCAAACGTTCCTAGTCTCGAGGAATTTAAAGTGATGGATGGTTACCCTCTTACACCATCTCTCATTGACACACTGGAATCTTGTCCTTCATACTACTCAACTCGATTCAACCAAAACAAAACAAACAAGCCTGTCTCACTACCCCGGACTCGAGTTCTGTCTCTCGATTCTCCTCTAAAAACCAGCTTACACCTCGCCAACTCACAAGTCCAAGTAGCTTCTCTCTCTCTCTCTCTCTCTCTCTCTCTCTCTCTCGGACGTGCTTCGACGATACCTTCTGAACAAAGGTCTACGGGATCAGGGCGAAAGAAGATTGAGATACATCAGATTAACCCCTACCTGGACGTCGACACCACGCTCCCACCTCGATAACACACAGCATCAGGAAACCCAGTTTCCATTCTCTCTCACATCAAAAGAGTAGAGCTATACTTCACATCATCACACATCATGGGTCTCGTCACATTGAAAAACCTCCTGTTCGGCCGTACACCACTCCCGACGCGCGCCAAATCCGCCTTCAGCCGCGCAGAGAGTACAATGTCGGATGAGACCATTGTCGACGGCGGCGACCTTGAGAGGCAACCCCTGCTGCGGTCCAGTGACCGGACCGTCTCGACGGCGACCATGGCGACGACTACTTCAAAAACCTCAACCACATCCACAAGGGTCTCAGAGAGCGACTCGAGCGGCTTCCGTCTCGACGCTCGCATGATCTCCGATGCCACCATCGGACTATCCGACGGCTTGACGGTGCCCTTTGCCCTCACGGCTGGCCTGTCGGCCCTTGGACAGACAAAGGTCGTCATCTTTGGCGGTATGGCGGAGTTGATTGCCGGTGCTATCTCAATGGGTCTTGGTGGTTACCTCGGAGCCAAGAGCGAAGCGTAAGTCCTTCACCATTATTTAAATATCAAGTCTTGAGTGTATCACTAACACGCAAAACCCAACAGGGCATCCTACAAGGAAACACGCAGCGAATGCACCCGTCTAACCCAAGACGACCCATCCCTCGCCCGCGCCCAAGTCCTCGAGGTCCTCGAACCCTACGACCTCCCAAAACAAACCCTCGAAGACGTAACAGACCACCTCTCCACCTCCCCGCGCCTCATCGACTTCCTCATGCAATTCCACCACTGCGAGCAGGAACCGGCCTCCAACCGCGCCTTCGTCTCCGCCCTCACCATCGCCGCGGGCTACCTCCTCGGCGGCCTGATCCCGCTGTTCCCGTACTTCTTCGTCCCCGCCGAGGACGTCTACCTCGCGCTCTACATCTCCGTCGCCGTCATGGCCGTCGCGCTATTTGCGTTTGGGTACGTCAAGACGTGTATCGTCTCGGGCTGGTCCGGGTTGCGGTGCGTGAGGCAGGCTGTTGTGGGCGGGTTGGAGATGGTTGTCGTTGGTGGTGCGGCGGCGGGTGCGGCGATGGGGTTAGTGAAGGCTTTTGATCAGCTGGCGCAGACTGATGATGTGTCGGCGTTGGCGAGCAAGATCTTCTAATACCCCTTTACAGCTTTCTCTTTTCTTCTTCTACTCTTTTCCGACTTACGTCGTTCTATCTGGACTACGTCCTTTTCCTTACTTCAATACCTCTACTCTTCTTTTTATTCTCTCTGTCTAGAGTGTACACGGGATGTGTTACACGCCATCAGGGTGGTAGAGAGGCACAGGAAAATTCGGACCGGGGGTCCAGGGCAAAGGAAAAATCTCCCATGTTTGCATTGTTTAGCGTTTACGCGATTACTTCAAGGGGAATCATACTATCCCAGAGTCGCCTTCTAGTTGAAGAAGATGGTTAGGTTGCAGCGATGCGAAGGAGGGCGGCGTTGGCGTCGAAGAGTCTCACGAAACTATGGGATATGACAGCAAGGACCGCTGCAAGGGAAGACAAATGGTACTAGATAGACCATCTATCAAATAAGACTGAGAAACATTCTCTCTTCCATCATTGAGCACCTCGATTCACGAGTCGTATTGCCACTTTTTAAATATCTTGATTGTCATACCACATCGGCTCTACAGCACACAACGCAGATCAGGGCCCCTGTTCTTGACAATCCTCCCTGTCTCCAAACACAACCTTAGTCACGGCGTACCTACTTGGGAACCACCCAAACCACACTAGGCGTGGTCGGCAGGGGTTCGTAATGCAAAAAGGCCTTCCTTTTGGCGGCCCTCCATCTGACAGCTTTGATAACACCAATGATGAAGACACCCGAGATAACAGTGAGTCCAACAATAGCCCGAGCAATGTCTTCACGTAAACCCCAAGGAGCCCCAATGGCGCCAGGAGAAGAATCGTTGCCAGAATCTAGATAACGAGTGTCAGAAAGCAAGTCTTCAGAGGCCTCGAGTAGAACAAAAGACAAACCTGTTTCTGGTGACAATAGCTCATCAACAACGTGAGAAACCCCGCCGCTAATGAGCACATTCTGCATCATCACCATCTTTCCATTCACAAAGATACGTCCCTTGGCATCGCCGTTGATGGAAATTTTCTTGCCGCTCAAGGTGGTCACCATCCTCGGCTTTTGGGGGAAACACGTATGGAACAAGACATGGTTGGGGACAACGTGATCTTTGATAAGCGTCTCCAGTGCCTCGATATCGAGCGATTCCAGCATCGAATGTCCTTTCCAGACGGCCTTGTTGCTAGGGAGAAACACGGTAACATCGCGAAGCTTCTCGAGCACGCTATCCATGCGAGACTTGGTGACTGTATCCCAGAAACCATCGAGTTCTCCCAGGCTGCTGGTCTCTAAAAGACTACGGGGGAGAACCAGACCCTGGTTGATCGTGTGGACAACGCCGTTTGCGTGGTGAATGTCCGTCTCGACCGTGTGGATGATCTTCTGGTCGCCGGATTCCACGCGGAGGCTGTGTGAACCGTCGTAGCTTGCTGTCAACTTGACGACGGCACCCTGGGAGATGTTTGTCAGGCCTGAGGAGGGTTTAAGGGACGATCGAGCTAGCTGAGTCTCTGCGTGGAGCGCCGGAGCCGATGAGAGATAGGCGCCCTCTAGGAAGTGGTACTTCAGGATTCCTCTGGCGATGTCTGGATCGATGGAGGTGAGATTCAGACCCCATTTTGCGAGGTAAATGATTGCGTCGTCGGTCATGGCCAGGAGTGTCGAGTTTTTGGCAGTCTCAAATGTCTCCATAAGCTTCAGGTCTACGAGGAGACGTTGAAGCATCGATGTCGAGCCATGTTGGGAGAGTACGTCCCCGAGGGACTGTGCCGCGGCGGATACCAGCAAGATAGCAGATGTGGTGTAAGTCAATAGATGCATCGTGGTTGATTGTGTTAGTGAGGCCTATTCTGGCGTTGGATGCGCGAAAGACTGTTGAAGCCGGTTGCTATATCTACATATACTTTTCCATCAGTCCCCGGTCTTGGCTTGGGGGTCGTCGTCAGTCTCCAACTCCACCAAGTCTCAGGCTCGAACTCTTTTTGGGCACGTAGATGGTAGGACACCTATCTAAGGTTCAGCTTATGCTGAGTCGAGCTATAAACAGCAAAGCTAACTGTGCAGACAAACGGGCGCACTCGAAGATGGCAGGTTAATCCATGTCGACGACATCGACCGTTTCGATAAACGAATTCTCAAATCGGCAAAGCACTGAAAGGAGACCACGTACTAATGGCCAAGCATGTGATCCATTAAACAAGCAATATTAGGAGTTATTTGCCACATGAAAGTAGGTCTTGGTTATGAAGTGATTGACATTGAAAGCTGTAAGACTTTCGTGAGAGGGATCGGCATTATGAGTCTTGCGCCATAGCTAGGCAGCATCGATACCCTCTATCTTACCTATTAACGGTAATAACTATTACATACGACCATATCTATTAAAAAAACTCGGGATGCCGTCCGCTCTCTTATAAATAAACTAATAAAGGGAGTTTTACATATAAAAAGTTATATTTTTAACTAAATACCAGTAAAACGGAGGTTACTTTATAATTTTCTTATAACTTATAAAAAAAGTAATAAAAAAAGTCCGTATATTGACAAATTGACGACGACAACGAGATGATGGAGAAGTGAGCCGGCTGGATCTCGTGGAAGGGCTACTTGGAATCGGGCAGTGTCGCGCCAGCCTGCGTGAGCTGCAACATGTTCTTGACCACCTCAATCCTGTCCTCGTACCCAGGCGAACGAGAACCTTTTCATCCATCTTGTCAATCACTGATGAAGGATTGAGCGCCCTGCCAAGAATATGATCCCCTCATACCTTACTACCGATACGTCCCAGCCCGGGGAAGCCGGGAAGAATGGAAGATGTGCTGCACCGCCCGTCCCACTTTTCCCTTATCCGGTAAGCGATGAAAATGACCGATCGCCAAGCAGGAATTAGGTATAGTCACTTAGCAGTATCGGGAATACCAATTCACGCTTTATACGCTTGTTGCGCACAGAAAAACAGTAGAGTGCAGGGCAACCAACGAGAATGGACGAGATTCTTCTCCCTCCTGACGTATTCTCTCCCCGCAACTCCTCTTGGCTTTCTAAAATCTCCTAGATAAGCTGTCAGAGACGGACAAGTAATGATCTGTTGGTCGGGGAAGCTTCCATAAACCGAGCTCGTCTGGCTACTTAGAGGCAACGTGTAACTTGGTGCTTCAGAACAGAGGCATGTTTGCTTCTTCCCGGCTTATCGCTGCCTGCCTCCATCGGGGCTCACGTCACTGCCACATCATTTGAAAGCTACAAGGAACATCGCGTCCTTTTGCAGTAGAGCATCGATTCCTTCGGGCTTTGTCGTGATGGCTTCAACGATCTGTTCCCCTCACCGCCCGTCACGTGACCTCAGTTACATAATCACCGAGACTCACTCTCGCTCGCAGCGCCTATTTCAGCGCGAGCCTCGTTGCTATTTCCTACTTCCAGTACACAACCGTTCTCTACTTCACATCTCAATACCCACATTGTGACCAAAAGACAGGCCTTCTATTCTAGAAGCGAGCTCGTCGACCACCTAAGGGTGCCAAACTACTTTTAGAGACGCGTGCGCTAGCTCGACTGAGGTGCAATACCTAATATTACCTTCTTGTACCATGGCCAATATTTCTCGATTGCCCAGGTCGTGAGCCTTCGAATGGCCGCAAGGACTTGAAACGTGCCTAATTCGTTGGATGTCGACCCTATGACACGCTCAAGCCAGAGAATCTGCAAAAGAGTCAGCTGATGATCAAAGCATGGGGCTGGGACGAGCCCCAAGAGACGCAAATCACCTTTTTGCCGCCAAGACGTGAGCAGGCCACGAACTTCCATTCGTCGCCAACGACAAGTAGTCCCGGGATAAACTCAAGCCTGTCGAGCATTTCCTCGTTGGTATGGCGGGCCAAGAAGTTCCATTGCGCAGAGAGCCAGGTACCCATCTGCGCCTCTGCCTTGGTCTGATTTTCGCCACGGCGTTTCGTCTCGATACTGACAGCGAGCGGCAGTTGGCGTAGCCCGTCATGGTCGGTGTGGTTGATCATGCCTAGATCAGCGCTCCCGCGTACTTTATCAACGGCCGCGGCGGCTTCAGGTTCGTCTTGCATCATCGTTGAGTGAAGCGGGTTGATACAGAGGACATAATCGATCATTTTCCCAACGCTAGACTTCGACACGTATTCTCGAGTAATCTTTGCTCTCGTGCTGAGGTCGGCATTATAAAAGTCAGCCGGTTTCAATTAATAGCAAGAGAGTCCGCTGCAGCAAAGCGATGAGAGGACGTACCAGGGAACGAGACACATGCGTCCATTTTTCGGAGGGAAGTCTCGAAGCGCCACCGTAAGAAGCCGAGAGTGCACTAGGTTATTCCAGCCATCCTCCATCTGGTGCGAATCCTGACAAAAGCTGCTTTGCTCCGTGACCTCCAACACCGCGTCTAAGCAATGACGGTATCTGTAGTGATCTTCATCCACCGGATCTTGATTGTCGTACATATAGTCTCTGGTGATCGCGTCGAAGCCCCCCACCTTGCCTCTGAGCTTATCGATCTGCTTCTGCAGGACTTTGGGCACGACGCCGTCAGCCCGGCTGAAGTTCTCCATTTCTAGTAACATTTTTCTCAAAGACGTTGGCATGTCGGGCGCGCTTAGAGACATGTTGCGGGTGCTAACACCATCGGGTCCGATCTCCATTCGGGAGAGTTCCTTGGTAGGTGAGGAGTATCCCGAACAACTCTCAGCAGTGGATGCGAGCGATGGGGTCGGTTTTGTTAAGCGGCGCCTTGAACTTGTGCTGTGAGACTCTAGTCTTGGGGTCGTTTGCGGGTGGTCGACCGCACCCTCTGGGATGTCGTCGGCCTCGTTGGGCCCATCGTGGGGTCGTGATCTCTTCATCCTAGTCGCAATCGCGATGACGTTGGTTTCAATCGGCGCGGGCGCCGGTGCTAATGACGAGTCGCTTAATGAACCTGCCTGCTTCGATCTCGGCGTCGATCGTGGCGGAGAGAGGGGCACGGCGCGGCGGCTGTTACCAAAACGACGTCTCTTCTGCGGCGGTTCCTTGGCGGGGTCGGGAACGGTAGTCGGGGCTTGGGTTTGCGATAGAAGGTCGGTAGGCGATAAAGAGCTGGATATTTGATTCAGCCAACATAAAACAGAATTACCATCAAGGCCCATTGCCGCGATATCCTGCTTGCGATGTTAGAAAATAGCGGAGCAATCAACGATGTCGTGAACGTGAGGTGTGGAGGACTTGTGGATTACTATTGTTGCGCTTTGTCTCGGCGTTGCTGGGAAAAGCGATGATGAATGACATAATGCACGAGCACTACGACCCCTTGACAAAAGGAGCTTAGGGCCAGCAGCCTCTCACTAGCGACGTACCCCAAGCATCAGCCACCCACCAGTTCACCCCCATTAGTCAGCGAGTAAAAATTATTCCAGGAATCGTCCTACAACATTGTTGCGGCATCAAGAGCGATACTGGGTTTTTTGCAGATGTTCGCTAAAACTTACTGCCGACAGTACTTGTGTGACCGGGTCAATGTCGTGAGCAGAGTTCCCTCAGGTTGACGATGTTCGCTCTCTTCCAGGCATTTGTGTGACAAAGTCTCTGTCTGGTTGGAAGTCCAGTACCACCGCATGCTGGTCGGCAACCAACTTACATAAGCAGTTCCTGGTCCCGTTTCAACAGTCGCCATTGACGACTGCAATTGACGATTTACGTAAGTGACTGCACACTGTAGAAGGCTGGATAGATTTGACGACGAAGCCACAGGGCGAAGGGCTTGGCTTCAAGGCGTGGCGGTGTCGAAGCAACTCACCTTTGACGTGCACGCGCCGACAAGATGTTTGGAATCGACAACACGGCTGCTGGGAGGCAGTGATGAAATCGCCCACGTCGTTTGCGTTGTGACAGAACCTGGGATACCCTCGTTTAGGTGCAACTCACCACATACAGTCATTACCCAGTTAACCACATAGTCGGGCCAGGATTGCCCTATAAGGGATAGATGCCACTCGTTTATGTAGATCTCCTGCAGGCCCAGCAGATCACTCTAAGCAGTACAACCACACTGACCCCCAATTATTATGCGGCTGCTGACCATACTGAAGATCTGTCACGTTGTCTGCGTGTATGTCAAGCGCGTTCAAAATGAGGACGCTTTGGAAGCAGCTTTACCTACCTACTTGGCACATAATCATGTTTGCCTGTCCTTGACACGCATCCTCTCCATCTCCAACTTCGTTAACATGGCGTGCGTGGCCAAGATCCAAGGCTGCCTCATTTTGGGCTGCAGTCTGACTAAAATGGCCTTGCTGCCTCTGCGGGCGAGTGTGATGCATCCCTTAGCAAAGACGATAAAGTATTGCACGGTGACCCGACGACCCCCTCGAGACAGCCTTGGAAATATCCTGCCTTTACAATACACAAATGCGTTTGACTTCGCAGTTGCAGTGGTAGCCAACACACCTGCCCTTGGCCGCGTAGCAAGACGCGGGACCCCTAGGCTATTCGCGCAAAAGGGTACGTAATAACAAGCCGTCCGCTTTTTATTTGGCTACGCTTATAAGGGTCGCTTAGGCACTCAGCCTTAGCCCGCAACCGGGCACTAGCCCGTGACAGTGGAAAACGAAAAAAAAAACTAACAAATTATCGCCCGCGCGACCGCGTCAATTGAGGTACATAGGTAAGAAGTCTCACAGTATGTTGGCTGCAAAAGTGATTCTTGAGAGTTTCGCCATTTGTGTTACTTTCTCGGTCGCCAGAGTGACTACGGGCGCTGGCGGTTGGCGCTGGAGCTAGGAAGCAAAGCAGTAAATTGAATTGAAGCTATTCGCAGCAAGCGTGCAAGCGAAATATGAACCAAGAAAGGTGGGACCGAGCAGCTGGAATGTGCCGCATCAAATCCATCTATGTACTCCCGTCCGTATACGTGCTCCGTACCGCTGCCCAGTGATGTGGCCGAAGCCTGCTTCAAGGTGCGTACCTAATCTCTTTATCGGAACTTGAATTAAAGGCATCTGGCCTGAAGGCTATTTTAGCAAGGGTGGGTAGACAGCAGCAGCAGAACTTCTCGAAGGGGCATAGCAGAGGTCCTGTAGTCTTTTTGTGATTCCTTATTGTGGGGGGTTACTTGAGCATGAAGGGGCCGTTGACTTGCCTATGGAAATTATTTGGTTTCATTTTCTTATGATGAAGGGTGCAAGCAAAGGCACGTTGAGGAAGCAACAGTAAGAAGATTACGAGTGACTCACTGGTGCCCTCCCATTGGACTTGGAAATTGGTAAATTGCACACAACCTTATCTTAGCTTATCTTTTGCATCTTATCGCCGTCTCTATCCTGCCAGGTATATGGATACGGATACTGTTGAATTGGGTGCGCACACGAGCGCCCATACTGCGCGCTTCGCGATAGGAATTATCGCCAGAATATCGGGCCGGCCGCTTGGCAAGCGTGCGGGGACCGCCGCGGGCTACGTCCTGGGCGGTGGGCCGCACCGCGCGGCCTCAGGCAACCACAAAAGCGGTTGCTGGAGGTTAGTCAAGGGGCTGGGCGCCGACAACAGCAATAGCAATAGCGACAGACAACACACTCAATATACGCACACTTAACTACCCATACGAATCTGACAACTACCGTTATTATACCGTCGCTCGTTACCTATATAGTCGTATTGGCGGTAAATGTCACAGATCCCTGCCTGTCTGTCCTGTTCTGGCTACATGTATGTAAGAGCAATGTGGAGTGTTGACTCCACATCCTAGTCTTTTGCGCGTTTGACGCAGCGGTAAAGTAGCTGAATGCTCCCAGCTATCCGAGCCGTGACAATAAACGGGGTTAGTATACTACTGACGAGCGGCGTAAGGGTGACTCTAGCCGATAATATGAGCCTATTTAGAGCTATTGTCACGGGCTGGAGCCCGGATGAGAGCGGATCGGACAAGTGTTATGGCCAGCTAGTCGTAGTGAGGTATGTTTGCAGAAGTTGAGGCTGCGGAACTGGTAACAGTAATCGTAGTCGTGGATAGCTTCAGGGAAGCTATGTCTGTAAGTCGTAAGGGTAGGTAAGGCTTCGGTGATCAATCGTAGTCTTGTCAAGGTAGTAGCTGAAAGCGGATGTTAATCCTGATACGAAGTTAATTGCTGAAGAGCTATGGAAAGTCTGTCCTAGAGTCCGGCTCGAGTCCATCCTATATACAAGTCCTGGTCCTGAACATATCCCTTGTCAATGATCAGTTCCTCTGATCGGGTGAGCGCTCATCGTTCGGCATAAGCGCTCATTACTTGGCATGAGCGCTCATGGCCCCACCATGGTCGCTCATGGCCCCACCATGGCCGCTCATGTCTTATCTTATCATCACGTGACTTGTACCATAGTTCTTCCGTTCCGTGAGAGGGTGCCTAGTGTCCCTTATCTCCTGCATATGTGGTGTATTATAACCGCCGCGAGCCTGCGGGGCAGGCCCTGTTCTTGGTCATGCATGTTGGGTCGTAACATGTCCTAGCCGCCGTGAGCCTGCGGGGCGGGCCCTAGTCTGGTTATGCACGTTGGGTCGTAACACCAAGCTCAGGTCATATGATATATAAGTCCTGAAAAGTGCTCTTTGTGATTGTCTTGTTACTGTTCCTATTCTTGACGGAGTCCGTCGTTTGTTCATACAGCACCCGTATGTGTCGAACAAGGCAGAGGATACTCAGCCTCCCGGCCAGGCAGCTGGCCTCTCGGGCTGGGAACAAGAGAAACGGAGGTGGCCCTGTCACTGAACGGCGCGCCCGAACGGAGGAGAATTTGGGCCCGCACTTCCGTTTTTTCGGATGAGTCAGCGTCCCAGCCTCCTCCTGATAGGCCGGCCCTCATAGGGCTTATCTATGGGCACTCGGTATCATGAAGTTGGTGTAGGTTTCCGTCACAGGGTGACGAAGAATAGCTCAGAATACGGAACAAGGATTGTGCGTTCCTAAACGGTCAGGTACCGTTTTAGCCTGAGCAGATCCGTCGTCCGACGGTCAGCACTAATTGAACACCTAGACACCCTAAGCGAGGCACACCACCACCACAAGTACCCAGCCCGCCCGCAACCTGCTTCCAAGTTCCAACTTTCAAGAAGCACCTTTCGAGCTCTCTAATGAGGGTGAGATTTAAGCGACCCTTCTCTGTGGGCTCCTAGGCTAGGCCATGAGGACCCGTTCTGCGGCCATAACCGCCAACCCTCTGTAATACAAGCATGATTGGCTAAGTTTTCGGACTCAACTTGTCCTGAAGATTCCGATGCCCGGCGGCGTTTACCAACAAGATGTGTGTTTCTAGGCTCTCGGTAAATTGTCGTAAACAATTCCAGGTCCCCCCAACTACTAAAATGCTCTAGGCACTATCAGGAGGCACCTGCCATATCAGCCTGTTAGGGAACTGTTAGGGGCTCCCTCTCCTAGAGCAGCATAGCAGCGCAATACAACAAGGCCAATAGTGCCTACACCCATTTGACAAGATGCAGGCACCACTTGTGGCAGGTGCGAGTGGGACACGTGAGGCAGTACCTTCACATCTCAGAGCTGCCCCACCTACACCTTGCCCAGATATCCAGCCCAGCCAGCCGTCAGCTTTTCCCATCTTCATCATCAGATCCAATACAGTAGTATTACCTCCACACCACTCGAAGCATCGTCAAATCGCGCATCCCGGCCAAGCCAATTAAGACCAAGAATAACCAATAAGCAGTAGTTGAATAATTCGCTTTATAATGCTTATGCAGAGGTCACTCCACAACTTGATATACGCTCATTGGTAGCTCGCTCACCGAAGGACGAAAAGACCCATCTATATCGCTCGGCAAGTCATGCAAGCCCAGAGCGAATCTGCCTTGCTGCCTCGACGCCTCTGCGACCAGCAGCTGTCTGCAGGGCGGCTTTTTCGGCGGCATCTATTCCGAACTACAGCATAGGTCAAACGGTTGCCTCTTCCGCGCGATACACATCCTTTATAATAGTCCCTCGAGCAGTACACTTTCTACGCAACAAGGCTCCCACTAGCAGCCACCTTATTCACCTTACAAGCATGTCGGACCCTCAGAATTATACTGTTGGCTGGATTTGCGCCATCACCACCGAGTTTGTCGCTGCACAGGCCTTTCTTGACGAGAGACACGAAAGACCCAGGGAAGTTTCGCAGAATGATAGCAACAACTACGCATTGGGCAAGCTTGGCGACCATAACGTCGTTATCGCCGTCTTGCCCAACGGAGAGTACGGCATAGCCTCGGCCGCGGTCGTCGCCGGGGACATGCTGCACAGCTTTCCCAACATCCGGCTCGGATTGATGGTCGGCATCGGGGGCGGCGCGCCGAGTCAGAAGCACGACATCCGCCTCGGCGACATCGTGGTGAGCAGTCCCCGTGACGGCAAAGGCGGGGTTTTCCAGTATGACTTTGGCAAGACGATACAGAATCAGACGTTTCTGGAAACGGGGTTTCTGAACCAATCGCCGAAAGTACTGCGAGCGGCCGTAAGTGGACTCAAGGCTATGTACGAGGCGGATGGCCACCAGCTTGACGACTATGTTAAGATGGTTATCGAGAAGAAGCCTCGACTCCGAAAAAAGTACTCGCGGCCACATCCGAGCAGCGACAGGCTATACAAATCAGACATCGTACTTACGCCGGACTCGGAGGAAGGCTGCATCGAACCATGCAGATACGACTCAACCCACCTCGTACCGCGCCGCGAACGAGACGAAGACGAAGACAGCCCTACTGTTCACTACGGACTAATCGCCTCCGCAAGTCAGCTGATGAAAGACGCACTGATCCGGGATCGACTAGCGGCCGAGAAGGACGTGTTGTGCTTTGAGATGGAGGCGGCCGGCCTAATGAACCACTTCCCGTGTCTGGTCATCCGGGGTATATGCGACTATTCCGACTCACACAAGAACAAGGACTGGCAAGGTTTTGCAGCTATGGTGGCTGTAGCGTACGCTAGAGACGTTCTTCGCCAGATTCCACCTAACAAGATCGAGGCTGAAAGGAGGGTCGTAGAAGTCCTGGGATCTAGTTAGTGTTTTATTTATTTCAATTGTTTTATGGCTTTGCGACTATAAAATTATACTAATTAAAAACTTTGCAGTACATGAAGGCGTGTCTCAAATCCGCTTGGCCACGAAAAGCCTGCAACAGAGCCAGCATTTTCAGGAACTCATGAAGTGGCTCTCTCCGCCGGATCCATCGACAAATTACAACAAGGCCTCCCGGCAACGTCATGAACGTACAGGGCAGTGGTTTCTCGAAAGCAAGGAATACTCCAAGTGGAAAAAATCGCCGAAGTCCTCGTTATGGCTCCACGGCATCCCGGGCTGCGGAAAGACAATCCTGAGTTCAACGGTGATTAAGGACCTCACGAACACCGAATCTTATGCCAAAAGTCTCCTCTACTTTTACTTCGACTTCACTAATACTAATAAACAATCGCTCGAGAAAGCCATTCGGTCGCTGATTACTCAGCTGTACTCTAAAAGCCAGGACGTCCATACGCATCTAGATTCACTCTACTCCTCTTGCAAAAATGCTTCACGGCAGCCGAGTATTGACTTGCTAATCTCAACATTCGAGGCTATGGCTCAGCAGATCGGCGAAGTATGGATCGTCTTGGATGCACTCGACGAATGCCAGAAGAGAACAGGTCTAAGCAACGAGGGGTTGCTAGACTGGATTGAGGGTATTCTAAACTTACCGCAAGTAAATATCCACCTTCTTGTCACGAGTCGCCCTGAACACGACATCAAGTCAGCATTGGAAAGACATATCGACAACCAGATCCCTCTCCAGAGCGAGCTTGTCACTGAAGACATACGTGCGTATGTTCATGGAACAGTAAGACAACACGAGGGATTTAAGAGGTGGCGAACACGAGAAGAAATTCGGGATGAGATCGAAGGCCATCTGATGGAGAAAGCTAACGGAATGTGAGAAAAGATTAACCCTCTTGAATACTGCTGCTAAGTTAGAAAATAGGTTTCGCTGGGTCTCATGCCAACTTGATGCTCTTGAAAAATGCCCTGATCCTAACAGTCTTCGCCAAACGCTACAATCTTTGCCAAGGACGCTAGACGAGACATACGCCCAAGTCCTACGCAGAATTCCGCCTGAGTTTGAACAGAACGCCAAGCGGATACTGCAATTTCTAACCTTTTCTGAACGACCTTTACGCATCGAAGAAGCTGTTGATGTAATTACTGTGGTCACCAAAAACAAGCCCAGGTTTGATGCCAAGAACCGAATGCCACAACCAGACGAGATATCTATCTACTGTTCTAGTTTAGTAGTTGTTGTTACTCGGGGCGGTAACGATGAACAGCACGAGGCGAGAGAGCTACAGCTCGCGCATTTCTCGGTAAAGGAATACCTGGTATCCGACCGACTAGAACAGAACATGTTTGAAACCTTCGCAGAGCCACTGGCCAGAGCTTCTATTGTGGAAGTATGCCTTGCGTACCTATTAGATTTAGACCACAGCCTTTCTCTTTTAGAGGTTAGACAGTCGTACCCGCTTGCGCAGTATTCTGCACGTTATTGGATGGACCATGCTGTCGGATTTGAGACCAGCATGGCCCGTAAGCTCATCAAAGAGTTTTGCCTGCATAAAGATTCTCTTAAGGTGTGCTACGGACTCTATAACACAGATAGGCCATGGGAAGTGGAACCAGAAAGATTTGAAATAGAGAATACTCCTATATTGTACCATATAGCACGTGGAGGGATCGTGTGTGCGGTGGAGGAATTATTGAAACATGGGGCAGACATCCAAGCCCAGGGAGGCAGGTACGGAAACGCTCTTCAAGCTACTTCACTTGAAGGCCACAAGGAGGTCATCCAGATACTCCTCAACAAGGGAGCAGATGTCAACGCCCAGGGCGGCGAGTACGGCAACGCTCTTCAAGCTGCTTCACTTGAAGGCCATAAGGAGGTTATCCAGATGCTCCTCGACAAGGGAGCAGATGTCAACGTCCAGGGCGGCCAGTATGGCAACGCTCTTCAAGCTGCTTCATTGAATGGACAAAAGGAGGTTGTTCAGATACTCCTCGACAAGGGAGCAGATGTCAACGTTCAGGGCGGCCTCTTTGGCAACGCTCTTCAAGCTGCTTCATTGAAGGGAAACAAGGAGGTCATCCAGATACTCCTCAACAAGGGAGCAGATGTCAACGCCCAGGGCGGCCAGTATGGCAACGCTCTTCAAGCTGCTTCATTCCATGGACATAAGGAGGTTATTCAGATGCTCCTCGACAAGGGAGCAGATGTCAACGTCCAGGGCGGCTACTTTGGCAACGCTCTTCAAGCTACTTCACTTGAAGGCCACAAGGAGGTCATCCAGATACTCCTCAACAAGGGAGCAGATGTCAACGCCCAGGGCGGCCAGTATGGCAACGCTCTTCAAGCTGCTTCACTTGAAGGCCATAAGGAGGTTATCCAGATGCTCCTCGACAAGGGAGCAGATTTCAACGTCCAGGGCGGCCAGTATGGCAACGCTCTTCAAGCTGCTTCATTGAAGGGAAACAAGGAGGTCATCCAGATACTCCTCAACAAGAGAGCAGATGTCAACGCCCAGGGCGGCGAGTACGGCAACGCTCTTCAAGCTGCTTCATATGACGGAAATAAGGAGGTCATCCAGATACTCCTCGATAAGGGAGCAGATGTCAACGTCCAGGGCGGCCAGTATGGCAACGCTCTTCAAGCTGCTTCATTTAAAGGAAGCAAAGAGGTTATTCAGATACTCCTCGACAAGGGAGCAGATTTCAACGTCCAGAGCGGCCAGTTTGGCAACGCTCTTCAAGCTGCTTCATTCAATGGACATAAGGAGGTTGTTCAGATACTCCTCGATAAGGGAGCAGATGTCAACGTCCAGGGCGGCCAGTATGGCAACGCTCTTCAAGCTGCTTCATTGAATGGACAAAAGGAGGTTGTTCAGATACTCCTCGACAAGGGAGCAGATGTCAACGTTCAGGGCGGCTACTTTGGCAACGCTCTTCAAGCTACTTCATTGAATGGACAAAAGGAGGTCATCCAGATACTCCTCAACAAGGGAGCAGATGTCAACGCCCAGGGCGGCCAGTATGGCAACGCTCTTCAAGCTGCTTCATTCCATGGACATAAGGAGGTTATTCAGATGCTCCTCGACAAGGGAGCAGATGTCAACGTCCAGGGCGGCTACTTTGGCAACGCTCTTCAAGCTACTTCACTTGAAGGCCACAAGGAGGTCATCCAGATACTCCTCAACAAGGGAGCAGATGTCAACGCCCAGGGCGGCCAGTATGGCAACGCTCTTCAAGCTGCTTCACTTGAAGGCCATAAGGAGGTTATCCAGATGCTCCTCGACAAGGGAGCAGATGTCAACGTCCAGGGCGGCCAGTATGGCAACGCTCTTCAAGCTGCTTCATTTAAAGGAAGCAAAGAGGTTATTCAGATACTCCTCGACAAGGGAGCAGATGTCAACGTCCAGGGCGGCCAGTATGGCAACGCTCTTCAAGCTGCTTCATTTAAAGGAAGCAAAGAGGTTATTCAGATACTCCTCGACAAGGGAGCAGATTTCAACGTCCAGAGCGGCCAGTTTGGCAACGCTCTTCAAGCTGCTTCATTCAATGGACATAAGGAGGTTGTTCAGATACTCCTCGATAAGGGAGCAGATGTCAACGCCCAGGGCGGCCACTTTGGCAACGCTCTTCAAGCTGCTTCATTCCATGGACATAAGGAGGTTGTTCAGATACTCCTCGATAAGGGAGCAGATATCAACGCCCAGAGTGGCGAGTACGGCAACGCTCTTCAAGCTGCTTCATATGACGGAAATAAGGAGGTCATCCAGATACTCCTCAACAAGAGAGCAGATGTCAACGCCCAGGGCGGCCACTTTGGCAACGCTCTTCAAGCTGCTTCATATGACGGAAATAAGGAGGTCATCCAGATACTCCTCGACAAGGGAGCAGATGTCAACGCCCAGGGCGGCCACTTTGGCAACGCTCTTCAAGCTGCTTCATTTAAAGGAAGCAAAGAGGTTATTCAGATACTCCTCGACAAGGGAGCAGATTTCAACGTCCAGAGCGGCCAGTATGGCAACGCTCTTCAAGCTGCTTCATTCAATGGACATAAGGAGGTTGTTCAGATACTCCTCGATAAGGGAGCAGATATCAACGCCCAGAGTGGCGAGTACGGCAACGCTCTTCAAGCTGCTTCATATGACGGAAATAAGGAGGTCATCCAGATACTCCTCGACAAGGGAGCAGATGTCAACCCCCAGGGCGGCGAGTACGGCAACGCTCTTCAAGCTGCTTCATTCAATGGACATAAGGAGGTTGTTCAGATACTCCTCGACAAGGGAGCAGATGTCAACGTCCAGGGCGGCCAGTTTGGCAACGCTCTTCAAGCTGCTTCATTTAGAGGACATAAGGAGGTCATCCAGATGCTCCTCGATAAGGGAGCAGATATCAACGCCCAGAGTGGCGAGTACGGCAACGCTCTTCAAGCTGCTTCATTCAATGGACATAAGGAGGTTGTTCAGATACTCCTCGATAAGGGAGCAGATATCAACGCCCAGAGTGGCGAGTACGGCAACGCTCTTCAAGCTGCTTCATTCAATGGACATAAGGAGGTTGTTCAGATACTCCTCGATAAGGGAGCAGATATCAACGCCCAGAGTGGCGAGTACGGCAACGCTCTTCAAGCTGCTTCATTCAATGGACATAAGGAGGTTGTTCAGATACTCCTCGATAAGGGAGCAGATATCAACGCCCAGAGTGGCGAGTACGGCAACGCTCTTCAAGCTGCTTCATATGACGGAAATAAGGAGGTCATCCAGATACTCCTCGACAAGGGAGCAGATGTCAACCCCCAGGTTGGACGCTTTGGCAACGCTCTTCAAGCTGCTTCATTTAAAGGAAGCAAAGAGGTTATTCAGATACTCCTCGACAAGGGAGCAGATGTCAACGTCCAGGGCGGCCAGTATGGCAACGCTCTTCAAGCTGCTTCATTCAATGGACATAAGGAGGTCATCCAGATACTCCTCGACAAGGGAGCAGATGTCAACGCCCAGGGCGGCCTCTTTGGCAACGCTCTTCAAGCTGCTTCATTTAGAGGACATAAGGAGGTCATCCAGATGCTCCTTAATAAGGGAGCAGATATCAACGCCCAGGGCGGCCACTTTGGCAACGCTCTTCAAGCTGCTTCATTTAAAGGAAGCAAAGAGGTTATTCAGATACTCCTCGACAAGGGAGCAGATTTCAACGTCCAGGGCGGTCAGTATGGCAACGCTCTTCAAGCTGCTTCATTGAAGGGAAACAAGGAGGTTGTTCAGATACTCCTCGATAAGGGAGCAGATGTCAACGCCCAGGGCGGCCACTTTGGCAACGCTCTTCAAGCTGCTTCATTCCATGGACATAAGGAGGTTGTTCAGATACTCCTCGATAAGGGAGCAGATATCAACGCCCAGAGTGGCGAGTACGGCAACGCTCTTCAAGCTGCTTCATATGACGGAAATAAGGAGGTCATCCAGATACTCCTCAACAAGAGAGCAGATGTCAACGCCCAGGGCGGCCACTTTGGCAACGCTCTTCAAGCTGCTTCATTTAGAGGACATAAGGAGGTCATCCAGATACTCCTCGACAAGGGAGCAGATATCAACGCCCAGAGTGGCGAGTACGGCAACGCTCTTCAAGCTGCTTCATTCAATGGACATAAGGAGGTTGTCCAGATACTCCTTGACAAGAGAGCATATATCAAGTCTTAATACACCACATGTGATCTTAATCCTCTATGGACTTGAGGACATTAAAAACAAAAACCCAAAACATACAACACCAGGTATTTGCTAGTCGTCACCGAGTCCTACAGGGGTGGACCGCCTTTATCCTGTCGGTCCGTGTCATGGACCGCTTATCGCTTGTCGGTCCTTTCTTATCATCACGTTACTTGCCCATAGTTCTTCCGTTCCGTGAGAGGGTGCCTAGTGTCCCTCGTCTCCTGCATATGTGGTGTGTTGTAACCGCCGCGAGCCTGCGGGGCAGGCCTTGGATTTGGTCATGCATGTTGGGTCGTAACACTAAGGTAATCAGGCTTAGACTCAATAAGGCAATTAGCAGTGAAGGTAAGTTGGCAGTATTCTGAAGAATATGTATAAAGCTGATTACTAAAGAGCTATGGAAGTATGACCTGGAGCTAAGCTTAAGTCATATTATATATAAGTCCTGAATAACTTAGTGCCCTTTGTGATTATCTTATTACTATTCCTATTCTTAACGGAGTCCGTCGTTTGTTCACACGGCACCCGTATGTGTCGAACAAGACAGAGGATACTTAGCCTCCCGGCCAGGTAGCTGGCCTCTCCGGCTGGGAACAAGAAAAACGGAGGTGGCCCTGTCAATGAACGGCGCGCCCGAACAGAGGAGAATTTGGGCCCGCACTTCCGTTTTCTTTCGGATGAGTCAGCGCCCCAGCCTCCTTCTGATAGGCCGGCCCATAGGGCTTATCTATGAGCCACCTGGCTTCGTGAAGTTGGTGTAGGTTACCATCACCGGGTGACGATGGCTGTCCATGATACGGAACAAGGATTATGCGTTCCTAAACGGTCGGGCACCGTTTTGACCTGAGCAGCCCCGTCGCCTGACGGTCAGCACTATCCGAACACCCAGACACCCTAAGCGAGGCACACCACCACTACCCAGCCCGCCCACAACCTGCTTCTAACTTTCAAGAAGCGACTTTCGAACTCTCCAATGAGGGTGAGATCTAAGCGACCCTTCTTGGTGGGCTCTGAGGCAACGAGACCCGTTCTGCGGCCCTAACCGCCGTAGCCCCATGCATGAGTGGCAGTGTTCTTCGGACTCGTGAAGGTTCCGGTTGGCGGCGTTTACCAACAAGATATGCGTTTCCAGGCTCATCGTCTGGTAAACTGTCGCCAACACCTCCAGGCCCCCCCCTTGCCCCCTTCACAATGCCCGTATCAAGGAAAGTTACTGTTAGGGTGCTCCTAGGTACCATCAGGAGACACCTCGCCACATCAGGCTACCGTTCACCGCCTCTAAGGGCCTACGGCGGAACTGTTAGGGCCTCCCTCTTCTGGAGCAGCATAGCAGTAGAGTGGCAAAGGGATGCACTGGGGCCCTCGTTCATACCAGGGCAGTCGGATTTCGGACCTTCTAGCAGTAGGTGTTATCCGCCTACGTGGGCGTTACCAGCAACTCCAGCGCCCGCATGGCGCCGCCTGGCGTCTATCCTGGGCATAGAGCGCTACGCCACGGCGACGACTTTTAGTTTCCAGAAATTCGAATTGGAACAACGGAACGCACTTCTCGATTCTACTCCAGGCGCTAAAACTTGACTTTAAGATGTCGAGGAAGAGGGAGAAGAGCCCTGAAGAACAAGCCCCAGACAACAGCAAGAGCAATAACAACTACGAGATAGCAATATGGATCAAGATGCAAACAAGCCCGCAGCGACCTCGCTAGTCCCTGATGCGGAACGTCTACGAAAGGATAGCAAGAGAAGAGGAACGTTGTTCTCTCATCGCAAGAAGGCGTTGTTCCGGAAAGCAGATCGTATTTTCCAAGACTGCGATGCCAAAGTCTACACCTTTATCGAGCGGAAGGGCCGCATCTGGATCTACACCAGCCATCCCTCAGACAATACCTTGCCCCGTAGTCAAGCGTCACTAGTGAGGTCCTCCTCTGTCCTTGCCTTGCTGAATGCACTAACGTACTGAAGCGCCAACAATATCCTTTACCTGTTTTGTGTACACCCAGCAAGCCTGGTTTAATGAAGCAAGAGAAATGCGAGGACTAGCACAGGCAGGCCTATACCTGCTTCTGAACAGAACCACTAGATCAGACCGCTGGATGGCAATGTTGGAAGAAGGATGCAGATGAGCAGTGGCTCGCAGTGGACGAGGAGCCTAAGAACAAGGCACTGGCGTGGGTCGAATATGGGCCAATGTGGGTAACAGGTTCGGAAACAGTGAGGAGCAAAGTGACAAATACGCAGTGATGTAAGCATTGACATGGAGGGCTGCAGCTTATTCTATGTTCCTGTTGTCCAGCGAAAAGTACCTAGTAACACATGGCTGTTGGATACAGGTCTTGCGCTTGAGCCCGGATCGGCCCGCTTCCGCTGCCACCCCGCTACCCCGCCGCCCAAAAAGACCCAAATTCCAGTGACACCACCAGTCTTTCCCAATTCCTCATATGATGACCACGATAGCCGTCCTTTAGCGGTATAATTCAGGCAAATTGACGCGTTTCAAAGATAGTGCTGTCTGTCATGGCCTCTTACAAGCGCGGTAGTGCCTGATGTATCATGTGTGTGAAATTGGAGAGAGCAGGGATTTTTAGGTGGAAGATCATCTGCAGTGTATTACTCTTGTTTTTCTTGTTAGTTTTTCCGCATTGCGAGCAGACGTTCTTTTGGGTAAGGGCTTATAGACACCATCTATTATGTAGGTAACGCGTGATATAAGCGTTTAGCCATAATCAGAATCCATTATTGAAGAAGGCTTGCAGCCACTCGTCCCCAGCACAACACTACCAACCACGCCATTCAATCCTCCTACTCTGATCCCAATCACATCCAAACCTTCGAAAATTGGTTACACCAACAGGCCTTAAATGGCCTTTGGCCAAAACTTTCCGATGAAATCCTCCACATCTTTCCATAAAGTCTCTGGCTCTTCAAGTGCAGCAAAATGACCTCCTCTCTCGTGCATTCGATACCAGCTCACCTGGGCTGTTTGCCTGATCCACCTCTCAGGTGCAGTGACGAGCTCATACTTGAACGCTGAATATCCTAGCGGGACTTTGAGAGTTTTCCAACCATTCATCATGAGCTCAACGTTCTCGAAGACCACGCGATGGATATAGACCGACGTTGGGAAGCACCCAGTGAACCAATAGAGGGCCAGGTTCGTGATGATGAGATCTCTATCTGGTGTCTTGTCAGACCACTTGATCATCTTGTCCCCAATCCAGGAGAGTAGTGCCACTGGGTTGCTTCCGATGATATACCCTGCACTAGCCGGCTTCGTTCCGTTAAGTTGGATGAATGCGGTGCCTGTCTTTGCAAATTCGGCACTTCTCGCAAAGGCTGCTACCTCATCTGGAGTATACCGCCCTGCCTCGATACCGGCCTCGACATCTTCACCAGCAGGTGGTGAAACGTTCAGCATGCTCATTTGGACGAGCTTGCACGCTGAATCGAGATTCGCAATGACAGGTGCTGACCAACCGCCGAGGTCACCGCCTTGGGCAATGTAGCCAGATTTGTCGAACCCCAACGCATGCATCATCTTCGACATGAGGCGAGCATTATCGAGATGCGAGAAATCTTCGTCGAGGGGTGGGTGGTGCGTCAGAAAACGGAAATCCGACATGGTGAGGCACAATGACGTGGTAGGGAAGCGACTCAGAATCGTATTGAGATTGAAGATTGCGAAGGATCGGGGGATACTCTACAACAGAGCCTGGCCAGCTGTGTAAGAAGAGAATGGGGATTGCAGATGGGTTCTTGGAGAAAAGAGCGAAAAAGTTGATCTTGTATGTTTTGGAGTCGTCATCGGTAACATCCATGTTGAATTGAGGAATAGTGTTGAGAGTAGACTCCCATTTTCTCCAGTCGTAGTCGTTCTCCCAGTATTTTACCAACGCTGAGAGGACATCTCGATGAAGGCCGAAAGACTCATCACCACGCGAGTTGAACCTATTCGGCTTGGGAATGGGCGTAAGTTTGAGAAGCGTCTTCAAACTGTCAATCTCAGCATCAGGGATTGAAATGCTGGTAGGCGTGAGTTTTGCTGAAGCAGGGACTTCATAGGGACGGGCACTGAAAGGCAGGGAGGCCATTGTCTGAGATGTGGTAGAGTTTTGTTGACTAAGAGTGATGAAGAAGGCAAAGATAATTTGTTTCTTTCCTCTTGTAAGGAATTGACGCGATCTTTATACCAAATTCTCAAGTCTAGTTGCTCAACCTGCTGCCTTGTGATGCTGTTAGCGGCTTGGTAGTAGGATCAGCAGTCAGGCTTCCAGAAGTTTCGTGAAGCCACTTTCTGTTCATTGCAAAACCAATCGTTGCCATACTCGAGCGTAACAAACACCTTCTTTCCATGGGTATTCTGTGGTTCTCCAAGGGAGGTGCAGGAGTTGGCCGAATCCCGTACAATCGTCGGGAAAAGAGGCCAACGTTAATTCGCCGGCTGACAGGTTATTCGGCCTAAACAGAAATAGCGGCAAGAACTTCCCTTTGCTTAAATCTCACACGAAATCGAATCTCATCACTTACTCTTCTGCTTTCTTTTGTTCATGGTCAAGTCGAAAGGCCAGAGAAAGAAGCTTCCATCCGAGCAATGATCTCGGCCGCTCGAGTACCAACCATGACACCTAGGCCGGATAAGTCCGTGGCGAGACACGTCAATACACGAACCGGACAGGGTGCGTATCATTCCGCCAAAAGCATATTCGATGCGATGAGAGGCGCCCATCTTGGTAAGCTGCCTTCCTAATGTGTCCATTTACGCGGCTAGATAGCGGTCTTTCTACCAGTGCTGTCTGCGAGGGTCCAATCACATCATAACAATCTACCCCATGAGGCTTCATCGCAACTCTTCAGACGTGCATGATTGATAATTCTGTCCGACAGCTTCAACTGTATACTCAAAGAGCAGTTATGTTCGTATGTGCCAAAGATTCCGCTTCGCGAACGTAAAGCTGGCCCTTGCCCTGGTCAACAAGCACCGTGGGCTGTTGAGGATACACGACCCGTCACAAACCCCTCTCATAGCCATAAGGAGATCGCCGTGTCATCAGAGATACCATCCACCCAAGCGCTCACACTAACGAGACCGTTCTACGTAAATCCGTGGGAAGCCCTTGATCCCTTTGACATTTTGCCCATCAACATGCCCCTCAGGTCGAAAGAACTTCTTCACTACTGTTAGTCTATACTCTTGTGCTAACCCAGTATTACGCGTTGGCGGTATCTGATCATAACAAAACAGTTTTCCAAGCTGGATACTCTCTCGATCCGTTACTCAGAACTCCGAATGACTGGTAAGTGTCTATCGCGGTATCCGAATGACGATGTATTAAGAGGCCCTGTATGTTGTTGTTTGTTTGTTTTATATTTAACGCCATGGCGGCAAGGGCGCAGCCGCCCTTGCGGCAGACCTCCCGGAGGGTATGTGGCGTGAAGGGTCGCAGGCTCTAGCTATATACTATATAGTACACGCCGTATCCTGACGTCCTCCAAATCTTGCTCGTAAGCTACTATGTGTTCTATCCATCCCTAGTTCCCACTGGTGCCCTAGTTCCGTTATAACCATCTGGTTTCTTAATAGAGGTAGTTTGTCGTTTGGAGGATAGGTTATGACCTATCTCCTAGTACCGCGGGCAGATCTTCTGGAAGAAGTCTGTCACGCAGAGGAAGGCCTGGAAGCCTTCAGAGTCAGTGATTAGCCCCTTGAAGTAGCGATCGAGGGACCCTATAGGTCCTACGGGCTCCTGGCGGCTGTAGGGGTAGAGGGTGGGCCACTGTTGCCTCCTCAGTAGGGTCTTTCGGCAGTAGACTAGATGGTCTGCCTCCTTAACCCATCCACAGGAGCAGGTGAGTAGTGCTTCTGTGTGGTTAAAGCGTTGGTGATATTGTTTAAAGTCCCCGTGGCCTGACCGTGCCGCGAGGAGGTGATAAAGGGCAGCCCTAGGGAGGCTAAGTTCAGGAGGGCAAGCAAGGGTGGCCTTGAGCCCTAGTTGGGTATAGCGGGGAGTTGCCTCTTGTTTCCACCATCGTCTATATTGGCGTCTTGGCCGCTCTTTAGCAAGCCACTTGATACCTGATAGAGTAGCTAGTTGGCCCCTAGGGACTGGTAGAGTTGTTCCCTCCTTAGCTAGGCTGTCTGCTTCTTCGTTTCCTTTAATATCTTGGTGCCCCGGGGACCAATGGGTTCGTATATCGTATATCCTAGCTACCTCCTGGATCTCTAAGAAGGCAGCTTGTGAGGAGTCTGGGACCTTGCCACGGATTCCCTGGATGACACTGGAATTATCGATGCAGATGTGTATCGGCTGGCCCTGAGAGGTATGGAGGGCCCGTCGGAGCCCCGCCCTCGCCCCCTCCGCCTCACCATCAAACACTTCTGCTAAGCCGAGACGGCCGCAGCCCTGGGCTATACGTTTATTGTTGCGGTAGATAACAAAGCCGAACCCTGTAGCCCCGTCAGGAGCTTTGGAGCCGTCTGAGTATACGACTGTATGCTGACCTGGCACAGTCTTGAGCCAGGCCTGGAAGATCCTAGCTGCTACTTCCTTCGTCTGTGTAACTATAGGGTCATAGGACCCTGGGAGGTATTGCGGCTGTAGGAGCGCTGGCCTTGGACACTTAGGTAAAAGGCCAGCTGTTCTTTGAAGCCTGGTCTGTTGCCGCCCTGACTGCAGCAGCCTTGGGACCAAGGGATGCTGTTGGTCAACCTTCTGCAGGCGTATAGCGAAGCGTAGTCGCGCTGCTTCGAGGGCTACCTCTGCTGTGGGAAGGCCAGCGTCTCGGATGAGGCTACTGGTCGGTGTGGTTCTCCAGACAGGCAGGATAGCCCTTGCTGCTGCTGTAATAACTTTGCTAAGTCTACGGGCCAGGCCCTTCTGTCCTGTACCAACTGTAGGTATCTGTAAAGCAGTGCTACTGCTAGTATTGGTGCCGCTGTTTAGGGCTGGTTTGGCTAGGCCCGCATACCAGGTCTCAACTCCATACAAGGCTGTTGGAAGGACACAGGCAATAACCGCTTGTCGTACTGCGGCTGCTGGGAGTCCCCCTTTGGTATTTGTTAGGTGCCGTAGGAACTGGGCTACCTTCTTTGCCGCTGCCACCTTAGTTTCGACATGGTGACGGAAGGTGAGTCTCTTGTCGAACCAGACTCCTAGCCATCGTACAGGCTTAGTTGAGGCCTTAATAGTTAGGCCCGTCGCCTGTATATCTGGTAGGTCTTTTGTCTGGTTATATTTCCTGCTGAAGTGGACTGCCTCACACTTAGCTGGGTCAAAAGCAACCTTGTTATCAGTGCCCCAGTTAAGGATATGAGTGATCTTTTGGCCTAGGGCTATAGCATTTCCTTCTAGCGACGGGCTAGTAGCTACTAAGCCTATATCATCCGCATAGCCAAACCGTAGTTCTTGATCGTCGGCTAGGATATCCGCTAAATATAGTAAAAAGAGAATAGGGGATAGTGGGGAGCCTTGTGGTAGCCCACAGGATAGAGGGAAATCCTCTGTAGTTGTATCCTCTAGCCTGACCCGGGCTGCTCGGCTAGAGGTAAAGGTGAAGATCAGCCTAATCAGATGACTAGGCCAGCCCTGCTGTCGTAGCCTGATAATAAGTCGGTTTCTTAGGACAGAGTCAAAAGCCCCTTTAACGTCCATTGTCACAAGAGTTGCAGTGAGCCCTGAGTCTAGAGCCCTCTCGATCTCGTGGGTCAGACAGGCTGTTAGGTCGACTGCAGCCCTGCCTGGTAGTGCTCCAACCTGCTGTGGGCTAGCAACCCCTTCTAGGATAGTAAGGTAGGCCATCCTTTTTGCTATTAGCCGCTCTAGGCCTTTAACTAAGCAGGATAAAAGGGATATCGGACGCCAAGACCCAGTCTTCGAGAAGTCTGTTTTCCCTGGCTTCTGGATCATGACAACTTCTGCTTTGCGGAACGGTCGAGGGAAGTGGACTACTTGAATACAGGCCTGGAAGAGCTGCTGTATAGGCCTAGCTACTGATTCCCAGGTGTGTTGTAGTAACTTTGTAGTAATCCCGTCAATCCCAGGGGTTGTCGATTGTCTGACCTTCCACTATAAGAGGCGGGCCTTTAACAGCTAAGCCAGCCTTCCGCCAGCCTACTATCTTATATAGGTCTTGGTCTGTCTTAGCCCCTTCGATCTTAGTAGTCCAGTAAGCGCGTTTTGCCCTTCTAACAGTTGTTAAGAAGATCTTTTGCTCCTCTAGGATGGGGGGAGGTATAACTAGCCCAGGTTCCTGGGCCTGCTGGCGCCTAGCCTCGATAGCAGCTCGGTGGGCTTCTGCACACTCTTCTGTCCACCAGGGGGCTCCCCTACCCTGATTTGTCCGTCTCTTACCTACAGCTTGAATAGCTGTATAGAAGAGGCTGACTAGTTGGGTAGCTAGAGTGTCCAGCTCTGCTGGACTAGGTACTTCCCCTAGGGTAGGTAAGGCTGAGGATCCAGCTCTTACTAGGTCGATAAGTCGGGGTAGGGCTGACTCTGGGACTGAGAGGTGTCCAGTCTGGCGTTTCTGTTCCTGGGCCTTGCCTATAGGGATAGTTGTTGTGATAGCTTGGTGGTCAGCCCCTAGGTGCAGGTGTGGGCTAATATAAGCCTCAGCAAAGGGGATATTTGAGAATGTTAGGTCGAGGGTATGCCTATGAGTATGGGTAGGGACCCCAACCTCCCCAATAAACGAAAGATCGTAGCCTTCAGCCCACTCTGCAATATCGTCCCCCCGATTCCGGCTAGGGGAGCCTGGTTCCCAGGTAGGGTGGCGGGCGTTAAAGTCCCCTGCTATAAGGGCTCTTTCTGGCGGATAGTATCCTAGGAGAGCAGTAGTCGTGTGGTTTGTCGGCTCACCTGGCGGCCTATATACGTTGATAATAGTGAAGTTGCCAGCCTTAACCCATAAGATATCTCTCGTTTGGGTAGGCCTTTGTTGCTGTATTTGTAGTCTTAGGCTCTTGCGTATATAGGTCATAACCCTAGGTCTTGTATCTCTGTTGTTCCAGAAGTCAACTGGGATATAGGAGTTATAGCCTGGGTGTGTGTTGATTTGCATCTTATCTCTATAGCCTATCCAGGGCTCCTGGATCAGTACTATATCGATCTGATCCGCCCAGCAGAGCTCTAGGAGAGCTGTATGAGCTGGGCTTCTCTTCCCCACGTTACACTGGGCGACTCGTAGTACCCGTGGGGAGGCTGGCCTGAGCCTACTGCTCTGAGTCGAGGTCGAGGTGGGTGTAGGCATTAATAACGTTGTAATCAGGCTTCTGCGCCACCCGCTGAGCCCTGCTGCTTGAGGTAGCTAGGGTAGGTTGGCTGGGTAGGGGGGGTAGGGCTGGGTCGTCAGGGGCTTGCAGCCCTTCTTCTTCAGCCCCATTCTCATCTTCATCCATGCTGCTACAGCTAGCCGCATCACTAACGTCCGCTACAACAATTGAGTCCTGGATAGGGGTAGGGGCGCGTGGGCGCTTTGAGCCGGGCTGATGGCTCGTTAGGCTGTTGCTAGGTTGCTGGGTGTTGCTGGCTTGGGTGCCAGCCTGGCTGCTCTGATAGAGGGCCTCATAGGCCTTCTGACCAGCCTTACGGATCCGGGAGAGTTCCTTCCGGTCTGGGAGGGTAGGGGAGCCATTAACCACTAGGGGCCTTGCTGGACAGTCCTTATGGTTAGCTTGGAAGGGGCCGGAGCAGTTGGCGCACTTCGGTCTAGCTATGCAGGGCCCAGTCTCGTGGGATCCCGAGGGCCTGCTACAGTTGCTACAGAGCGGCTGTCGGTTACAGTATCGGTTCGAATGATATCCCTGGCATCCAGGGTCGTGTCTGATTAGGGTCTTCTTCTTTTGGATAAGCTGAGACCTGCTGCTTTGGTTAAACAGTCTGAAGGGTGGTACTTCCACAGAGAAGGAGATGACCCAGGAGACTTCGTTTGTAATAGGGTTTAAACCTAGCCGGGACTGCTGGGCCCGGGTAGACTTACGTCCTGTTTGGGCAAGGACCTCATCTTCTACCAGAGTAGCTGGGTCAAGGGCGTCGCCATCAAGAGTCCACATCTTAGCAGGGCAACGTGGGACGACGTAGGTAAACCACTTAGTAGGGGTCTCAACCTTATAGGCTCCAAGACACTCTGCTAGTTTCTGTTTGTTTGCAAGGAGGGCTTGCTGGACCTGCTTATTCAGGGGTCTCAGTGAGTAGCCAGTTGCAATATGGTAGATGTGTGGGATATCTGCCAGCTGGAGCCTAAGGGCCTGGCAGACTGTCCGGCGTAGGGCGAAGGGGGCGTGCTTCCTAGCAGCCGCTAGGCCCTCTTCTGGGATACGGGTAAAGACCCGGAGGTCCTCCTTCGGTTGGGATAGAGCCTGGGCCCGGGTCTCCGTCAGACTCTGTGTCTGGACTTCGGGCCGGGTGGGGATTCGGGTACGGGTCGGGGCTACGGCCACGGCTGTAGTTGAAGCCGAGGCTACTACGTCAGTCCATTTCCGGCTCGGAGCCGGAGCCGTAGTCTCGTTACCCATAATCCTCTTCAAGGCTTGGATTACATAGGTTGTAGCTTCTTTTGCAATCTGCTTCCTAGGCCCCTCAAAGCAAGAGATCACGTTGTCCACAGACTGAGCAATAGCCATAAAAACGTCCTTTCGGGCTTCATAGTGCTTAGCCTCTTCATTAAGAGCTGTAAGGACAGCTCCAGTAGCTGTCCCAGTCATAGTCGAGGACCCCTTAGCCGTTAAGGGGGTTGTTGTTGGGGCGTCGGGCTGGCTTCCCACGAGGCTGGGCCGGAGTGGCTGGGCCTCGGTTTCGCGGCGGCGTTTAGCCCTTGAGGATGGGGGCGGCTCTGAAGAGGGTCCAGAGCCTCGATCAAGGCCGGCCGAGGAGGTCGGCAACGGTCCAGAGCCCGCCGGAGGCTGCGAGGCCATCGCGGGAGGGCGCCGGAGGAGAGGTGAAGGGTTTTCAGCTGTTAAGGATTTTGGTGGTAGCCCACTTATTACACTAACAGTAGATGCCAAGAAAAATTAGGCGAGAGGGAAGTTGTCGAGGAAATAGGAACAGCATCCAAAGAAAACACAGTTCGAAAAGTGGCATTTCATAACATAGCCGCCAGTCATCGCGTTGTTCGTTTCTGATTCGATTCTTCATTTCACACGGACCATCGTTCAGCAAGACTCCACAAAAGCAGTCAAATCTAAATCGAACATTGCCGCCACTGATCTCACCAAACGCGCGACCGTCCAGTCCACAGAAGGGGGGAGGGGGCTTGAAAGCTGGTCGGAATCCTCAACCCGGTAAAGAGCCATCACACCTTCTCCCTCAACCTAAACACCAGCGGCGTATCCTTATTCACCTGGCTCTCCATAGCAAACCACCCACCCGGCGGCCGCGTTACACCCGCAGGGTACCCGACATCATACCGCAACAACAACTCCGCCAAAAAGATTTTGAGCTCGTTGGCAACCAGGAACCTACCGGGGCAGGACCACTGCCCGTGCCCAAACGAGGGGAACTCGTTCCGCGTCGACGTGAACTGCCACTGGTTCTCCTGGCCCGACTCCTGCCTCTTGCGCGCGAAGCGGAATCCGTCAAAGACGTCCGGCTCCGCGAATTGCGAGGCGTCGCGGAGGCCCTCCAGTGAGACGGAGACGAGTGAGCCCCTTGGTAGGCGGGTGCCGTCTGAGAGGATGGTTGTTTGTTTGACGTAGCGGTTCATTGACGCTGCAAGGGATTGAGTGTCAGCAATCAGGATAGCCTTTTGTAAAGGTACTTTGCAATGCTGCATTTAGGAGGGACGTACTCAGCTGAACAGGGTTCATCCGTTGCGTCTCCTTCAAAAAGCTGTCCATCAGCCGCATCTTATACAGCGTCGTCTTCTTCCAACCTCCGTCCTCGGCGAGGACCCTATCAATCTCCTCCCTCAACGGGCCGATGCACTCTGAGTGGGCCGCCAGGTCATACAGGACATTGCACAGTAAATCAACAGTCGTATGCGTGGACGCAAACGCGAGCGAGATCATGGCGCTGACAGCGTCAAAGTCCTCCTCCTGACCGCGCTTGTTCGAGTTCTTGTAATACCACTCTAGGGCATCGTTGAACTTGACATCGATCCCGGCATCACGCAGCCGTCTCCGCTCCTCGATCTCGGGAAGGATGAGCGTCTTTGCGACCTCGCCGAGCTTTTTAAGGGCGATGATCCCGGGTAGGAAGCGGTACACAATGGAACGGAGGAATTTGGGGGTGGATAGCAGGCCGCTGATGGCGGCCCAGACGCCTTCTGGGTACTGGGTGCAAATGTACAGCCACTCCTTGTTATTTGAGAATCTCTTGCCGAGGAAGACAAGGGTTGAGAGGCGAACGCCCATTTCTGCGGCGTCTTTGCCAATGGTGTATGGCGTCCATTCTGAGGAGGTTTCAGTTAAATTCAGGTTATCAAGAGGAACATGTCATGCTCACCAGTCGTTTGCGGAAAACATTCGGTTAAAATTTCGCGTGCTTCTTCTGCTAAAAGGGGTGTTGCCTCGCCTTGAAGTTTTAAAGAATTAACTCGTCAATGGCCAAGAATGGATAAAGGATGAAATGATGGAGAAGACTCACTGAGATATTGCGTCATGTTAATTCTCAGAGACTCTTGGAAGACACGGTTCTCATTGATCTTGTGCGCCCAGTCCAGGCCCGGGTATTGCCCAAACAACCTCTATGTTTGTTGGTTAGACCCGGAAAATCATCATCGCCATCATGACATAAGGGTCGGCACGCAGAAGTTGAAACAAAGTGAATAATCAGACATACCATCTCGGCAGACTTCCCGAAATCCAGGTTTGGGTGATCCTTAACAAGCGGGACATATCTTGGGGGCAGGACTGTGATGGGGACATAGCCAATGACCTGAAACGGTCCATTGTACTACATGAACGTGACGCTGTCAGTCAAACAAAGTCCACTTCCAATGTCTTGGGGTGCCATGTGTCATCCCTCACCTTTTGGAGGCCCTCTTTGATGAGATTCTTACAGTCCGTCACGAAACGATACTGTGCCTTGATGTTGAGGATGTCCCATTTTGGGCCCCCGACGTAGGGAATACCTCGGAGCGGCCGAGTGCTGTAATTAAAGTAGAAAAAGACAATCAGAGACAATAAAGCGACGGTTACGGTCACGTAAGTGTTGCCCCGGACCCGAGAGAGCAAGTCCAGTGCGATCTCCATGATAGGCGATCGGAGTTTGGTGCAACGTAATTCGAGTACTAAACAACTTGTTTGTCTGTATTACGTCCATCCGACACAGAAGCTGCAAAGCCCGCTTAAAAGCTTCTGATAAGGCAATGAAACTCGAGGCATTGTTTCCAATGTCTTGGCGTCTTGCTGGATTACGCCGAGTTACAAATCCAACCAAAGCAGCCGACGTTGCACTCTGGTCAGCAAGTGTCGGGTCTTTTGTCATTGGCTTTGGTACGACATGCATGTACACTCGACTGTTCGGGACAAGCGACATTTGATAAGACGCAAGTCAAATAAGTCTAGCCGTCGGCTTCGGATGAATTGTACAACTCCAGTGTCTCACCTTTTGAAATTTGCTAGAGGGGGACGGGAATCTGACGAGTGACGACAGAAAGGATCATGCACGACACGGGAGTGGCGCCGGTGCCGTACCTTGTTCGAGAGAAGGGGTCAAAAAGGGAACAGCCCGTATCCAATCGGGTGCTGAATGGCGTCAGTACATAGGTCTCTAGTTTTCTCCAACGCTGATCCGTTTTTGAAATTTCTAATTGGGTACAGCGCCTGGACTTAAGACGGTATTAGTACGGAATATCGTGGAATAATACGTAATTTGTTATTACTCCAAGTGGTAATGTACTGACGCCATTCAGCACCCGATGGGATAAATAACCCGAGGCCAATGTTCAAGGGGTGGCAACCATCTGGCCTGTGCCGTTTCTGCCGTTGGTGTGCTTATGCTTACAGACTCCATAATCGTTACCCCTTGTCGACAGTGAACAATGATACTTTCCAAGACGTGGGCGAGCCTTCTCGTATCACTCCAATACTCGCCAACTGGTCAATTCAAGCTTGTGTTAGAGGTTCTTGCGTTTCTGGTAGGTGAATGATTCCCAAAATCCTTTTGCCTTATCATTGGTGTGGCATAACTGCATCTGTGGTGGTGTGGCCTTTCTGACGCCTTTGCCCACCTAGTTCGCCATACACCGGATTGCTGTGACCATCTACCGGCTATGGTTTCATCCTCTGTCCAAGTATCCAGGCCCCAAGTGGTGGGGAGCATCGGATCTCTTTTGGCTGTGGCGGGCCAACGTCAGGGGCACCTACACTCGTGAGGCTCCGGGTCTTCAACGGAAGTACGGCAACATTGTGCGCCTCGGGCCGGACCGCCTGATGGTGGACGGCAGTATTGCCTGGACGCAGATTTTCTCGCTCAACACCACGGTTCACGGCATAGATGAGTTCTCCAAGGTGCCGAACCAGCTGTTTCCAGGCGATTACAAGACAATCGTTGCTGCGCCGCGGGACGATCACCGCCGTATGCGGCGCCAGCTCAACCATGCCTTCAGCGACGCCGCGCTCAAGGAGCAGGAGGGCATCATCGGTCGTTACGTCGAGAAGCTGGTCGACCATCTCGAGCAAGCAACGAGGCCTGTGGACATCGCCACCTGGCTAAACTACACCACCTTCGACATCATCGGAGATCTGACATTCGCCGAGTCTTTCCACAACCTCGATGACAGTAGCTTTCACCCGTACGTTTCGGGCTTCTTCAGGGCCATCCGCGGCTTCGCGTACAGCCGGATGATTCTGGCCAAGCCGCACTTGACGCCCTTCTTCCTGGTGTTTGTGGGCTGGCGTGAGATCTGGACCGCCGTGTCGACCATGATGGACAATATGAAGCTAGGCGACTCCAAGGTGAAGGCGCGCATGGCCATGGGCGCTGAACCCAAGGACGGCCGGCGCGATTTCATGACGTACATGATGCGGGAGACCCGCGACGGAAAGCCAGGATTCTCGGAGCAGGAAATCATGATGAACAGCGGGTTGCTGATCGGTGCCGGGAGCGAGACCACCGCGTCGGCTGTGAGTGGGTTTTTCTTCTTCGCCGGCATGTCGCCCAAGGCACTGGCACCGCTGATCGAGGAGATCCGGTCCGCGTACAAGACCGAGTCTGAGATCAACCTTGTCAATACACAGCATCTGCCATACTTGCGGGCGTGTATGGACGAGACTCTGCGCTGCTTTCCCACTGTCGTCGAGACACCACCTCGTCAATCTCCTGGGGCCATGTTTGAAGGCAACTGGGTCCCTCGCGGTGTGAGTTCCTCCTCATCACCAGCGCTTCCTGCTATTTCCTCGTCCGCTGAGACTCGAGCTAACATAGACCATCCGCTAGACACTTCTACATGTGAACCAAGTGGCGACCATGCGAAACAGCGGCAACTTCATTGACGCGGAGATTTGGTGTCCGCAGCGTTGGCTCCCTAAAACGCATCCGCTGTACGATCCAAGGTTTGAGGCCGACAACAAGGCGGCGTTCAAGCCCTTTAGCTATGGGCCCCGAGACTGCGCCGGGAAGAATTTGGCGTACTCGGAGATGCGGCTGATGATCTGCAACATCCTACACAGGCTGGACTTTGAGTTGGTCGAGGGCCAGGAGAAATGGTACATTGACAAGCACGTTTGGAGCGTCTGGGAGAAACAGCCGTTGAACTTGAGATTCCGGGCTAGATCAGAGATCTGAGAGTATTCAAAGTGGAAATGGCGATTTGTTAGAAGACGAATCAATGAAAGAGGCGGGTGTATCTACCGGAATCTAATCTCAGAAACTGTCAAAGCGATTGCTATGTGCAACCAAGAGCTGACTAGAATAAGCTGCCTAATGTACATTGCTTCGTTGTTTGTCTTGCTAAAGTTGGATACGGTGTCTGACGAAATTAACGAAAGAAAAGCTCGTGGGCCTCCGGGATAGGTAATAATCCACATTCTAAGGTGAACAAATCCGAGAAGTATCTGACAACGACGGCCGCCGTTCGTACACCTCAGCGTTCTATGGTGTCCTGTTCCCATTGTATGCGACCCAGAAGTCTCAGCAACCTATCAATGATATGCTGTAGGCCTCCCCCATCGTCAATGAAGGACTGGTCGCTATCATGCTGGGCTTGCGTGGATTGGAAGTCTCGGAGCAGGCTATGGTGTGTCACTAGACTCTTGTAAATGATCTGGGCGGCGAGAATATTGGCCTCGTCATCCTGCAGAAGAAACCCTCCGAGTGTCATCTGCGTCCGGGTACAGGTGACAGTGGTGATGGGTAGTGTGGGTGAGAACAGATGGGCGCTGCCGGAGCCTGCCACGCTGTCCGTCAGTTTACTATTCAGGGCGAAGCCGAGGTCGTGGGGCTAGAGAGACTAGAGCATGGATACAGGAGAATAGTAGCAGCGGCGGTAGATGTTGGACTTACGACCCGGCGATGTCTGTGTGAAGCAGTCGGTGGCTGTGTAGGCGTGGGTGGTGGCCTCGAAGAGAGAAATGAGCTTCTCGGAGGCTGTGGTCAAGGCACAGGTGACGTTTGCATTGTTGGCGTTGCCATTGTTGGTGTTGCCATTGTTGCAATGACGACAGCGTGTGGTCTGCCTCCACTGTTCGACAACACAGTGGTGAAGCTGCATGACGGCGTCGAACGAGATGACACCGTCCATTGGGATTTTCTTCAGGAGCCTGGAGGCTTTCCTCGCACAACTACACTTGAAGGTCGATGTCAACGTCGAGGCCGACGCAATTGCTTGTGCTTGGTCCTGATCGTACTCATGCCAGTCGCTAGACTCGTACGACGATGATATTGATGCGTGTGACTGCGGCCCGGGGGACCCCTGATGGATTGGAACATAAAGTCAGTGACAAGGTCTGTAAGACGTCTCCAAGATACAAGATGATAGACCGGTAATTTGATCACCTCTGAGCTGTAGTCGAAGATGCCACTGTGTGCCATCGGAGAGGATCTGTCATATGATCATGAGGGAGTCGAATTGAGTAACATTCCACAGAACAGGAAGACGAGTGGAAGACGGTGACTCGGCCAATTGACATGCCCAAAGAATTGGGAGGGGGCATCAAGAAATTACCCAGATAAATGCTTGTCAAAGGTCCAAGGTAGGACAGAGTGTGTCATCGAGTGAGCGGCATCTCATCCGGTCAGGTAATGTATCGAGGACGTCCATGGCAGCGTATCGGTGTTGGGACAAACCTCAATGGAACCATTAGGTTGTGACTTAGGTAGACCTTTATATCCCTGTCAAACCACCCACGCCAAAGCAATGAAGTACCTAGTTACCTCATCTTATGTTGGCAAACACGCAAGATGACAGCGTGGGCGGGTAAGGTAGGCGCGACCGGGGTGGCCTCGGGATGGATGCAGGCAGCAGCCCCCCGTTGACCTGGTAGCGCGCCGCTCCTCCCTCGGACTAAGTGGGTCTCCGATTGGCTGCTTGGCGAATGGACTTTCATTGCCCTGGTCCTCACCAGCTGCACACCTTACCTAAGCACGTGTTCCTACACCAGGTACCGCATTTCCCCCACTTCCTTCCCCGGGGAGTTTCCTGAGGTGGGGCACGTACCTCCACCCCCACGGCCCATCAATCGAATGAATATGGTCCTTCCCGTCCATTGGAGGCATCCAGACCAAAACGGGTAAACGAGAGGCTTCCATGTCCTCCCTGCCTTACACGGCAGAAGCGGAATTTCAACATTTATCTTCCCATTCACGATGCACGGATATATGTGATGGTGTTCTTGAGGGGATAAGTGCCTACCGATAATCATCAGTATGTGGTGGCGATTAAGATCATGTATGGTTGGAAGGTATTGACCCGAACCCACCTGGTTGTGCCTTCCTCCTTTCCATTCCAAGGTTTTTTCTCCAGAATGGTGCCACTTTGGTCAGATAGAACCTAATTGGAACCTTCCCAAAGTGGACCACAGAACAGATCTTTTATTTAGGTATGGGAAGCAGGCACTGAAAGAAAACACAGAAAGGAAAAACCATTGTCCACGTGACCATCCAAGAATCGCTCCATAATCAGAGAATGAAATGAGCTTCAAGATTTGGTCCAAAATACACACGCAATGCCGGGAATGGGCAATGATAAGGTAGGGAGCACCGTCCCAGATTGGTCGTTGGCCATGCTCGTAATTTGGCGGCTTGACGACTGCCGTTGACGGCTCACGGAAGGCGGAGGAACAAGGTACAAACCCAAAATCTCAATGTCTCAAACGGGGTCTGGAATGTCTTAGGTAAGATGATGGGACAATTATTCCCGACTGCCTGGGGGCGTGTGGTGTGATGAGGTGTGGTTTTTCCAATGATCCAATGACGAGAATGCGTTTGCGCCGCACCCTCAGCTTTCGACTGCAAGGCACGCCGTACCGCGCATTTGAGAGCCGGCGCAATTTCGCACCGGTCTGGTCCACATTACAAATCTGAGCAAGTCGGCGGGCAAACAATCCGATTCACTCTTTATTCTGTCGCGAGATACGTACCTTCTATGATATTCTGCAATCTCACTATGTGAAGGTATTACAGGTGCAAGTACGGGAACGTCAAAAAGTCTTTTTTAGCAAAATAAAAAATCACCTCTCATCTCCCTTTTCTGTACTTCCGTGCCCGACAGCTCACTGAATACATCTCACAAATAATTCTGTGTTCTGCGAAGAGGTGTGGCAGAAAAAAACTCCGGGGCCTCTCCATTTGTCGCCCTTGAATAACAAGACACCAATTCCACCGTCACAGCAGACAGCATCGCACCAGCATCCGAAGGGACGCCGACACAACACCGTCACAATGGCTACCACGACGCCAGAGAATCAGCCGCGCTCGCAGCCTAGTGTAGAGCTGACGCGCTCTTACGAAAACAAGACCGAGGCCACTCTCAGTAGCCACAGTCATGATGCAGCCACTGGCCTAATGGCACCTGTCGATAGCGAGAAGGGAACCGGAAGCGCCGATGGCGGCGACGACAAACCAGAGGAGGGCGACTATGCCACCGGCATGAAGCTCTTCATTCTCATGACCTCCCTCCTCCTGTGCCAGTTTCTTGTTGCCCTGGACATGGTGAGTCTGCGGCTTGCCTTCTTCCCCTGTCATTCCCTTACATTGCGTTTCCGACTACCTTGCCTTACTAACACCGCATCGCGTTGCAGAGTATCATCGCTACCGCCATTCCCAAAATCACTCGCGAGTTCCAAAGTCTGGACCAGGTCGGATGGTATGGGTCCGGTTTCCTGCTTACCCTCGCCGGCTTCGTCTCTCTCTGGGGAAAGGCCTTCAAGCATGCCAGCATCAAATGGGTCTTCTTGTTCGCCGTAGTCGTCTTTGAGCTTGGCAGCTTGATCTGTGGTGAGTAGAACATCACTATACCAAGTAATCAAGATACACTTTCTTGTTCCGTGGCTGATCTCGCCTTGTTATTACAGGTGTGGCTCAGAACAGCACAACCCTCATCGTTGGTCGCGCCATTCAGGGGTTTGGAGGTGCCGGCATGACAAGCGGAGTCTACCTCATTGTCTCCGTCTCTGTCGTCCAGAAACTCGTCCCCGCCCTCCTCGGTCTTCTCAGTGGCATCTTCAGTATTGCTAGTGTTGTCGGTCCCCTTCTTGGTGGCGCCTTTACAGACCGTCTTAGTTGGCGTTGGTGGTACGTGTCCAAAGTAATCTTGCTTCGATGTATGGCAACTCTTGTACTGACAGGACGTTTCCTCAGCTTCTACATCAACCTCATCGTCGGCGCGCCCTCCATCCTCTTCCTCGCTTTCTTCTACAACCCTCCTACCCATCATAAGATCGAGGCCATCGGCTGGAAGGACTTCATCTATACTCTGGACCTCCCGGGTGTCGCCGTCGTTCTTGGCGGGCTGACGTGCTTCATCCTCGCCATTGAATACGGCGGTGTTACCAAGGCCTGGAACTCGGGTACTGTCATCGGCCTGCTCGTCGCCTTCTTTGTCCTCGTCATCATCTTTATCGTTCTCGAATGGTATCAGGGTGACCGCGCCCTACTTGTTGGCCGCCTCATGAAGCGTAGGACCATCGCGGCTTGCGCAGTCTTCGTATCCATGTAAGACTTCCCTCCTTCTATCTGTTTTTCTCCCCTGAAGATGTATGTCAAGTACTTTGACTAACCAGCCTGCGCTCAGGATCAACTTCTCCTTCTTCCCCCTGGCCTACAATCTTCCCATCTACTTCCAGGCTGTCAATGGGGTTTCCCCCCTGCAGAGTGGCATCCGTTTGCTGCCAACTATCCTGCCCATGAGTAAGTCCACTTCTATTCAAGAACGAAGTTCGCTTCATCAGCGACAAGTCGCTAACACCAATCTTCAACAGCCCTCTTCAGTCTCTTCTCCGCCCCCGGTATCGTGCTGGTCGGATGGTACCAGCCGTGGCTGATGACCGGTGCATCGCTCGCCGCCATTGGAGCCGGCCTCATCTACATGCTGGACATCGACTCAACGAGCGCGCAATGGATTGGCTTCCAATTCGTCGCCGGCGTCGGCACGGGTCTTGCGATGCAGCCGCCGGTCATCATCGCCAACGCCATCACCCCGAAGCAAGACAACAGCATGGCCATGTCGGACGTGCTTTTCTTCCAATTCATCGGAGGTACCTTTGGCATTGGCATGGCCCAGGCCATCTTCAACAACGGTCTCATCAGCAGTCTGCCCGAGCTGGCACCGATGGTCTCTCCGGCCGAGGTTCTGAGCATTGGCGCGTACGATTTGCAGAACGTCCTATCGGGTGATGCCCTGACCGGCGTGCTGAAGGCGTATATGCGCGGTCTGCACAACGCATGGGCCATGAGCATTGCCGGCGCCGCTGTTGCCGTGTTCCTGCCCTTGTTTGGAGCCTACATGAAGCTTCCCAAGACACCTCCCAAGAGTTGGGACGAGAAGCCGACCACCGACAAGGTCGACGCGCAGTCTTAAACTTCTTTTGGGGCTCCTTACAGCAGCAAGACCGTCCGTGAAGGACAATGAGTTGCACATAGGAACCTAGCAGCAGGATAAGGGAAGGTTTTCGGTGAGGATTGATCTCCTCGAGCGTCTTCCTTTTTCGCGGTTCTGAAAGAGATTTTGGTGAGAGAATCGGTGTGATGGATCGGGACTGGGTTCTGGTTTAATATATTCGTGGTCATAGAACCTGCGCAAGAATAGATACATTTCCTGTCCTCAATGTCAGTGTTCTCACCTCGAACACAGTTCCAATGTATTCTCAAGCATGCCTCTCTGTCAGACCTGGACATTGCATATCCGAGTCATGCATTCAACCCATGCTCAATTTCTATTGCAATAAGGGATATAGGCATTATGGCCTTGAAACCTTGTTCTGTTTCTCGTTTTAAGTTAGACATGTGTCAACAACAACAACAACAACAACAACAACACCTCACTCGCTTAGGAGGAATAGACTGCCAAGCTGTCGCCTGACACTCTACCTCGTGCTTCCAGCTTGCTCAACACTTGTGCCTTTCTAACGTCGAAATTGAGTTGGTGTGGGCCTGGTGAAATTATCCACTTGATCGTCCGAACTATCCACAAGTGGAGGTTAAGGTTACCCCTGGCAGCTAGCATCGTGTGGCTAGTGCGGTTGGTGGCCGGACGGGAAAAGAGCTAAGGATGGGACGTACACGGCAGTCCAAGCTATGATCGATGTCATTGATGACTGGACGGCGCAAGCTTCAATCTGACGAAGTAGCAGAGGTGGGAAATTCAGCCGTCAGATTTCTCTGACATGTGAGACGGGCCCTGTCCAGCGAATTGAATTGAGTGCGTTCCATAAGGTACCTTGCTAAGCTAAGGTAGTTTGAGGGCTTCTGTCGGTCCGTTCCGTTCCCTTGGAGATACGTACCTGTGTACCTCGGGACTTCCATTTAAATCTGGTCCATTGGCACGCCCCACCCGGCACCGGGTGGACACAGTCAGCTAACGGGCGGCCGTCGCCCGATTCGAAGCCGGGGTCCGAAAGGGCAAGTAAGTACCTTACCGTACGAACAGGAAGGTATCTTGCCTTAGTTGCTCCTAGCAGGCCGGGCTCATTGGTGCGAGCACGGCGTCATCGGCTCAGATGGTCACAGGGCAATACCGGTACCATAGCCCGAAAGATTACAGTTGCTCCCTTGATGCCCGCGTCGCTGAGCTGGGCCACAATGGAGCTATCCTCGCCCGCAAGCGGCTGGAAAAAAGCACGAGTCCAAACAAACGGGATGCGAGTCCTGAGAAGGGGATAGGCCCAGTACCTGGTAAGAAGTCCGCCCAAACTCCGGTTGGTGCGACATCAAGCCTATCTTATCTTATGCATGGTGTGGCTGCAGCAAATAGTTCAATACAAGGTGGCTTAAGCATGGCCTGTTGGTTCCCGTTTCCGCTCCCAGGCCATTTACTGGGCTTCCTTAGATGTAAGGCTATGTCCAATCCAACCGAGAGCGGAGACGCCGTCTTCTTTTTGAAATTCGTCAAATGCGGCACGGATATTCTATTCCAATATAGAGAGAGACTCTGAAGGCCCTTCCTTCTAGTCTTTATTGTTCTGCGTCATCTGGTTTGAGTCATACATCGGTCACCGCCATGTCGCTCGCTTCTATGCGCAACATGCGCTCGCAATGGTTTCCCCCGAAACCGAGCTTCACCGAGCACAAACTCCCGTCAACAAACCGGCCGTGTTTTCATCGTCACGGGCGGCAATGCGGGCGTCGGCTACGAGCTTGTCAGAGTCCTATACACTACCGGCGCCACTATTTACATGGCGTCGAGATCCAAAGTCAGTTGAAACCTACCATCTAACATGCATAAGAAACGGTATTCTTCTGTCCCCAATCGGCCCGCAGACCAAGCGTTACCACCATTCGCTCCCAGCTCCGGCACTGACCATCCGACTCACTCAATAAGTAGGAACGAGCAGCCAAGGCAATTGAAGCAATCACCAGCCCCCAAAAACCCTGGCAACATCAAAATCCTCCTTCTCGACCTCAACGACCTCGAAAGCGTGAAGTCAGCCGCTGCGTTATTTACCCAGCAAGAATCAAGACTAGACGTTCTACGGAATAATGCCGGAACCGGCGCGCTAGGCGTCAAGGTCGGTACGCGGACAAAACAGGGCTTTGAAGCTATGGTCGGCATGCATTGTATCGCAGCGTAGCTCTTCACGCAGCTATTGATTCCCCAACTCCGTGCAGCCGTCACCACCGCTCCGCGCGGTTCGGTCCGCGTCGTGTGGGCCTCGAGCTTCCTGGGCGACGCATCGTCGCCCACCAACGGCATCCAGTTCAGCACTCTTGAACAGGGCACCTCGGACCGCACCCGAAACTACGCCGTGTCCAAAATCGGCAACTGGGTGCTGGGTCGCGAGGTGGCTACCCGCTATCCCGATATTGTCTCCGTGACGCAGAATCCTGGGAACCTCAAGGATGGCTCGTACGCCGGGACGCCCGCCTTGGCCATGTTCTTCATAAACCCGTTGCTCTACGATGCCAAGTTTGGCGGGTATACGGAGCTCTTCGCGGGCCTGTCGTCCGAGATTTCTCTCGAGAATAATGGCGTTTACGTCATCACTTGGGGCCGCATTCGCCCAGACTCGGACTGCCCGAGGAAGGACATTATCAATGCGTTGAAGCCCGAGGCCGATGGCGGTTTAGGGTATGCTGCGAAGTTTTTGTGAGGAACAGTGGAGGCCATTAGTTTGAGTTGTCGGGGGTGCTTTACTGGCTGTCGCATGTAGTCCTACTTGAGCAGAGACATCAATTGGCCCTTTGGAGGTGTTAGACATGGCGCCCTGAAGTGATCCTGTCTGTCACGGGCTAAACCTGAGTAACTGGATCTGGGCCGATGCCTATATGTTGTCTCTATTTATCGCATAAGGCCCACGCAAGTCTCTTTTAGAATCTCTTTCCTTACAGAAATGTCTTGTCCATTAACCATCTTTTCTTGTGTGGAAAAGCCAAAGGATTCCCAAACCCAAAATGGACGAAGAAGAAGTGCTTCCAGGATTTGCTCCCTTGAGTTCCCTCACAGCATCCAGCGACTCATTCCTTCATAAAAATTAAAAATAAACTGCCGAGAAACAAAATAACCGATTCGTCAGTTTTCCCCCTTCTTCCAAAGCTACCTCAACCCTGGAGATAATACTCCTACTACATCTTGCAGAAACAGCAGCCGCAGAAGATTCGGTTGTAGTGACAATGGAGCTATCGCCGCCACGATGAGAATCCTCTGTCTTCACGGCTACGGCACATCCGGGGCCATTCTCCGATCGCAGCTCGACGCCTTCATTCACAACGCCGACGCGAGCTACGAGTTCGTCTTTCTCGATGGCGAATATGAATGCCAAAGAGCCCACGGTGAGTCACGCCATCTAGTGCACATGCAATTCCATGCAATGCTGACATAATCTCAGGTATCGGCAAATTCGCACAGCCTCCCTTCCGATGCTTCAATGAATCCTTTGGCCCCCACGCCATTCAGTCGTCCCTCGACCACCTCCAAGACTTCATCGACGACGAAGGCCCCTTTGATGGCCTCTTAGGCTTCAGCCAGGGCGGTTCCTTGGCCCTCGCCTACCTGCTGCAGATGGCCGAGACCATGGCTGCCAACCCAGGAACCCCGCCCACCTTCTCCTTCGCCGTCTTCCTCTCCACCATCGTCGCCTTCTCCCCAGACCCGGACTTCTGCTCCCACCTCGTCACTGGCCTCACCCCGCAGGACCGCGATCAGGTCCTCGCAGGCTTCCCCCGCGGCGCCTCCCACAACGACTACGCCGCCCTCTCAGGCCCGCCGGAGCGCGACATTTTCTTCAGCTCCCTCGGTAAGGTCCTTGAGACATCTCTCGCTGGTGGGTTTATCGCGCATGATACTCCTCTTGGCCTCGACGCGCTGCTGCGTCCCGCGACGGCAGCGACGAACAGTGACATCGACCACCTCCCCCGCATCATACATCCCGCCATCGCCTCGCCGGACTGCAGGGTTCCCATTCCCACGGTGCATGTCGTCGGTGCCCTCGATGACCCGCTACTAGTTAGCATGTCGAAGCTGATGGAGAAGCTCTGCGTGGCACCGCTGACGCGATCTCTGGTGCACGACGGTGGCCACGATGTGCCGCGGAAACCGAGAGATGTGCAGGCGTTGTGGTCCGCCGTTGAGTGGGCTACACGAGAGGCTATGAGACAGGCGTGGTAATCAGTTGTGGTGGTGGTAGCGGTAGTGCTGATGGTTCTGGATTTCCAGGTACATCGGGTGGTTCATGTCGGGTAGTTTTGCTCCGACTCGCGCATCGGTACTACAGCTCCAGGTAGAAAAGTTCTTCGTTTGCGTAAGAGGGTTAAGTGAGACTAGAAAGATGGCGATCCGAGCATAGACCGAGTTTGCTCCATCTTCTATTTCCCATTCAACGCTACCTCTTTCCTGTACGAACCTAAGACCTTGAGTACCAACATGAAGAAAACTGCTACGATGACCCTGAGCACGGCTCATGCCACTGACACTTGGTCTGCTAAGGGCGGATGGTACCTTGTGTGTGCCTACTGCGCCTGGGAGACTATTGCTCTCACGCTCTCGACGCTCTACTCCTTCGCCCAGCCAGTCGTGCAGGAGAAGTACGGTGTGGGCAATGTCCAGATCGTCACGCTGGGCCAGTCTATGCAGATCATGGGCAACATGCTCGGCGTTTCCCTGCTGAGTCCCCTCTCGTATGATGCAGACCACCCAAGTTCCCCTCCATCAAGACGTTCGGTTTGTTAACCTGTGACGCAACGGTAGGGATGTCTTTGGCCGCAGGCAAGTGACGATATTATCCATGCTGGCCTATTCCTGCCTTAATCTAGTCAGTGAACCCATTCGCCCCTATCTCCGTGAAGCGATTCATCAGAGAGGATAAATCCCCTCACCAAGACCGAGACTAACCCCAGAGACAATGATAGGGCACAGCATACGCGCCCAACCTCCCCACCCTAATCTTCTTCATGTTCCTAAGCGGCGCCGCCTGGTCAACCTCGCTCTCCCTCGTCCCCGCCGTCTTCAGCGACCTCTACCTCCACAGAGACGACATTGGGCAGCCCATCGCGCTCTTCGTCATCGGCGCCAGCGTCGGACCTACCCTCGGCGGTGTCATCGCGACGGCACTCATGGACGCTGGCGCTGATTTGAAGTGGTACTTTTTGGTCGCTGTCTTTGTTAGTGCTGCGTGCGCTGTGCCCATGTCATTCGTGCCGGAGTCGTTGAATGCGGCCCGGGTCGGCGAGATTAAGGATAGTATGGCTGCCGTTCCGGTTCTACAGTCTAAGCTTGACGCTGGTCCGACGCACGGCCCCGGACAAACCCGGCACTCGGGGTGGTATTTTGTGACGAGGGTGTGGTATCTTCTCGCTACGGAGCCGATTATGTGGATCACGGGTATCTACAACGGCCTTGCTAATGGTGTCTTTGTCCTCACTGTTGGGGGTTCCATCACAACCCTGACGGAGTTCAAGGGTCTTGCGTAAGTAACCCCCCCCCCTCTTCCACCGTCCATAGGCTCTCAATCCCATCAGACTAACCCACGCCCGTAACACAGTCTCATGGACGCCGCCACCTCAATCATCTTCATGGCCATCGGTGTGGTACTCGTATGGTTCGTCATGCCCATCCAAACCCGCCTCTACCGAGAAGACAAGGCGCGACACCACGGCCGAGCCCTCCCGGAGTCACGACTTCTGCTCATCCAGGACGTAATCTGGATGTTCCCCGTCGCCTTGGCATGGTCTGCTTTCACGGGTGGCGAGGCGTGGGGCAAATGGCATCAGGCCGTGACGGGTGGCGTCGTTGCCTTTACAGACTCATTTTTGTACCAGTGTCTCTTGATTTACATTCTGGGTGAGTGAGAGGCTCATACCCACACCCTCTACGAGACACTGATGCTGACGCGAGTCTGAACAGATCTGTACCCAGAAGAAGCCGCGTCCGCTACGGCGGCCTGGCTTATACCCTGTTTCCCTGTACAGGCTGCGGCGGTGCACTTTGGTGTCCCCCTGTTCCAGAAGCTTGGCCCCGAATGGGCGTTTGGTCTGCTGGCTGTCTTTACTGCCGGCTTTGTAGTGCCTGGGTTCTACGCGATTATGCGGTTCGGTCCGAGAATGCGCGGGAGTTCCCCTACGACTAAGAAGGGCTTCCGGCTTTGAGTTCTTGGTTGGTCCTTGTGTCTTGCCCTAGCTGTTACAGCTTGCTGCCCGCCCGCGCGGAATGATGGCTACCTAGGTGATATTTGACGACGATGTTATTTGCCTCAGAGTATTTCCAACAGATTTTGCACTTTAGGTTCGAGAGACCCAAATAATTTGTGGGATTTTGCAGAATTCTCGTTCGTTTTGTGAAGGCTTCGTTTTAAACACATTACGGATAAACAACCAAAACTTGTCACACCGTAAACACGGTTACTAGGTTTGGCAATGGCATCAACTTATAATACCAACAGTCTGAAAATCATAATATCCACCCAAGTTGACAACATCATAAAGTTGCGTGTTTTACTTGGAGCCTGTGCCTTCCAACATGATGATAACTTCTTTCTTACCAACTCATGTTCGTCTTTTGTCACCGAGCTTTGCCATAGCCTATTCGGGCAAGAGCTCTCTGTTTCAACCAACCAGAGAGCTGGAGCTGAACCTTAAACCTCTGGCACCGTGCCAGCCGGTACCAGCCACAATTCCCAGCTATCTACGCCACACTTTACCGAAGTACGTAAGGTATGAATTGTAAGTGCCCGCCTGTCGCAATTGCTTCTTGACCGCAGATTCCCGTCATAACAATCTCTTTCATTACTCAAGTAAATTCTTCACAGCAAGCGTGGTCACTTAATTGCGGGCAGCTACAAGAGATTGTGTGGTAGGTCGTCCCTGCGGCGACCATATTAGTTCCTTAAGGTAATTAGGTATATCCCATCGGGTGCTGATGGACAGCACTTTCGCCAAGGGCGGGGTAGAGCCAATAAGGGCTTGCAAATCTATTAAGTTAACCAATAGGGCTGCAGTACCTCTATTTCCTATAATTTTGGGTGTGCCAGAGGTACCAGCAATCTTTGCTAATACATAACGGTACATTACTATCTAAGCAGCCCTTTCGAGTTGTCTGCCGTCGTTGCCGAGCGATGGCATTCCCAGATATCTCCTTTAAAGCCTTCCTATTACCACAATAGGTACAAGGTTAAGATACCTTTCTTGATCCCTTCCTATGCTGTTCCCATGGAATAGAGGTATTCCTTTTGTCTGTAGCCCGTCTAGCCCTAGGGCCCTCCCTAGACAACGGTGCTGTATTCGTCCACTGGGCCCACTGCTCTACGAGGCTCTGCGGAACGTATTGGAGGAACAGTTCAAGCGGGCTTGCCGGCAGCCCCCGTATCTCTTGGGCCCGAGCCGGCACGTTGAAGGGTCGGAAGGAGCCCGGAGGACCATGCTGAGTTGCCGGAGGTTCGTGGGGCCGGACTGTAGCTGCGTCACAGCGCTCGGGCGTACAGTCTGTATTACAGGCAGCAGTAAGGTCTTCTGGAAGGACCTTAACTACTATACAGCTGCGTATAGAAGTAATAGAGGTATTAGAATTACTAGAAGACATCACAGCATCAATCAAAATGGTAGTAATAGTGGTGATAATAGGTAACAGAGCATAGGAAGAAGTGACGTATCGTCAAGTACCCCTTTAAATGCGGGGTAATAGTGGATACATAGTGGGTATTTCATGGTCTTGGCGAAAGTGCTGTCCATCAGCACCCGATGGGATAATCTTTCTTAGGCCCCGCTTTGAGGAAACACCAAACGATATATTATTGGCTGATGATGTGGATCAATGCCCCAGACAAAGACTACTCCTTTTCAGGCTGCGATTCGGGCAAACACCACCCCGACGTTGATAAGCCTGCTGACAGAACCTGGGATACCCTCGCTTTAGTAAAATCGACCCGATACATTCATTACTCGCCAAACGGCACCTCCACGCCATATACCCCTCGGGAGGTCGGCCGCAAGGGCGGCAGCGCCTTTGCCGCCACGGCGTTAAATAAAACAACAACAAAATCAGTCAATCATCGCGGACAGGGCGGAGAATCGGGCCTGATCCTAGCATTGTGACGAATAATCAGTCTAGCTAGTGGAGTCGTCATATAGGCACAAATGAATGTATTGAGATGTCTGAGGATCTAAAATGAGTGAATAGGCAGGCCTACGTGGCCGAATCCGTGCCTTTTAGGTGCATGCTTCTAAGCATAGTAGGTGCCCTGTACCGATGTTGGCCCAGGCTTAACTTAGTATTGAGGCAGCATGAAACCCTGGATTGATGAATGACTCGCAGGTTCTGTCACATTGCCATTGGCGACAGTATCGGAAATAAAAGGGGCGCCTTCTGGACGACCAAGATGACCTCCCGGGTACCTTAGTAAAACTACCAGAAAAACCTGCATACATAGGAATGATTGAACCGAAAATTCCGTGCACATCATTCGAAATGGCACCGAAAGAAGTTTTCTGTCACGTTTAGAATAATAACGATTGTTCTGTCCGGGATTTGGCACATTGCTTCGCATGTGTAGCAGAGCTCTAAGTCTCTGGAACATTACATTTTGTTGTGTAAATATGGCCGAGAAAAAGTAAAAGACTGGTTGCTACCATAATTTGAGCGAGAGAATTTGAACTTGCGGCCAGCAATTTTCTTTCATCACAAGAGCTATGAACCATTTCCAAAATAATCACCCGAGGCCAACGCAAGAAAGCCCCGACTTGGAACTCGGAACAAGACAATAAGAACATAAGCCCCATCCATCCCTGTCAGACGTCAGCAGCCCCCAACCTACGTGTCGTTGATTTGACGTGCGCTTTTCACCAGGTTCAATCCCAGCAATGTCTGCCACCACGGAAATAAAGAGATGGGGCAAGGTCGATTTGGATGCATTCCTTGGCAGCCTGCCCAAGGAGGTGGACACGTCAACGCAGTACCCCGGCTCATGCCTCTGCGGCGGGGTCCGGTTCTACCTCGCAGGCGAGCCCCTCAAGAAGGTGTATTGCTACTGTGATCATTGCCGCAAGAATTCGGGCGGAACAGGCCAGCAGGTGCGGATTGAACCCCCTTGCCTTCCACTACCTCGATACATGAATGACGGCTAACGTGGCATTTGTATGCTCGCAGTACGTCATCTACCAGACAGAGAACATGACGATCGACGACCCAAAGGGCTACAAGACGGTATTCACAATCCCGGGCGACACCGTGACGCTCTTCCCGAAGGAAAAGTACTTCTGCAGTCAGTGCGCTTGCACTCTCATCGTGATGCCTCTCATGCTGGAGCGGAAGCTTGCCTTCATTCCGACGGGTCTGATGAATCACGGGTAAATTGTCTACAACCGTGCAATTTTGGGAAATCGAGAGCTTTTACTGACAATTCAATGAATAGCCTGGATTACTTCAAGCCTGACTTTGAGTACTTCGCGGATAAGCGTCCGGCGTTTTTGGCGCCGATTCCTGGCGCTGGGTCGTACAAGGTGCAGGCGGGAGAGCATGTACCTTTGGACGATACGGCGGTGCCTCCGTCCCAATAGAGGTTCAATGTTGTCTGATCGTACCTTGATGGTAGGGGATATGTTGTACTATATCAGCATTCTCGACCTGACGAGATCATTGCTGTCAATTTGATGATACATTGAAGTTAGCAGTCTTTTGTGGCCAAGTTTATGTTGCGTGATAATGCACGATCATCAAGAACAAGCAGTGCGAATACATCACAAAGTGTGCAACTTGATAACAACATTATTAGGTCTGTAGAAACTGGCCTAGCAGAGGAAATAACAAAATAACTAACATGAAGTAAACGTCTTTGGCACGTACCTGAGATCGATTAAAATACATGACAAGTTGTCGGTGAAGCTCCATTTATCGTGACGTGACGCGCAGATCTCTCTATGAGCTTTTCGGTAATTCCCAATAGAGATAAATTTCTTGAGCAATCACATAATTGCTTCTCGATTCAATGAACTTGACGCCAAAGGTAGTTGTACATAAGAGTGCGTGCCTCTTTTCTCAACAATCCATGTACAATGCAATCTACGCACTAGACCCGACGACCATTACCCTAACGCCCTCCGTCCCCTCATTTGGAATAGGCACGAAATAATCGGCCGCCATATCAACAGCATCCCTTCCAGTCTCGTAGAGCTCAATATCAAGCCTCCGAAACACCGTGGACAGCCCGATATACAGCTCCGCCATGGCAAAGTTCATCCCCAAGCACATGCGCGGCCCCTTGCCGAATGGTACCAGATACCGTGACAATGGCTTGCCGGACCTTGTCTTTGGGTTATCCAACCACCTTTCGGGGCGGAAGACATCAGGATCGGGAAATATTCCGGGATCGCGGTGTTGTAGGTACGAGGTCATGCTGAAAGGCACGTTGGGTGGGATCATGTACGACCCGTATGTAATGGGGCCGTTTGGGCTGATACGAGAGAGACGCTGTGTGATGCCGAACGCGAGTCGCAAAGCTACAGGGACACGGGATCTCAGCCTCTCATCTTCCCATTAGAGCCCCTTCAGAAGAAGCGCTACAATTTAAGGGGACTGAAGGATACTCACATTCCTGCACGACTGCATTGAGAAAATGAAGACTTTCTAGTTCGTGGAGGGGCGGCATAGGCTCGTTGGCGCGGGGGATCCGAGTCTTCAACTCGTCGCGCAGCCTCTTCAGAACGCTCGGGTTGTCGAGTATGTGAAACGTCGCGAGCGCCAATGTCGTCTTGGTTGTGTCGATACCCGCGCCCGTGATGCTGGCCGCCTCGTGCTTCAGGCGCTCGATGGACAGCTCATCGGGTGGCAGATTCGACTGCAGCAGTTCGTGGAACACGGTACGATATTTTACCTCTTTGTTGGCGTTATTTTGACCTGAAATCACTTTGATGATCTGGGCTTTAACTTCCTGGCGTTAGGGGCTCATTTGTCAGAGAATCAAATTCTACTTCACCCCAGTGACGCGACGTTATTTTGGGGGCTGCACTTACATTGTGAAAACGGAAGACGGGAACCATCAGCGGGTTCAGCTTCTGTGTGACCGACTCTGGGAGCGTTTGTAATAACGTCAGGAGCCAGGGAAAATGGCCCGCCATGTGGAGAGACATGGCCAGCTTTCTAATGGAAGTCGTGAACGGCGTGACAAAGTCGGGATAATCTATAAAATTGTACGAGATAGCGAAGGTGTAGTAGTTGATTGCGTCCGACACGAAAGCCGCGTACGCCTCATTCATGTTGACGGGTTTCACCCTGTCGCTATACTCGGTCGCCAGCCGATCGACCATCTTGTCCGCCATGGACTGCATCTGCGGGCTGAACCCCGCCACCTTTTGCTTCGCGAAGAAGGGCGATATAGCGGAGCGGCGGAGGTGATGGTGGGCATGGTCGATGGTGTCAAAGGATGACAGATGCAGTCCGAACCGGTATCGGAGCTTCTCGATCTTGCTATACCGGGTTTTGTTGTTGAAGAGGACCTCGTAGAAGTCCGGGTCGGCGACATGAACTTCCCATGGTGTGATTCGAATAATTGGCCCTGCTCGGGGAGTCAGCTTCTCGAATCAAAATTTCCATCATAGCGTGAAAAAGTTGGACTACCATATTGTCGATGCCATTCCTCGATCTGGAAGGTGAATTGGCCGCCTTTGAACACGTCCAAGTATGTCTCGTACCAACCAGTCGCCGCCGTCAGCTTAGACCCCGGTATATGCGCAATCGGGCTGAAACAGAGCCGGTAAATGACGAGAGAAATACAGTAGGCCAAGTAGCCCAGGAATAGGGACAGGATTACGGATTGAGGGTTAAGGAGACCGATGATGTTAACGTTTTCGAACTCCATTGTGAAAAGTTGAAGGGAATCTCCCTTCACCTGTTCGATGACAGTTTAGCTTAAAGAGCTTCGACTGAAAACATGCAATATTTGGACAAAATGAATTAGTTCTCGGCATAGTGCGCATTTTCCCCTGGCCTTGTGTTGTATCTCGTGTTGGCCAGGGACCGGGGACTTTCTGCGTAGCTGACATGTCGGGCATTTCTATGATGCAACGCCGGGCCAGTCAGCACGATAGGAAGCCTCAGATGCATGTAGGAGACATCGGAAGCTTTCTCATCGCTCGCGTCAATTCGCGATTATTCTGGCTCTGAGCCAGCAAGAAAAGGGGCAAGGCGCCTCCAGTCGAAGATAGAGCATATGGAGCTATTGCACCTTTCCTCCAATTACCCCAGCCCTCCTTCGTTATTCCTCACAGCCTTTCAGTCGAAATGACGGAAATTCAGTGGTATCTCCATCCCTGGTCACTGCTGGTGTACCAGACCAGTCTGATCGTCTTCGCAGTGGGCTTCACACGCCCGGGCTCGTTGTTTCGACTGGCCCTGTGGCCTCTCGCGCTCTACACCGTCTTCCGCTTCGTCGCCACAGCTCATGTCCTGAACAATGGCTTTCACATGAGCTTTGGCGCCTCAGACGCCTGGCTGACCTTCCTTCAATACTGGGATGTCGCGCTCCTGAGCAACTGGGACTTTGAATACGGCGGCCCGCAGCCCAAGGCCGCGGAGAAGAGGGAGACGAAGCCATGGCGCGAGCGAGCGACCTTCTGGGACCGCCTGAGCTTCGGAATCTACGCTGCCTCATCGTACCGCTGCAGCGGGACTACCTTTGAGGTGCCAAATCTCGGACCTTTCGACAAGAAGGACCCCAAATACGTGCCGTCGAAGGCTAAGTATATCCGCAACGCGACCATCAGGGTGATAGTCGTCTATCTAATTTTGGACGCCATGACTTCGTTCAACGACCCGGCGGCCATGCAGTCCGTGTTTGCCGACGAGAAGATCCCGCTGCTGCGACGGCTGTCGCAACTGACACTGGAGGAAGCCGTCATGCGTACCTTCACCTCATTCTCATTTTGGCTCGTCAATTACCTGGTTCTCATACTCTTCTTCGACATCCCAGGTGTCATCTGCGTCGCGACCGGCCTATCTGGCGTCGACTGGTGGCGACCACCATTCAATTCCATTTTCGAGGCTTTCACACTGCGCCGGTACTGGGGGTAAGTTGCCTCTTTCTTTCTCCAAAAAATGCCCCTGTCCTCTGTCGAGAGTAGTATCACTAAAATTTACCTAAGCGTCTTCTGGCACCAGTCTGTTCGCAAGCGCATCAACTCGCCAGCGAACTGGATTGCCAAGGACGTCCTCCGCCTGCCGCGGGGCACTCTCCTCGCGCGCTACGCCGTCGTCATTCTGACCTTCACCATGTCCACCTTCCAACACGCTACAGGCGATGTCGCCTCGGGCATCCCAGTCTCTCGTACCGGATCTCCCTGGTTCTTCCTCGTACAGGCCCTCGGCTTCGTCCTCGAAGACCTCTTCCAGTACGTATGGAAGCAGGTGGCGCCGACCTCGGCACGCAACACGTGGTACACCAAGGTGTTTGGCTACGTCTGGGTTTTCGCGTGGATGTTTTGGTGTACGCCATTCTACGCATATCCGGTTTCGGCAAATAACAGGGGAGAGCAAGACGCGATTCTCCCTTTCAGCGTCCTGAAGCCCGTTCTAGGCAAGTAGAATGATGACCTTGGGATCGACGAGACACAATGCTCCCACATTGGTTCAGAATGATCCGCGGATTACCTATATGACAAAGGAAGAATGGAAAGATCAACATCATTTTCAAAATCCTCTAACTTCGTTTTTCTTTTCTTCTCAATCGTTCTGTCTGTGCTTTGGTAGGAGGGTGTGGGGAGTATGGCGGCTAGATCTTCCGTATCGACGTCGGATTTCCCAAAACAATTTGGTTGATGTCAGTGGCCCGAATGCGTTAACTGTATTTTCTTCGTAGTCATGAGACATAGAAACAAAGTTGTCAAAAACTATAAGGAGGCCGACGGTGGCTTGCTAGGTAGCCCCAAAAGCAAAACATGCCGGGCCCGCCAACGAGAAGCGTTCTCAAAAGATGAGTTCCTAAAGTGGATAAGTTGAGCTTTAATATCTTGATTGACGACGTCGCTGCTCCTGCTATTTGGTTTTCTGGACGTGTATTGAAAGGTCGTGCTAGGTGAAGAAGGCATTGAACAAAGCTGTGCCTTCAATGTCTGCATCTAGAAACACCTTGACACAGATAACACAAGGCAAAAAGAATGACTTCAGAATCGCCCAAACAACGTAATTGTATAGCAAACGACTGCTGATAGCCTAAAAAGCTCGTTTGAAGTCCAGGATAAGTCGATAGAAGACACAACAGGGAGCCTATCCTATCTTTTCGATGTCTGCGCCAAGCAACTGCCTCCCCTCCTTGCTCGTATTTCCTGACACATATTTAACAATTTACTTTCCCGAAGGCTTCGACAACTACATCTCACACAGAAAATAGTAGGAGCCACTGAGAAAAGAATGAAGTAGCCAAAGAGTATCCCATGAAAGACTCTGCCACTCTGTGCCGAAACGGCGATTGTTGAAGGAGGAAGTAGATACGCCCAGAAAGCAGCCCTAGGCATGGAGTCCATGTAAAAGCGGCTTGAATTGAAAGCTTCGTATGTAGCGGATTTCGAACCAAACCTTCGTGCTGGTCGGGGGTTTCTTTGCTTCTTGCTCATAATGACTCGGGGGATTTCAAAAGAGCCGCCCGTCAGCATTTCGCATGCCCGCGACCGACACGGTTAGGATTGGTCAGCGTATACTGCAAAGGATGAACCATTTCTGAGTTACCTACAGTACCTAGGTAGATCAAATTGATTTTTTAGATCCCTCGTCTTCAGAACGCGGCACTACTAGAAGTCTCCTTCCGCACCTAGGCCGAGAATACTTTTTTAAACTGTCCTAGATAGACCACAACCTCTGATCTTGCTCACGCGACTTGTACACTCAGACCCAAACATACACACTCTCTATTTTCCGTTCCATAGCAGGTGGCAGCCTCAACGAAGGCCGATTGCAAGATCCGCAGATGGCGCAGAATAATCTCGTAGCCATGGGCGATGGCGCGGATGCACTGGAGCCAATTGCGATTATTGGCATGGCTTGCCGCTTCCCAGGGAGCGTTTCTACCCCAGAGAGCTTCTGGGAACTTCTGAACAATGCTAGGAAGGGTCACGGAGACGTCCCTGAAGATCGTTTCAATGCTGAAGCATGGCGAAATCCCAGTCACGAGAGGAAGGGAGCTGTAAGTGGAAGAACTGAATGTTGTCTTTAAAAGAGTGCGGTTACTGACTAGTTGCATACAGATCCAGCCTGGCAGCGGTTTCTTCCTCGACGAGGATCCGGCAGTGCTGGATGCTCCATTCTTCTCTATTACTGCAAAGGAGGCTGCCGGCATGGTAAATACTCTCCTCATTCCCCATGCCCCCGTATCACTTTTTGACAAGGTGTCCTAGGACCCAATGCAAAGGAAGTTGCTGGAAGTAGCCTACGAAGGGTTCGAAAACGGTAAGCGTTGTTCATTAATCAGAGATGGATAGTGAGAAGAACACAGTTGCTGATATCGCATTCTAGCCGGCATTCCGATGGAGAAATTGGCTGGTACCGACACATCAGTTTACATCGGCGTCATGACAAATGACTATGAACTGGTTTCCCAAACCGACATCTACAACCTCCCGCAGAATGCTGCTTCCGGAACTAGCCGGGCTATGCTGGCAAACCGCATATCATGGTTCTTTGATCTGCACGGCGCCAGTCTGGCGTTGGACACAGCTTGTTCATCCAGTCTATACGCTTTCCATCTGGCTTGCCAATCTCTCCGCACGGGAGAGTCAAGACAGGTATGATCAAAGCCCCTATATCCCAATCCACTTCCCAGATCCGATCAACAAACGACAGGCACGGTGTTTTGTGTTAGTGAATCATTTGCTGACAAATTGACAGGCGTTGGTCGGCGGCGCGAACATGATTCTCCACCCAAACTTCATTTCTCAGCTGTCTTCAATGCACATGCTGAGCCCTGACGGTATCAGCCACTCCTTCGATGCCCGGGCTAACGGCTATGCTCGAGGCGAAGCCATCACCACCGTCGTCGTTAAACGCCTCGAGGATGCTCTTGCCGACGGCGACACTATTCGAGCTGTCGTTAGGGGCACCGGCGTCAACCAGGACGGCCACACACCTGGGATCACGATGCCCAGCAGCGACGCGCAGGCCGCGCTGATCCGGTCCACGTATGCTGCCGCAGGGCTCTCGTACGACGACACGGGCTACTTTGAGGCCCATGGCACAGGAACACCGCTTGGGGTTCGTTGATCCCCATCTTTTCCTTTTGTATCATGATAGTCTGCGAATAGTACTTACAAGTTTTGCATCCAGGACCCTCTAGAGCTAGGCGCCGTCGGAGCCGTCTTCGGCCCCTTGCGAAGAGGCACGCGGACTCCTCTATATGTGGGCAGCGTCAAGACCAACATTGGCCACACCGAAGGCAGTGCGGGCCTAGCTGGCGTCGTCAAGGCAGTTCTAGCCGTGGAAAAGGGGTATATACCCGCCAACGCCGGTTTCGAGACATTGAACCCGAAGCTCCGACTCGATGAATGGGGTCTCGCCTTGCCACTCGAGACGATGCCGTGGCCAGTCCCGGGTCTCCGCCGGGCGAGCGTCAACTCGTTTGGTTTCGGGGGCGCCAATGCCCATGTCATCTTAGACGACGCTCACCACTACCTGGAATCGCGGCAGCTGGTTGGTAGCCATCAGACGGCCGTCTTTGTCGACGGAGGCACATCCACATCATCCGAGAGTGGAGACAGTGGAATCAGTGACATGCGCAACCACCGGGACGGAAGTAAACGGCTCGGAAGCATTGGCGGACGCCCCAAGGTCCTCGCTCTCTCGGCGCACGACCAGGCCGGAATCAAGAGGCTCTCGAGTACGTACGCTCAGTTCGCGGCGGAGTCTCAGCACCGGGAAGGCAGCTTCGTCCACGACATGGCCTATACTCTGGCAGCCAGACGGACGAGACATCCGTTTCGTAGCTTCGCAATCGCGTCGACAGTCAACGACCTCGCGAGTGGCGTTACGGCGGCGCCGACGACGCTGAAGCGCTCGACGAAGAATGGGACGCTGGCTTTTGTGTTCAGTGGGCAGGGTGCGCAATGGGCCACCATGGGGAGGGAATTGCTTGGTGTTCCTGCGTTCAAGGAGAGCGTTCTCCGGTCACAAGGGTGTCTTGACGCACTCGGCTGCAAGTGGAACGCGATCGAGCTGCTCTGTGGCGAGGATGGCTCCAGATTAGACATCCCCGAGTTCTGCCAGCCCATCTGCACCGTGTTGCAGGTGGCCCTGGTCGACTTACTTGGTCATTGGGGTTTGACGGCGAAAGGAACTGTTGGGCACTCTAGTGGTGAGATTGGTAAGTAACCAACACAGAGCGATGATGCGACTTCATGCTGATATGTGTGTTCGAACAGCGGCTGCTTACGCTGCAGGGGGAATCTCCCACGCCAGCGCCATCAAAATTGCCTACTTTCGCGGCCTCTACGTCGAGGAAATCCAGCGCCGTCTCGACGGTCGCCGGGGTACCATGCTAGCTGCGGGCTTGACCGCCGACGAGGCCCAGTCAGTCGTAGAAGAGTTCTCTACCACTGACCAGATCGCGACGGTGGCCTGCATCAACAGTCCCTCGAGCGTAACGATCTCGGGCGACGAAGACGCTATCGACAACCTCGAGGTCGTGCTTCAACAACGGGGCAAGTTTGCGAGGAAGCTTCGCGTGAAGATGGCGTACCACTCGGCACACATGGAGGTCATTGCGGACGACTTCCTGGCATCCATGGGCGAGCTGGAGATGAAGGACCAGTTCACAGCGCCAATGTTCTCTTCGGTTACGGAGGAGGTCTTGGCGAGCCCGTCGCAGCTGAGCGCGGCGTACTGGGTCAAGAACATGGTCTCACCCGTGCTCTTCAAGGGTGCCGTGGAGGTATTGCTCACTCACTCCGCTCCCGTGGAGGGGGCCAGCACCACACGAAGACACAGGAAGGTCCCGGTGCGATGGACCGGTTTCATTGAGATCGGTCCGGCGGGAACGCTTCAAGGACCTCTGGACCAGATTATGAAGGCCGTCAATTCGAAGCTCTCCTCTGAGCTCATTTACATCTCCATGCTGAAAAGGAAGAAGAACGCCATGTCCACCTCGCTCGAGGCTGCGGGTCTGCTGTGGGCCACGGGTCATGCCGTCGATCTGCTGAAGGTCAACGAGGACCCCGAGCACCGAGATGTCAGGTCCTTGGCTAACTTGCCTCCTTACCCTTGGCAACACAGCAAACGCTTCTGGCACGAGACGCCTGAAAGCATCGCGGTCAGAAAGCAGAAGAGGCCTAGGAAAGATCTCCTAGGCATCGAAGTGCCTAACCAGAACCCCTTTGAGCCTAGGTGGCGAACTCCCTTGCGCCTGGAGGAGCAGCCGTGGATGGGAAGCCATGTCATTACCGGCACCATTTTGTACCCGGCTGCCGGCATGCTGATCATGGTGCTCGAAGCCGCGCTGGAGATTGCCGAGATTGACTCGAGAAAAAAAAGGAAGAAGATTAGGGGCGTCGAGTTGGGGCAGGTCAGCTTCGAGAGAGGCTTGGTGGTCCCTAATGATGATGCCGTCGAGACTCACTTGAGCATGCGACCAGACGAAGTGTTCCCTGACAAGTATCACTGGGCCATCTTTTCCATCCCGCCCGGCGGCACGTGGCAGAAACACTCTTCTGGTACTGCCGCCACTGTTTACGAGGACACTGTTTCAACGATCGAGGACTGGCAAGCCGGAGCGGAGAGCTTTGAGGACATGAAGAAGCGTGCATCCAAGAAGCTTGACGTCTCAGCCTTCTACGACCAGCTCAAGTCCATTGGCATGGACTACGGGCCACTATTCACGAACGTCGTTGACGCCGCCGTACTGCCCGGTGAGCACACAGGTCTTGCGACCGTTTCCATCCCGGACACCAAGTCTACGATGCCTCAGGGCATCGAATTCCCGCATCACATCCACCCGGCGACACTCGACGCAATCTTCCACCTCCTCTTCATCGCGCTCTTTGAAGGGAATCCCATGGACGAGGCATCCATTCCCGTCACGGTTGAAACCATCTTCATCGCGACGGACCAGCCTTCGGGTGCGGGATCAAAGTACGTCGGGTTCTCAAAGGCGAGGAAGATCAGCCCCAGAGAGGCGTGCGGCGACATCGTCGTCTCGGACGGGAGCTGGTCCGGGCCCAAGATCGTCATGCAGAACATGGTCGTCCGTCAGGTGTCGTCCTCTGACGACAAGTCTCAGAGCTTCTCGTCGCCATTCTCTCCAGCGCCAAAGAGAGTTGGTCGACTTGAGTGGAAGGAAGACATCGATGCGCTTGCTGGCAAGACGGCATCACAGCTCCTACGTCAAAATCACGACCGCTTTACTAGTCTAGCCAGACCAGACTTGGCTGCGTACTTGGAGCTTCTTACTTACAAAGAGGCCGACTTGCGGCTTCTTGTCCTTCATGCCGAAGAGAACCAGGAACTGCAGTCTCTGGCAACCATCTTCGCACCGCAAGAGGAGCGAGGTCTTCGCGCCGCCGAGATCAAGTTCGCTGCGCCGTCTCAGGAACTTGCAAGCCAATTGCTTTCCCGGCTTGCAGCAATGCAATATCCACTGCCCAATGGGTCCCAGATTGTGTCTGTACCATCACCTGAAGCCCTGAGTACCAATTCATCCGATCAACTAGTTGAAGAGCTGGGCATGTTTGACATTGTTCTCGGAGACAGTCATGAGTTGCTCAAGGGCGGTGGAAACTTCGGGATGTCTCACATCAAGTCTCTTCTGCATCCCGGCGGTCGTATCGCACTACTGGGAGACAAGGCGTCTGTCGCCAATCGTCTGAGCAGCGCCGGCTTCGCCCAGGTTGACATCGAGTTTGATAACGCAGTTGTTTGGTCGACACAAGCTCAAAAGAAGCTGGATCTTTCCGAGATCAACCTTATCGTCCGGCCCTCGCCGTCGACAGCCGCACTGGAGGCCCAAAAGGCCTTGACACGGAAATTGGAGAGTTCAGGTGTCGCGGTCGAGACCTGCCACCTTTCCGAGGCAGCCACCTCGGGATCCGAGGTCTTCATCTCTCTTCTCGAGTTCGATGAGCCTTGGACAATCAACCTCACTGCTGAAGAGCTGGACCAGTTCCGATCCTTGGTTTTCGGCGCCAAATACCTCCTGTGGCTCACGAACGGCGGCATCGCCGACAGGAGTGAGGCATCGCTGGCCTTCTCGCCCACCACAGGCCTGTTGCGCACTATTCGAACCGAGATACCACAGATCGTGCTCCCACATCTGGATCTCTCGACGACTTCGAAACTTGGCCCTGAAGAACAAGCCGACTTGGCAATGGAGGTGTTAAGCCTCAGCAGGAAGGACTTGTATAAGGGAAAGAACAACGAGATGGAATTCCTGGAGTCCGGAGGCATGCTTCTGATCCCCCGGGCCGTGGCAGACTTGCCCTCTGACCATGATTTGGGGTTGCGCTCTGGTCAGCCGAAGTCGGTTCCGGGGGCATTATCGGCGACTGGTGAGGCTGGTGACCTGATTCCCCTGAAGCTCGACGTCGGTGGGTCCGGTGTCTGGATCGCGGACACAACCCAGAACGAACCTCTCGATGACGAGGAGATCGAAATCCAGACCAGCCACATATGCATCAACGGCTCGGAGCTCACCCGATCATCAGGTCAGTTTGCTACCAAAATGGCGACGGAGGCTCTTGGACGTGTAGTCCGCTTTGGTGCCGAGGTGCCGAACCTCAAAGTTGGTGACGAGGTCGTCGTCCTGGTTGATGAAAGTGCCTTCAAGACACATATCAGACAGCACTTCAGCTTGGTCCAAAAGGCCCCGCAAGATGTCAAGCCTGAGTTTGCCGCTTCCCTCCCATCGAGCTTCATGACGGCCTACCATGCCATCGTCGAAGTTGGTCGTCTGGTAGCGGGCGAGACTGTTTTGGTCCACGCCGTGCATAGTGCTGTTGGACTCGCGGCCCTGCAAATTGCCACACAGCTGGGTGCGGCAGCGGTGTTTATTACGGCCAACGACGACAAGACAGCATCAGACTTAGTCGCCGAGCACGGCGTACCCGAGAGGTATATCATCCGCGCAGAGGACGGTGACGCCGTCTCCCAGACCGCCATGAAGCTTACTTTCGGGCACGGCGTCGACATCGTTATCAGCGCCGCGTCCGGCACATCGTTGCACTCCGCTACGAAGACGATCGCTTCTTGGGGCCGATTCGTACGCATCGGTACCGAGAGGGCTCGTCCGCAGGACATTAGCGCCGCGGTATTCGAGCGCAACTCCTCCGTCTCGTCCGTCGACGTCAGACAGCTCCCTCGAGAGAGGCGTGCGCGGCTGCTCGCCATGGCGTTCGGGTTCTTGCGCTCCGGACTCGTGAAAGAGCAGTCGCTTGTCACCAGTGTGCGTGATGTTCGAGACCTGGGCGATATCTTATCCTCGACTACGGTCGATCAGGGCAACATCGTCGTCGAGCTCGGGGAGAAAGCCGTGGTGCCGGTGCTACCGCAACCGCCGGCTCCGCCCCAGCTGGATGTCGACGCGACTTATCTCATCTCCGGCGGCCTAGGTGCTCTAGGTCTAACTATTGCCAAGAACATGGCTCTTCATGGTGCTCGGCACTTGGTCCTTCTATCGCGATCTGGCGTCGTGAACGGTAGGCAGGAAGACGCCCTTCGGGACATTCGCGATCTCGGCTGCGAGGTCGACACTCCCAAGTGCGATGTCACGGTACGCTCAGAAGTGGAAGATGTGATACGAACATGTGCAGCGAGCGGGCGAAGGCTTCGAGGCGTGATCCAATGTGCCATGGTCCTCCAGGATTCCATCTTGCAGAATATGACCATCGACAAGTGGAACACCGCGACGCGTCCCAAGATTGTGGGGACATGGAATCTCCACTCGGCGGTGCCCACAGACCTCGACTTCTTCATCCTTCTGTCCTCCATGTCGGGCATTATCGGGAATAGCGGGCAGGCTAACTACTGCGCGGGTAACGCGTACGAGGACGCCGTCGCGCTCCACCGCCGGTCCCTGGGGCTGGCGGCGACGACGCTGAACGTTGGGCTCGTAACGGATGCGAGTCACTTCAATGCGACGTCCACGGCCGACGATTACCTCAAGAAGTACGGCCACTGGGAGTCGGCGAGGGTAACGGACGACGAGATGCAGGCCGTCATTGAAGCTGTCCTCCGCCAGGGTACTCAGGACACCCCACCGCAGCTCCTCGTCGGCATTACCGACGACGTGAAGCGGGACGGTCGCGCCACGTGGCCTCAAGACCGCAAATTCGAGCACCGAATCGCGCGGTCCGGGGCTTCTGCAGCCGGTGCAGGCCCTGCCGGCGCGAACGCGGCGAAGCTCGGCGACGAGTTAGCACGGGCCAAGACGTTGAGAGAGGCTGTTACGGTGGTTCTCAACGTCATCAAAGCGAACCTCGCGGCGGCCATGACGGCCAGTCCCAATGATATTGACGAGGAGAGGCCGCTGTACAGCTTTGGTGTTGACTCTCTCAAGGCCGTTGAGGTGCGGAACTGGATCTTCAAAGAGCTGCGTTGTGATGTCTCCGTCTTTGACATTTTGAGCCCGAGCCCGCTAGCTAAGTTGGGGCCGAGGATCGTAGCTAGGAGCGCGCTAACGCCACCCGAAATTGCAAGCCAGGCGTTGGCGGAAGCATGATCTATGTTCGTGGGGGGTTTTTTTTTAGTTCATAGTGTCAAAAGAATAAGTAGGTCAATGTAATCATGAATTTTTTTTGTCTGTTGTTGAATCAAGGTTCTCGTGCATGTTGTCTTTATTGGATCATTTTCCCCTAAGATTATTGATACATCTTGCGATTATGACAATTACAATCAATAAGTTATAGCTATCGAGGTATGTAATAATAGTGGTCAAATGCACATGAAACGAGGGTACACAACTGCAGCTCATCAGGTAGTCAAATAATAGATCGAGCCTCCTAGGAGCGAGACCTTGGTGATCATGTAACCGAATTCACTCCGTGCATGTAAAGAATGGTAGGGTGTCAAGACTACATGTAATGTGTTGATGCTTTTATAGCGTGATGGAAATGATAATGTTGAGAGATCTACATATTCTCTTAAACTACATGTGACTGATTTTGCTGACAGTAAAGAGAAGGCGCTTCTGTCAATACTTTAGACGCTTTATAAAATCTTCAACACAAAAAACATGAGTGTAGCCTCTTTTACTGCGATCACCACTTGATCGACATCTTCCCTCGAAGACGCTCGACGCGCTCCATGACTCCTCTTAACATCCCGAGAGTCGCACTGCACTGCATCTCTTTCATGTGCCCTCCCGTAGTATTTTGGAGGTCTGTTAGCATTCCAACGAATATCCTTAAGCGGTGCCGAACAAGCCGTTTCAAAAACGTCAGCTTCAAGTCTTCGTCTAGAACCTCGTACTCGCCGATCCGCAGCTCCGTCGTATGTATCAAGGACTGTTTGCGATGGAGCGGGGGCGCCGCCGGCACGGCCGGGGGTATGTAGAGCTTCCCCAGCCCAACGCCGCTCGCGGACGGCTGGCTGCGGTAACTGTTCTGGTACGTCACGCCAGAATTGCCGTCCCCTGCGTTATTCTTGTTCGGACCACCTGAACTTCCTCGGCTTGAGCTCTGATGGTCCATGATGGCCACGTCGGGCTTGACTTTCTCGATGAAGCAATCCAGCAGCCGGGTCGCCTGATCCATGATGATGGAAAGCAGCAGGAGGCTACTATCGTTGGCTAGGCAATGTGGGCAGTTGAGGAGACTCTGGGTGAGCTCTTGCATGTTCCGGTCAATTTGTAGAATAATGTCGACATTGGGTGCCACTGAGTAATTTGTGAAGCTGTTCAACCCGGCGAGCTGTTGGCTAAGACAGCGGTAGCAGTCGTTGCTGCATAAGAGCGAAGACGAGGTTAATGATGATGTGGAAATGGCGAGAGGTTGTGTGTGAAAGTGCGCTGATGATCTGTCGGGACTAAACACGTCGGACACTGCTGCCACCGCCGCCGCCGCGCCACTTTCGGACAGATTCATGGTGGAACTCGAAGAGCGGTCAGTCGTGCCACTGAGAGCTTCAGTTCCAAACTGCTCGTGTTGGTCCACTGGTGTATTGTAATGACTTCGCTCCGTAGCCCAATTCTGGAGGTCCTCGAACGTCGTCTCATTCAAGCTGACGGCGGCGGAGAGCGACTCCGAGGTCGTCGGGTCAGTCGTGAAGAGTGTCTCCATGACGACGTCAAACTGATGGTTGCTGTCTATCACTGGCTGATGCAAAGCGCTAGGGATTACGATAGTGCTACCCCCGTTATCGTTGACTCCGGACATGGCGTCGAGGAAGGCATCTGTGAAGGGCGAAACTGTCTCGTGGAAAGCTGGGGTTAGAATTTTCTGCAAAGAGGTAGACGTCGATGGTCCACCCCGGCTCTGTCCGATATTTGGAACTTCGCTGTCGTGGTTCTCGCCCTGGCCGCCTCCACTTGCACCTGCACCTCCCCACGATGGTAATGCTGACGATGGCGGCGGCGGTTGTTGTTGCTGCTGTTGTTGAGTCGAATCTTCTAGCTGACTGGAGGAATGTTTGCGCGGCCGGCCCAGTCGGCGGATCGGGGAGTACACGCACGGAAGACCGAGGCGGACGCACCGTCGACACGCCGGCTTGGCCTGTGAACACTTGAGCTTTGTATCCTGACAGCGGTCACACGAATTGCGGAGCCTGAACTGCCGGTTCGCCGTCTGATCTCGGTCTCCCTGGGCCTCCGTGACAGGGGCCGGACTAGCATCCCCGGGCTGTATTTCGGTATTACTCATGGCGTGTACAAGGCCATATATGTACCTTTGGTTGCTTGATTTGTCTTTTTCCCCTCTTTGTTGGATGGTCCTGCATCCGTCCCTTCCAGAGGAACGCGAGCTAAAACTCGTCACATCAATCAAAAGCAAACAAGACTCGACACCCTCACTTTTATATCTGTTACTCGTCCCACAGTCGCTCACTCAGATTCCAGGCAGCCAGACTCCTTCCTTTGCGGAGGTGTGGTGCTGTGTACACAGTAACCGCTTTACTTGATAGAGGTACATCTTCTGGCTTATGCTCTTTTAATAGCCTGGTCGCTCTGTATGCACACATCACGCCGAGGACGCGCACGTTACGGAGTTGTCGGCCCAATCAAATCATAAGGACTGTGCCTGTTCCACTCAAAGGATTTTGTCATTGACCGAGATACAGGCCTGGCCTACCTGTCACTCACACTCACATAACTCTCCCCCAGGTCTGCATAGTTTCCTTGAAGAAATGCACATTCAAATCCTCATACCAAGGCTACAGCCACACTTGATTGTCATCATTTAACCGGCTTTGCCCCGCATAGAGTCCGGAAATCTTTAGGTACGTTGGCAGCTTCCATCCCTTGTTCGTTTCAAGTCCCACATGAAGACACGAGGCCCCTGTCAATTTATGTACATGTAGGAACAATCCATTGAACTGTGCAACCAAGAACTCTGGTCACATAAATTGTGTCCCAACTACCTTAAATGTGAGATTGAACGAACAAAACTTGTATCTGTGAGGGCACCAAGCAAGGTATAATTGAAAGTGTGGTGTGCATGTTGACATGACATTGGGCGTGGGGGTGGCTTTACGTCTGTCAGATTTAACCTACATAGTTCGGCTCGGCCGCGGCCGCCGCAGGGAAAATGATAACTACTTGGATCCAATCGGCCCATTACGCCGCGGGATCGCATAGAATACAAGTAAGTAATGTGCTTATCAGCCACTGACTCAAAAAAAAAAAGGCACTTGTCGAACAAGCAAGACAGGACCGGGTGGTTGATCGGGTCATTTCTTCAAAAACACGGAAAGACGGATCACAAGTTCTTCCTTCCAAGACTACATGAATAGGCCCTCGCTGGGCCTGGATTTCGTCAGCAGAGTGGAGGTAAATTACACGGTTAGCTAGACAGTTCCAAGAGAAACAACATCTATCTTCAATATGGTGGCAAACATGTCATTGATCTTCAAGAAGGTGCACGAGACGCCTACAGTAGCTGGGCAGGATATTGCGGTGGAGAGCAGAGACTTTGATCTTGACCAGGTATGCAGCCGTGCAATAAGTGAGGGTTGTTTGTTGTTGAAACACTCGGGCATCCTCGTACAACTGTGGCATTTTGCTAACAAATCAATTCAGGAATTGACGGGGGGTTCTATCTTGGTACAAGTTCTGTATGTCTCATTCGACCCGTACATGAAAGGTCGCATGGTTGAGAAGCCGGTGATGGGCCCTTACAAGCTCAACGAGCCCATCCCGAACACAGCCCTTGCCAAAATCCTTCGATCCAACAACGAAGCTTTCCCCGAAGGCGCCATTGTCAGGGGTGAGTTTCCCATTAGCCAGTACGCCATCGCCACCGCCGAAGACTTGCAGGCCGGATGGGCACACCTGATCGAGAACCCTCTCGGCTTCCCCCTCGACACCTTCCTCGCCGGGCTAGGGATGCCCGGACTCGCCGCCTACGCCTCTCTGTATGAGATCGGCAAGCCCAAAAATGGTGAGACTCTGTATGTCTCCGCCGCGGCCGGCGCCGTGGGCCATGTCGTCGGGCAGATCGCCAAGCGTGAGGGCCTACGTGTCATCGGCTCCGTGGGCGCCGACGAAAAGGTCGACTATCTCGTCAACGAGCTCGGCTTTGACGCTGTCTTCAACTACAAAAAGGAGACGGTCGACGAGAGCCTCGCGTGTCTTGCGCCCGACGGGATAGACATTTTCTACGACAATGTCGGCGGTGAGACGCTGGACGCGGCTCTGCTGAAGATGAACACGTATGGACGTATCGTCGCCTGCGGCGCCATCAGCCAGTACACGCGTGTCCAAGGTCCTTACACGGGCTATGGAGTCACCAACATCTTCAACATCACGGTGAAGCGGGTCACCATGGCTGGCTACATTGTGACCGACCCCAACATCGGTCCCAAGTACGGCGCGGAGCATATGCAGAACGTATCAAAGTGGATTCACGATGGTAGCTTTACGTCCAAGTCGACTGTTGTGGACGGCGTCGATAACGCAGCCGATGGGTTTGTGGGCATGTTTTACGGCAAGAACATTGGAAAGGCAGTTCTCAAGATTTAGAATGTGATACTATAAATCTAGATCGAATCTGTGATCTTCATTAAATTTGACACATTTGGCTTGCGACATGTTCACATTAGTGATGAGTCTTTACAAATCATGTTTAAGGCACGGTTTTGCACAGTTCTTAGCACGCTCCCAGTGCTCGTATGGGCACAAATGGATAAGAGGATGAATGAGAGAGCGAGCAACGGAATGGGGGTCAAGGAATATACCGAAAACAAGGATCCAGACATGGGCGGTCAGGATAGCCCGTTTGACTTCATGGCGGCAGGGACTTTCTGGATTCGCCTAGTTACGGTAGTAGTTCCAAGCCTCCAAATCCTTCCAACTCATCCTTCTGACTAGATAGCCATCCCACCATTTAAAAAACGAACCTTGAGACATTTGAAAAGCCCCCGAAGAGGTAAGCATTTAAGTGTCCGAGACTCCCAAGCCCCCATGTAAGTCGTTCAGTGGTAATCAGCAACCAATCGACGATCCACATAACCCAACATGCCACGCCGAATCCTTTGCCTACATGGCATGGGGATTAACAGCCAAATTTTTGCCTCGCAGACAGGTTAGCCACTCCTGCGCGGCACTGTCTTATCTTGGTCAATCAGTATGGCTCACTCACTTCTCAGCATCTTTCCGCAGTCTGCTACCATCCGACTATGAGTTCACATTCGTCGATGGCCCAATCGCTTGCAAGCCGGAGGGAGCCGTCGCCAGGGTTTACCCAGGCCCGTACCTGTGCTGGTATAGAACACCAACTACTGAGTCGGTGACAGCGGCCCATCACCGGGTGAAGTCCATTATTGCTGAAAAGGGCCCTTTCGATGGAGTCATGGGGTTCAGCCAGGTGAGTTTCACGCAGAGCGCGCTTCGGTCATTCTCATATCAAACCGGGTCCTAACCAGCCTCATTGAAAGGGCGCTGCAGTTGCGGTGTCGATGATCCTGCGCCACCAGTTGGAGAATGCATCGGTATCTCCATTCTTCAAGTTTGCCATCTTCATCGGCTCCCCTTTACCCTTCTCACATAGTCTGATGTACGGGATTGACACGCGGGACTACTTTGGCGTCTCCTACAACTTGGACTGCAGCGTGCTTGCGCGGCACAATCGGCCTAATAAGGTCCCTGCATATCTCATCACCCCGGACAGGTATCTCAAGGACGACTCAGATGAAGACTCCCACGGAAGTGGAGAGGAGTGTGATCAATCGACCACAGCCATATTTTACCAGATGTTCCATTCAACGTCAGATGAGGTCAGAATGAATATTCCCACCGTTCACATATTTGGCCGACGGGATCCGTGGTACCTACATAGTAAGGACGTGCTACAACTGGCATGTTCTGAACGAGCTTCGGTGTTGGAGCATTGTTATGGCCATGAGGTTCCGCGGCAACTGAGCGAAGAGATTTGCGATTTGATTGAGTCGGCGGTTGCATTAGTGAAAGTTTAGTGAGATATTCTCTACCCAAACTGTTCGACTATAGAGTAGAGATTTTCGGTGCAACTCTGTCACGAGTTATGGCACGCAGCATTGGGCATATGAAGTGGGTTAAAGTGGCTTGAAGTAACCCATCTAGAATGAGCACATGAGAGCAGTCTATATACTAAGAGAGTGTGATATCCACGTGAGAAAGCACGTGGCAAGATGCTTGACAAGTGCTGATACCATTCCTGTTTCGTGACAAACTCCAAGTCCATCGTAGACTTCCAGGGCAAATATAAATAGTACTAATTGTACTAAAATTTCAAACGTCGGAAATCCAGCGCCTTCTTCCTTTGAGTCAGAAAAATAATATTGTTATTGAATCTATAACAATCAATTTGTGTTTGTTCGTCTACTTAGTTCCATTGCCTTCGCCATGGTTTGTTCCGTTCGCATCACTAATATAGCCGTCCACCTTTCCCGCCGAGATGTCCTTGATAAAGTCCACCTGCATCCTAATAAGGTCCGGAAATTCAGGACCACTGAGGACATTAAGATGACCCTTACCAACAGACACATGCGCTTTCTTGGGGCCCGGGAACGTGTCGAACAGGGCAAACTGTTGCTCTGGGGGCGAGATCTGGTCCAACTCAGGAACGACCATGAGGACGGGCGTCTCGTACATATACTTCATGATTCCGTGGGGCTGCCACATGATGAGCTTGTAGTACGACTGCAGCGTCGTTCTGTTCTCGTGGCGGTTGGCTCCATACTTCTTGGCGTTGACCATGTAATCAAACTCTTCCTTGTCGGCGCCAATGCCCAGACCGGCTGGGTTGATGCCGTCCTCGGTCAGCACGGGCAGAAACACGGGCGGGTTGCCGGCAGCGCGTGACTCGCGATCGGCCATGCTTCGCGCCAGGACACGGGGAAACTTTTGTGGCGTGAGCTCAAAGTCGAGCAGCGGGCAGATGGAAACGACCATGCGGGCGCGCTTATCAAGGGCGCCGGCACAGAGGGCGACACAGCCGGCGAAGGACTGGCCCCAGAAGAAGATTTGCTCCGGGTCGACCTCGGGGAGGCCGCGGAGGTAGGTCAGCGCATCCGAGTAGTCCGAGACCTGCTTCATTGGGTCGATCTCGTTCCGGGGCTCGCCGTCGCTGAGGCCAAGGCTGCGGGGGTCGTAGATTAGGGCTGAGATTCCGGCAAGCTGGAACTGTTCGGCCACCTCTGGCACGAACATCTCCTTCACGCAGTTGAACTAGGTGAGACGTGCGTGTCAACTCGGAGAACGACTTTTTTTTTTAAAAAATAAAAAAAATAAAGAAAGGGAGTTTTTGTGAAGCCATACTTACTCCTGGCGTAATGATGGCTGCAGGACCACGATCAGGAGCTGGGTAGAAGCAGCCCCGGAGGGTCAACCCGTCCACGGTCTGGAACTCCACATCGCGAAAGAAGGTGCTCATGGTTGCCGTTGAGAAGCAGGGTTCAGACGGAACAGAAAGTATTTGATTGAAATCGCCACCTAGATGGCGAAATCCAGTGCATTGTAAGTAAGTGTATTGTATATTTTTAATTAGATAGATGGCTTTACAACGTGTAATTCGATGCCACAGCCAAAGGCCGTCTATAGGGCGTGGAATAAACCACCCGATTTGGTCCTCTTGCACCGGCCACTTTCAACACCAACGGTTTTCGGACTGGGGATAAGAACCGACTAACTAGATTGGGATGTCAGATTATTCCCTGTCAAATATCCCCGAGTTGTGGGCACGCCCTGACAAGACAGAGGGTTGGGAGTGGAAATTGGTCGGATGAGAAACTGATCTAATGGATGGGCGGTGGACGTTTGCTGCGATGACCAAATGTGGAAACCATCCGAAGCACTCTTGAGCGCCAAAGAATGTCTGGATAGTTAATGAGTGCGCATTTTCCGCATAGTTGTCGAAACCACTCGCACTACTTCAGAACGGCCAAGACACTCTCAAAGCCCTCTCTTTCTGAACCGAAATTCGTGGCGCGGCTCTATATAACCTTCTTTCTTATTCCTGCTCCGTCGAGATCCAGTTCGTACTTGCCTGCATTGGACAACCAAGGAGCCAAGATCAGACCGGAAATTGTCGGTAGACTATCAATGTTACCTACCCTACTAAAAGGCCTCTCTACCCTATTCCCTCTCCAAACAGCTAGGTCGAGCCAAGACCTAGACCACTTCAGCCAAGATGACCATCAACGACGGGAGAAGCGGTGGGTACACGATCCCGACCAACGGTACCAACGGCCCCACCTACACCAATGGCACCAACGGGATCAACGGTACCAACGGCTATAATGACACTAATGGCACCAGCGTAAGCGGCCCCACCACCGGGCCGCCCCAAGCTCATGAGCCGATCGCCGTCATTGGCATGGGATGCCGTCTACCGGGAGAAGTCGACAACCCGCACGCTCTGACGCAGCTCCTGAGGCGCGGCGGTGTCGCCCGCAATGAGCCGCCTGAATCCCGCTTCAATTTGTATGGCCACCACGACGGATCTAAGAAGCCCAAGACCATGAGGTCCCCGGGTGGCATGTTCCTAGAGAACGTTGATCCCCGCGACTTCGACGCTGGTTTCTTCCAGGTTCCCCGGCTCGACGCCGTCGCAATGGACCCACAGCAAAGACAGCTTCTCGAGGTCGTGTACGAGTGCCTGGAGAATTCGGGTGTGACGTTGCAGCAGCTGCAAGGGGCCCAGGTTGGCTGCTTCGTCGGTTCCTATGCCGTCGGTACGTTTCTTCTCGTCTGATCTTACTCTGTCATAATTGTATGGGACGAACCTTGGCTTACAACAATACGACATTTTTAGACTACGCCGACATGCAGGCTCGCGATCCCGAAGACCGAGCTCCTTCTGTCACAATTGGTGTCGGCCGGGCCATTCTAAGCAATAGGATCAGTCACTTTTTGAACATCAAGGGTCCCAGGTAAGCACATGTCTCCGTCTCACCCGGCTGGCCCCCCACGGATCCTGCAGCCACATCTGACACCTGTCTTGGTAGTATGACGATAGATACCGCCTGTTCGGGCAGTCTAGTAGCCCTTGATGTGGCATGTCGTTACCTCCGCACCCGGGAGATGGACGGAGCAATCGTTGCCGGTTGCAACCTGTACCTGAGGTGAGCATTAGACCGAAATTTCTTTCTCGGCCTTCGTGTCTTAGTAAGGAAACGCTGTCTGACTTCGGTGGGGTGGATCTAGTCCGGAGCACAACATGGATGTTGGCCCAATGAAGGGCGCCTCAAGTCTTACTGGGAAATGTCACACTTTTGACGTCAAGGCGGACGGTTACATCAAGGGTGAGGCCGTCAACGCCCTTATGGTGAAGCGCCTCTCGGACGCCCTCCGCGACGGTGACCCCATCCGGGCCGTAATTCTCGGAACCGCCACCAACAGTGACGGCAACACTCCCGGCATCGCCAGCCCTAGCTCCGAGGCCCAAGCGGCGGCCATCCGTTCGGCTTATGCCAACGCTGGAATCACAAATTTCAACGGTACCACGTATCTTGAGTGCCATGGCACCGGCACACAGGCAGGTGATCCGACTGAGATCGGCGGTATCGCCTCAGTGTTTGCGCCGTCGCGTAGTCCAGACCAGCCTCTGATCATCGGTTCCGTGAGTCCATTTCCCCCCTACTGCAGTTGAGGTGACACGAGCTTAACAATGCTGATATCCACCTAGATCAAGAGTAACATTGGCCACTCCGAGCCAGCAGCAGGTATCTCAGGCCTCATCAAGACCATCCTGTCTCTTGAGACTGGCACTATCTTCGGCAACCCTACCTTCATCACTCCCAATCCCAAGATCGACTTCAAGGGCCAGAAGGTCTTTGCAACTCGCACCAGCATGCCTTGGCCCGCAGGCGCACGCAAGCGAGCGTCTGTCAACTCGTTCGGATACGGCGGGTCCAATGCTCACGTCGTCCTCGAGTCGGCCGAGCAGTATCTCCAGGACAGACAATTCTCCACTCACGTCTCTTCCCACCTCGCCGAGGAGGCTGACCTGTTCGGGGACGACGATGATGATTCCTCTAAGGCCCCAGTCGCACAAAAGCCCCAGCTGCTTGTCTTTTCGGCTAACAACGAGTCTTCGCTCCGCGGCTACGTGAAGCTGCTGCGGAAGCACCTTCTCAACCCGAGCGTCAAGGCCGACTTGCGAGACCTGTCTTTCACACTCGCAAGCAAGCGAAGCATGCATTTTAACCGGGGATTCTTGCTGACAGAAAGAACGGCGATAGCCGAGGACTCTCTCGTTCTGGGCAAAAAGAGCCCCGAAACTCCCAAGATCGGCTTTGTTTTCACCGGTCAGGGTGCTCAGTGGTCGCAGATGGGAAAGGCTCTCGTCGATGCTTTCCCCACTGCCAGAGACTTGCTAAAGCACCTGGATACTGTTCTCAAGACCGCCCTTGTCCCTCCTACATGGTCTTTACTCGGTATTTCCACTTCATTTGCATTCTTCATTGCACCGACTAACACGGGATGTAGATGAGCTCGTAGAGCCGCGCAGTCCTGGTCTTCTCCGTCAGCCCGAGTTTTCTCAGCCACTTTGCACCGCGCTACAGCTCGCCATCCTGAGCGTGCTGGAAGACTGGGGCGTCGCGCCGCACAGCGTCGTCGGTCACTCCTCGGGCGAGATTGCGGCAGCATACGCTGCGGGCTACTTGTCCAAGGAAGACGCCATCAAGGTTGCTTACTACCGCGGCCTGGCTGCCAAGCAGCTCGCCAACGTCGTAGACGGAACCAAGAACGTGGGCATGCTCGCGGTCGGGCTAGGCGCCGAGGCCGTGATGCCCTTCCTGGAGCCCTACGCGGGACTGGTGCACATCGCCTGCTTCAACAGCCCCAGCAGTGTAACCTTATCTGGCAAGGTGGACAAGCTCGAGGAGGTCATGCCCGCGCTTGTAGCAGAGTCACACTTTGCCCGCCTGCTGCAGGTGAATCTGGCGTACCACTCGCCCTTCATGCTGGAGGTCAGCAGCCTGTACGAGGCTCTGCTCCGCCAAGACTTTGGCGCGTGCAAGAAGGACAGGAAGAAGGACGGCGTTCGCATGTTCTCGTCCGTTTCTGGCAAGGAGATGCGCCAGGCCGCTGATGCGGCGTACTGGAAGAGCAACATGAGCTCTGCTGTACGCTTTGAGCAAGCTACCAAGGCCATGCTCGTAGATGAGGACCGTCCGGACTTTCTCATCGAGATCGGCCCCAGCGGTGCGCTCTCAGGTCCTGTGGCCCAGGTGAAGAAGGCCGTCCTCGGGGAAGGTGCCGACGTCCAGTACGTTGCGGCCTGGTCTCGTGGTCCCACTGCCCTCAAGTCGCTCTACGAGGTGGCTGGCAAGCTTTTCATCAGCGGTGGAGAGGTCAACTTGACAAACGTAAACAAGACTGAGACGTGGGAGCCGAGGACCATTATCGACCTGCCCAACTACGCATGGGACCACTCCACGCAGTACTGGTACGAGAGCGACGCCAGCAAAGACTGGCGATACCGACTGTTCCCGCACCATGACCTCTTGGGCAGCAAGCTTCTGGGAGCTTCCTGGCAGGCGCCGTCTTTTAAGAAGTCTCTCAAGTTGGCAGACCTGCCATGGCTTCGAGACCATAAGATGGGCCCGGAGATCGTCTTCCCCGCGGCCGGCTTCATCTCCATGGCCATGGAAGCCATCCGCCAGAGCACCGAAGCGCTGCGCATCTTGGAGAGCAAGGTATTCCCCGCAGAATACCACTACAAGCTCCGAGACGTCAACTTCATTCGCGCCCTCGTGCTCGAGGACTCAGATGAGGCCACCAAAATCATGCTGGCCCTTCACCCGCGCACGGGGGCCAAGGACTCTTGGCACGAGTTCAAGATCAGCTCTCAGGTAGGAGATGCCTGGCTCGAGAACTGTCGGGGCCTCGCCAGGATCCAGGAGAGCACACCTGAGAACTCGACCACGCCCGAAGGCACCGTCAAGCCACTGGTCGACCCCGTTTCCGGCGCCCTGTGGTACAAGGCCATGCACGATACTGGCTACAACTTTGGCCCGGTTTTCCAGAAGCATCTCAAGATCGAGTCCATCGTCGGTTCGCGCGAGTCACGGTCCCTTGTGGATCTGAGCCCACCCGCCTCCGAGCACCCTCAGTCGTGGTATCCGATGCACCCTGCCGCCATTGATGGATCATTCCAGTCCTGCGCCCCTTCTCTCTGGGCCGGTGACAGGCCCGGAATTAGTGCCGTACTGGTGCCCGCCATCATTGACGAGTTGGCCATTTTCCCAGTGGAGAACCTTTCTGGCAAGGGCATCTCCACGACGACGTCTGAGTACGTAGGTCTTGGTCTGCCCGAAAGTACGAAGAGTTACAAGTCCAACGCAGTTGTCCTGGACTCTGAGACTGGAGACTTGCGTTTCAAGCTCACTGGCCTGAGATATCACCAATTGGACACGCAAGAGGACCCATACTCATCGCACACGCACAGCCGCGTGTCATGGAAGCCGGACGTGACTTACCTGACGGAAGAGAGCATGGCAGCCATCGCAACAGCAGAAGACCCACTCAACGAGTTCATCGACCTGACCGCTCACAAGTTCCCGAACCTCAACGTGCTGGAGGCCAGCACAATTCCCTCAGAATCTAGCAGTGTCTGGCTTGAGGGCGGTAAAGCCGACCCTGTCGTGAGGTCTGCTTGCCGCAACTTTCAGTTCTCTTCATCCGATGCGTCTGCTGTGGTGAACGCTGAAGAGACGTACGGCAGCAAGTCAGGCGTGACCTATGCTGTGCTTGACGTTGCTGCCCACCCGGAGAAGGTGCAGGCTCCTGACAAGGCCTTCGATCTCGTCATTATCAGAACCGCTGAAGGGCCAGTGGAGTCGCAGGGTAATGTACTGCGGAACGCACGTACGTTGGTGTCTGATGGCGGCTACGTCGTACTTCAGGCCCCCACCCCTGCTATTTTGACGGCCTCGTCTTCCTTGGGCTTCTTTTCGTCTTTTGCCATTCCTTCTGGAGACGGCAATACCACTCACATCCTCGCTGCCTCGTCGGAGACCTTGACCAAACCGCAAGGCATCGAGCTCGTACACTTCTCTGGCCCGACGGACGTGACCGAGCAGGTTGTCTCAGGGCTGTCTGACCTTGGATGGCAGATCACCGACTCCAACGCTACGCGGGAGGGACAGAAGACAATTTTGGTCCTGAGCGACCTCTCCGCCCCAATTCTTCCCACTATGACAGAAGCCCAGTGGCAGCTCCTCAAAAGCACATTGGTATCAGGCAATCAAGTACTATGGGTGACCTCGGGCTCCCAGCTCAACGTCACAAGCCCCGAAAGAGCCATGATCCACGGTCTGGGCCGTACAGTTCGTAACGAGGATCCCTCTGTCAGTATCACAACGTTGGATGTCGAGTCAGCCACGGGTCCGAAGACCGTCTCTGCCATCAATGACGTGCTCAAGCATCTCGGCAGAGTTGCTAACCAGAGTCAAACGACTGGCATTGAAAACGAATTTGTCGAGCGCCATGGGGTTATCCATGTCAGCAGAGTGCAGCCCAATGAAGGAGTTAATGTCGTAGAGAAAGCCCTAGCCCATGGTGCCGAACTCGTCGAGGGCGAGCTGCACGACTTCAAGACCACTGTTCGTCTACAGTGCGAGCGCGTCGGCACGATCGATTCGTTGCAGTACACCGAGGTCGCCGCTACGGAGCTGCCTGTCCTCGACGGGAGCGTCGAGGTCGAGCTTTTCGCCGCCGGACTCAACTTCAAGGACGTCGCCGTCACGATGGGCATCGTTCCCGAGAACCAACACCTCCTCGGCCTCGAAGGCGCGGGCGAGATCCGTCGCGCTGGCAAGAACGCTGCTAACATATACAAGCCCGGAGACCGCGTTCTCGTCTTCAAGAAGGGAGCATTTGGAAACAGGGTAATTGCCTCCGTAGAGCGAACGCACCACATCCCTGACTGGATGTCCTTCGAGGAGGCCTCGACCCTGGCCAGCGTGTACCTCACTGCGCTTTACAGTATTTTTGACCTCGCCAACACGCAAGCGGGACACAAGGTGCTTATTCATTCTGCATCTGGTGGCCTTGGTATCGCTTCGATCCAAATTTGCAAGTTCATCGGCGCAGAGATCTACGCCACCGTCGGCACTGATGAGAAGGTGGACTTCTTGGTGGAGAGCTTTGGCATCCCCAGAGAAAACGTCTTCAACTCGAGAAACACTACATTCGCTGCTGAGCTCAAGGCCGCCACGAAAGGACACGGCGTCGATGTGATCTTAAACTCTCTCACCGGCGACATCTTGGACGAGTCGTGGCGCTGCATCGCCGATGGCGGAACCATGGTCGAGCTGGGAAAGAGGGATATGCTTGATCGCAATTACCTCTCCATGTAAGTCTCATTGAACTGATACTCTTCTGCGGGCCAGAATACTGAATGAACTTTAGGGAGCCGTTTGGTCGCAACGCTTCATACCGCTGCTTCGATATGTCCCACGAGCACGTATCGGACACCGTCATTGCTAGGCTCATGCGCCAAATGATGAGCCTCATCAGCCAGCGCGCTGTCAAGCCTATCGCTCCCATGACCATTTTCCCCTTTGAGGATGTTGCGGGTGCTTTCCGCTACATGCGTGCGGCCAAGCACATGGGCAAGATTGTCCTTTCCGCCAAACAGAAAGCGGACCAGCCAACTGTGATGGTCCGCCCCGCGAAACGCAGATTCGATCTGTCCCAGACAACTTCCATCCTCATCGTGGGTGGTATAAAGGGTCTTTGCGGGTCTCTGGCAGTCTATCTTGCCCAGCAGGGCGCCAAGCACCTCGTCATCCTAGCCCGTGGCGGCTACGACGACGAGCGTTCGCAGGCCGTGCTGAAGAACATTCACGCCCAGGGAGCTAAGGTCGATCTTGTCAGAGGCGACGTCTCCGTCTTGGAAGACGTTCGAAGAGCATTCAAATCCGCCAGTGTCCCCGTCGGTGGCGTCATTCAGGGCGCCATGGTCCTAAGAGACAAGATCTTCACCTCCATGACGACCGAGGAGTACCATGGCGCCGTGGCCTGTAAGGTTCCCGGAACCTGGAACCTTCACAATGTGGCCCAGGAGGAGGGTCTCGATCTTTCTTTCTTCACCATGCTCTCCTCTGTCTCCGGTGTCGTCGGCCAAAAGGGCCAAGCAAACTACGCAGCCGCCAACGCGTTCCTCGATGCCTTTGCCGTGTATCGCCAGGGGCTCGGGCTGTCCGCTGTTTCAGTCGACCTGGGCGCCATCGACGACGTGGGCTACATGCATGAGCACAATGATCTCCGCGTGGCCCTTGACCGGGATGCATGGACGCCAATTAACGAGAACTTATTCCGCCAGATCGTCCGCGTTTCCATTCAGCAGCAGCAAAGACCATCTTCGACGGGTAACTCCTCGCAACTCATCACCTCCATCGCTGTACCCCAGCCGGACTCTTCCAACCTTCTTGCCGACGCTCGCTTCGTCAGCCTGGCGTTCGGCACCGGCGAGGCCGCGGCCGGCGGCGACGGCAAGGACGACAAGTCGCGCGCCGTGCATGCGCTAATGCTGTTACTGCAGTCCAGCGCAGACGCCTCGGTTGTGCTCAAGGCCGCCGTGGATGTCGTAAATACACAGTTTCAGGCCACGCTGCGGCTTTCCGAACCAATGGAACCAGCCAAGCCGCTCAGCAGTTATGGTCTGGACTCGTTGTCTGCCGTCGAGCTGCGAAACTGGGTCAGGCTGGATCTTGGAGTTGAGTTGACGACGCTGGAGATCACGAGCGCCACGTCACTAACGGCGCTGTCCGAGAAGATTGTGTCCAAGATGAAGAAGAAGGACTGAAGATTTTGATGCCTTAGAATTTGTGTTCTCTTTTTCTTTCTCTAATTTCATCTATTTTATGGGTTTTCCTTTTTGTTGACGTGGCAATTTGTTACAGTTGTATGCCGTTCATATTACTTCAACCTCGCGTTCCCACATTGCCGTGAAATGACCAGTAATACACAATGAAGTTCAAAGCACAATTATTGTGTCTTGTAACTCATGAAAAAGTTCACAATTTGTAGCACAAGTAGTTAGAAGATGAATATGAATTTCCAGAAGCCTTTAGAGTAGTATTGACTACTTGCAGCTTAACGTGAGGCTACACTCACTTGCTCCTCTCGCGTCTTGCCACACAACACGTCCTGCTTGGATGTCTTACACACCAAATGTCCGAAAGATTCGACTTCATACTTAGAATTCTCGAGACACGTATCTAGTGTTACGGAAGACCTTCACCGACTTCTCCTACTGAAAATGAGAAGTGTTGGAATAGGCCTACATTAGGCAGCAGGAGGTTGCTGCCGCGGTCCGTTCCAGTCACGGTGGTCCGTGTGGCTCAGCCACACGAGGGTGGTATACCCCAGACTTCCTGCCGCCGCTGGCACCTGGTTAGACTTCCACTCAAGAACAACAAGAACAAGCAATATCACCACTACAGTCGGTGATCGTTGCTACCCACGATACTCGAGTATTTTCCTTTTCCACCTGTGAATCCAACAAGAAGTTTTCATTGAGGGGAGTCATTGAGCTCGGTAACGGCAGAACTACAACAATTCATTCACCTAAGAGATTCATCATACCATCAGTCCATCCCACGGGGTAATCGGTCACCGATATAGATCCTCCTTAACCAGAGCTCTCACCCCAAGCGTATGCGGCTTAGGACGCGGCACAAATCGGTCCATGTGCAGGTCCATCGCGTCTCGCTCCGTCTCGTAAAGCTCCATCTTGAACCTGCGGAACAGTGTCGCGATGCCTGTATACAGCTCCGCCCACGCAAGCTGCATGCCTACGCAGGAGCGCGTCCCGCGTCCAAAGGCGACCATGTAGCGTGAGAGCTTCTTCCTGTCGGGGGCTTTGGGGTCGCCGAGCCAACGCTCCGGGCGGAAGGTCATGTTGTCCGGAAAAATGGCCTCATCGTGGGATACGGCGAAGTTGTCCATGCTCACGGTGGCGCCGACGGGGATGAGCCACTCGCCATAACGAAGAGGTTCGTCCTCGAGGGTGCGCGGAAGTCGTTGGGACGTCCCGTACGCGAAGCGGAGGGCTTTTTTGCGATTTTGTTCAGCAAAGTCCGCGTCCAACTTTTCAATACTGGAGAATAATCTTACCTTCGTTGATGCAAGCTGTCAGATACGGTAACTGAGAGAGAGCATCCCAGTCGGGAGGATTTCTGGGATCCGAGATGGCCTCCCTAAGCTCGGCTTGAAGCGTCTCTTGAACTGGGGGGTTTGCCAGGACATGGAATGTGCACAAGCTGAGTGCTCGCATCGTCGTCTCGATACCGGCGCCGGTCACGCTGATTGCCTCTTGCTGTAGGCGGCCAACTGTCTTCTCCGAGGGTGGGAGATCGGACTCGAGGATGACCCCAAAAATGGTCTTGGACTGCCCCTTTTCCTCTGCTGGCTTATTTAAGAGGATACGAATTTGGCTCATCATTTCCTATTCATGCGTGTAACACATCAGCAAGATGCCATACGTGAGTCCACTTCGTGTTCCAGTCTAGGCCATCTGCTTACGTTGTTAAAGTCCAGCACAGTCCCCATTTGAGGAGACATAGCCTTCACCCACGACAGCGGGAGCATCTTGAACATATTCGTCACAAGAGGAAATTGCGTGATGTAGTGAACAGGTTCCAACAGATCGACCATGGCGTCCGTGTAACTCGCGTGGAAGTCCGGAGCGTCGAGAAAGTTATGCGGCTTGTCAAAGGCGTAGTCGTTGATGATGTCCGAAGTCCAGCATCCCCACATCTGATCGATGCGTAGCACCTTGTCATTACCCAGGTACTCTCGTGTGACGCGATCGGTAAGGCGGTGCATCATCCGCTGGATGTTGGGCTGGTGCTCGGCGATCCTACGGTGAGAGAAAAAGGGATTCAATGCAGCTCGCCGCTGGCGGTGTCTGGAGTGGTTTACCGTCGAGAAAGCCGACTCTGGGCTGTTGAAACGGTGGGCGAGGGTGGTCAGCTTGCTGGAGTGCCTGGAGGACGAGTAAAGCACGTCGTAGAAGCTGGAATCTTGGATATGCAGCTCCCATGGGTTGATCCGGAGGATGGGGCCTTTGTGGCCCAGTTAGCGCCACATTAAGGTCTCGTAGTGGTCGATTCTCAAACTGGGAATTACTTGCCGTATTCCTCATGCAACTTGGCGTAGTGCCAGATGAACTGGCCACCATCTCCGCTGAAGAGCTCATAGTAGGTTTCGTACCATTGCGTCAACGCTGCCAGCCTCGGCCCTGGGAACTTGGCGAGCGGGCTGAAGTACAGACGGTATATAGCCAGAGAAACCAGATACGCGACTATACCGACGAGCCCGATAGTGCCATAAAAAGCGGCAGGGGAGTGAAACTCGGGTGTTGATAGGAGACTCATTGCATCTGATGATTATCTCTTGAGAAGAATTGTGCGATAACGATAGAGCAAGCGTCTGCGGTTGGCGAGATCGGCGAGAGGGCAGAAAAGGATAGTAACTATCGAACGTGTTATGGCTAGGTCACACTTAACAGACGGGTCATTCCTGGATAATGTCTTGTCGCAATATATTCCTGTGCTGGGTTGGTTTCTTGTCCAGTCGATTCTCATTAGAAAGCGGTCAATTTCTTCTTCTTTGTTGCGGGTAGATAGTCTTCCGGGCGTCAGCATCAGGCCACACGCAATCCAAGTAGGCCGGTCGGGGTATTTTCTTGTCAGTCTTACTTTGCACAACGAACCTTTTGGTGTTCCTATGTCAGTCATGCCGGGGAATAATGATCTTGGCCGTGTCTTAGTCATTTTGCAACTCTGTTGGGCGCTCCTTGTCTTAATCCACCCAGCCATATTCTTCCTCTATTTCAACTGAAGTAACGAAAATCTCAAGTTGATATCCACAGGGTTGAATTCAAATGCCCATTCAATCCAGCAATGAGATTCGTATCCAAAGTTGCCGGACCAGCCTCAATCGCGGGCCTAGCAATTGCGGCCGCCGTCCTACTGGCACCAAATCTCTCCCGCTGGAACCGCCCATTCTGCACATGTACTGATGGCGACAGCTGTTGGCCATCCGAGTCGCAATGGCAAAGTCTCAATGCCTCTGTGAGCGGTCGTCTCATTGCTCCTGTTCCTCCGGCATCTGTCTGCCACGAACCAAACTACGACGAAGCCAAGTGCGCTGCTATTCGTGAGGAATGGGTCTGGCCAGAGATTCAGTAAGCTGACTTGACACCCGAGAGATGTCTTGTTCGAATATTTCAGTCTGACAGGGAGCTGTAGCGAATCTTGGCCGGGCGGCATCCAGAGCCCCTACTGGCAGAACTCCAGCTGCGACCCGTTCAGTCCCGCAGATACCCCTTGTACGTTGGGACATAGTGTCTCTTACGCCATCAACGTAACGAATGCAGAAGATGTGGTGCAAGGGCTTTCGTTCGCACGCCAGCACTCCCTCCGACTGACCATCAAGAACACTGGACATGAGTGCGTATCAAACCACACCGAAGTTGACAAGTCGAGATGAGAATGTTGGAACACTTGCTGATCTACGCTGCTAGTTACATGGGGAAGTCTACCGGAAAGGGAGCGCTCGCCCTCTGGACAAGTAGCTTGCATTCGATAGAAGTGCTAGATTTTGCAAGCGAGGGATACAGCGGTCCCGCCATCCACATGGGCGCAGGCGTACGTGGGCTTGAGGCTTACACGGCTGCCGCCAGCCACGGTCTGCGCGTGGTCGGAGGCTTCTGCCCGACAGTCGGTGTCGCTGGTGGTTATACCCAAGGTGGAGGTCATGGTCCTTTGAGCTCACAATACGGCCTCGGGGCCGATCAAGTCCTTGAGTGGGAAGTCATCACGCCTTCCGGAGAACACGTCGTAGCGACGCCTCAGCAGTACTCTGACCTGTACTGGGCTTTGAGCGGAGGCGGACCTGGTACCTACGCAGTTGTGCTCTCGCTAACGGTGAGAGCATACCCTGACGGTTCCATCGGAGGCGCGACTCTGGCATTCTCTACCGCCGGGGTGGAGAAAGATGACTTCTGGAACTTTTTCAAGAGCTGGCAAGACCTTCTCCCTAGCCTCACTGCTGCTGGTGGAACAGCTGGATATGCCGTTACTAAGGACGCCTTCTTCATCGCGCCTATCACCCTCCCCAGGTGGACCAAGGAGCAGGTTTCCGGGTTGATAAGCCCGCTGGTCGAAAGACTCGATGAGCTGGGGATAATGTACATGCTCGAAGTGACATCAACACTCACATTCTTGGACCATTATCGCAAGCACGGTGGCCCCCTACCCCGAGGTCCGTACACGATTCACCACCTCTTCGGCGGCAGGATGATTCCGCGCTCCACTGTGGAAGAGAATAGCACCGCTCTTGTTGGGGCCATTCGCAGCATTCTCGAAGACACGGATGCTTTTCTGGGCTTTGTTGCTCTAGATGTGGGTCAAAAGTCTTCACGAAAAGCCGCGGCAGATAATGCTGTGCTACCAGCCTGGCGGGACACTTTAGTCACAGTGCTCGCGCAGTCGACGTGGAACTTTAGTGCGCCTAGAGCGGACGGTCAACGACGCGCAGACGAAATCACCAACGTGGTTGTGCCGAAGCTGAGACATCTCACGCTTGGGTCCGGGACGTATATGAATGAGGGGGACTTTCAGCTAAAGACCTGGAAGAAGGACTTTTACGGGGCGAACTACCCGAGACTGCGGGCTATCAAGTCCAAATACGACCCTGAGGGTCTTCTCTTTGGACTGACCGGAGTTGGAAGCGATGCATGGTCTGTCGACGAGGAGAACAGGCTGTGTAAAGGATGGGCTGATGGGCTCAGGTCGACTGCCCTCGTACATGCCGCCATGTTGAGGTCTTGGGCTGCGCTGAAAGCTCGGACAGGACAGGCACAACAGCTTGCATGCGGGTACTTTCAGATTTCCTCCTCGGTACTTTCGTAGCAGTAGATCAAGGCATCGGTTCACTGATTCTCAGGGGAGCCATTATTGGTTGAACGTCCTATGGCGACGGGTCGATTCGACTGGAACATTACCGTACGCGTACTGCGACGACCTTCGGGGACTTATCCTGGGGCACAGCGCTTACACCCGACAACTGGAAACCACCCGGGCATTTATGTACACGACACACGTACCATGAGGTGCGATAATTAAAACAAATGCTCAAACATATTGGTATCGTGATACTGTACATCGTCCAACCTTATCCACAGGTTTGCTTGATACCGAACAATGACCATGTCCCTGCAGTCCGGCGCCCGGACCTCCGAATCCGTTCTGGTTCCCACTTTATCATCGGTGCCGGGTGCCCCACAGATCCCGGCTGAGACTCAGCCCCGAAGAAACGCCAAGCTCTCCGGAAGACCCGGGTTATTGTCGCAGCCCAACCATCAGATACAGACAATTTATGACATCGTAAATTGGGCGGCGGAGACATACGAAGACAAGCCAGCTTTGGGAGCACGAGCACCTGGTGCTGGTAATGCAAATGCGGTAAAGAAATCGCTGAGAAATTCTCCGGTTGGTTACTTGCCCCGCCGGATTCTTATTTAACGGGACTTGGCTCAGCGAGAAGTATTAGTACACCTACACTTCATACCGAGATTATCGAAAACTGGTTCATGAAGTTGGGTCTGGTTTCCGGGCGGTAGGTCTACAAGAGATTGACATGATCCTCGTGTACGCAGCAACGAGGCAAGTATCCGTTTGGGACTCTTCCCCATATCCCGATGCTGACAAACATTTGTAAGCCCACAATGGCTATCAATCGCCCATGGTGCATCTTCACAGTCCATGGTATTCGTGACAGCCTACGAAGCTCTTGGTCTTGCTGGCCTCGAGCATTCTCTAGAGTCCACGGGCGCCAAAGCCATCTTTGTGGATCACCATCTCTGTCCGAAGGTCACTTCTGCACTGACAACCAAAGCTCTACCGCGCGTTGAGGTTATAGTCTATAACGACCAGCCGGTTGATACACGTGAGTCAGGCGCTGAGTGGATCAACGGCTTACTAGAACTCAAGAAGACTCGTCCCGGACTCCAGGTACTGAGCTTTAGCAAGCTATGCGTGGCCGGCCGGAGCAAGATGAGCGAGCCTGTTCCACCTCGTAGAGAGGATTTGTGCGCCATCTACTATACTTCTGGATCTACGGGGATACCGAAAGGAGTTCCGGTGAAGCACAAGGCTATTGTAGCGGCGGGTAAGTTACCCCTGACTTCGCCACGACACCTGATATTTTCCCCTTGGCATACCATTGATACCAATTTGGCCGACCAATAGTTACTGGCCTTGACTCCGTTATCGGTGACTACCTCTCACCAACCGATTCTTTCCTTGCGTACCTACCCCTAGCTCATGTCCTCGAATTCGCCTTCGAAAATAGCTGTCTCGTTTGGGGCGTAAAAATGGGCTATGGTGGCGCCCGTACGCTATTCGACCACGCCGCCCCATCCGGCAAACTCGAAATGGGGGATTTGCGCGCATTCCAGCCCACCTTTATGATCGGTGTACCTGCCATCTGGGAAAGAGTCAGAAAGGCGATTTTGACCAGCATCAACATTGCCAGCTTAGTTGACAGAGTCACCTTCTGGACGTGGCTGAAGGCCAAAGAGCTATGGTCCGCAACCGGATTGCCGGGGACAGGTGGCTTCAACTGCGTCATATCTTCCGCAGCCGGCAAAGTCGTCGGGTCTAGGCTGCGGTTCGCCATGTCGGGCGGTGGACCCGTGGCAGACAGCACGCAGCATTTCTTGACCATGGTGATGGCGCCGTTGATCAGCGGGTATGGGCTGACCGAGACCATGGCGTAAGTTGAAGCAATCTTCAATCCTAATTTCCAGGCTGAACCCAATCTGACGTCTTGGTGATCATCAGCATGGGCGGCCTCATGGATCCGGGGCAATGGCGGCCAGGGTCTATGTGCATACCAGCGAGCATAGAAATGAAACTGGTCGACTACCCCGAGGCAGGCTACTTCACCAGGAATAACCCTACGCAAGGAGAGATTTGGATACGGGGCGATAGCGTTATGGAAGGATACTATGACAACCAGGAAGAATCCAAGAGTGCCATCGCGCCTGGCGGTTGGCTTCGCACTGGCGACATTGGGCAGTGGGAGCCCACATGCAGCGGCGACGACATCCACTTCAGGATCATTGACAGGAAGAAGAACCTCGTCAAAACACTTAATGGGGAGTACATCGCACTTGAAAAGGTAAGATCTCGCATTGCAATGCTCATTTCTCCACGGAAGATATGCATGCTGACGAAAAATCACGCGTTCCAGCTGGAGTCAATCTACCGCTCTGCAACGTTCGTAGCCAATATCTGCATTCATGCATCTCCCAACCGCGCAAAGCCTTTGGCTATTGTCATTCCGTCACCGCCAGCTCTAAAGGAGTTGGCTACAAGACATGGACTGGATCCAAGCGCGGAATTATCAGTGCTTACGCAATACTCAGGTGTTGTTAGAGACACTCTCCAGCAGTTGCAGCAAATCGCGAAGGAGGCTGGCCTCGCCTCAATCGAGGTGGTTGAGTCGGTTGTCCTTGTCGACGATCAAGAGTGGACTCCGCAAAATGTGAGTGCCGTCATTTAGATTTTGAGACCTGTATCAAAGTAATGCGAGGCTGATGTTGACCCTAGGGCTTGACAACGGCCGTTGGGAAGCTAAACCGACGAGAAATCGTGAATCGCTATCAGGGGATCATTGATCGCGTCAACAGTGACTGACAGCTGACGGTAGTTTGCTGAAAGGCGATGAAACAAGCCGATAGTGAAGTCGAGAATTGTGAATCAGCTGCTAAATAATGCCCTCAGCACCCCGTTGACAGCTTATGGCAGTTGCGCAACAACGCTCGCGCTGCGACTTGTTTCTTGGGAGAGTCAGTGAAAGAAATTATTATTTGGTCAATGAGAATGTTCGTTCGGGGAGAAATTACTGAATTCGAGTTATTGAAAGGCTTGGGCCCGCGTTGTTGGAGGGCAATTGCACTAGCGGCCTGACTCAACAGCATTATTCCTAGGGCCAATAACTACCTTACTTACCTTATACTTTTCAAATTACTCGCTTGTAGTCATCATTCACACTGAAAGAACTATGAGACCGAGTTCCGAAAACTAGAATTGGCGTATATTTTTGACTTAGGCCTAAGCAATAACAAACGATGCAGAACAAATGCAGATTTTAAACCTTCCTGGTTGTATCACAAGTCAACTGAGACGACCAAATGCTTGAATAAAACTCTACTCTTGCCCTGCCAACTGACTCGTCGTCCGGATGAGCTAGTCAGTGTCCCAGTGTGCCGGTTCACCAGTGACGGCCGAGTTCGTCTTGAGTCCTTGACAATCCCACAGGAGTGCGCGATAACCAGGTTCTTTTAGATACAGACCGGGACTATAGGATACAAAATAGGCCAATTGACCACTCTTTGCTGCTATGCTTTTATGACTAGGGATCTGTCGTATGGTCACAATATGGGCATCGAGATGTGAAGTAGAGAACGGTTGTCTAAGTTATTGGAAGTAGGAAATAGCAACGAGGCTCGCGCTGAAATAGGCAGTGCGAGCGGGTGTGGGTCTCGGTGATTATGTAACCGAGGTCACGTGACGGGTGGTGAGGTCACGGATAGTTGAAGCCATCACGACAAGATCCTTGGCCGGCACTTTCCAAGACTTCAACCGTGCGCTGTATCACATTTGTGTCAGCTGACCACAACATCCCGCAAGTCTGGCCACGGAGAACTTAACAGACGTTTGAAGGCCCGCCTGCCAAGTATTAGTTGACTGCTACTATATTGTCCCCTTACTATGCATAGGGCGTGATCGGAAACTTGGATAACTTTCAAAGGCCAGTTGGATAACGCGACTTGGATAAGAAATGAATCCTAAAAATGAATAAATGCTGCGCTAGGCCTTTTTGAGGTACATTTTCTATGTCCTGAGTTCGCCTCTGCATGAACTCAAAGTTATGCCATATTGTTACGCCCGCCGCAACTTGTCACTGTGGGCGCGTAGCTATATAATGCAGAACAAGGGAAAATGATGCGGAGTCATCATTATCGAAGCTTTTGCTTTGTGCCACAGTTGGTTGCCTTGTCCTGCTCGTAACAATTAAGATATTAATATTTATTTCTTATATTATAACTAACATGAATGATAAGCGAGTGAGACAGACAAGTGAGTGAGACACAAAACTGCGCCGATGAGATAAACTGGCTTCCATATCAACATCAACAGCATCAATTCAATTCAAACTACTCATAATCCTCATCTTCAGACATCTCTTCAATAAACTGGCACGTTCGTGAATTGTGTCCCGGGTGACCACAAACGCCACACCGTCGCTGACCTGTCTCGGCCCTCAGTTTGCGACCACTAGTACGACGCATTTCCTCCTGAACCTGCGCAGTCACATCTTTCTGTGACTGTATATCTGCTGCGTCAGCTACAGTAAGACTTCCTCCATGTTGTAGGCGTGTTTTCTTAGTTCTCCGTCGTCGACTGAGTTGGTTATTCTCGTCTCTAAGAATCTGTACCTCAGATCTAAGTAAGGCTACTTGGTGCATGATGCCTCTTGTACCTTTAGAAAGTCGTTCAACAGCCTCGCAAATAGAGGTTGGGGAGCTGCTTTGGTGACGAGTGATCCGACTCTTAATAAAGTTGGATTGAGAGCTTGCCTCTACTGGGTTGTTTGGTGTCCTTGAAACCCAAGGCGGAGGTGTCTGTGGTAGTGATGCTGGAGGCGTTGGAGTGTGTAGCCGGATGTCCAGCTTTGATAGGACGCTTTCTGCACTCAGAGGAACAAGCCCAGCTCCTCTAAAACCCCCTTGGATGTTTTTTTCAGTCATCGCTTGACTAAATGCGCTGCGATATGCAGGAAAGAAGTCCTCCTTTGAGATGTGGGTTACGCCCCGCCGCATCTTATCCTCAATTTGTTGCCCATACGCCGTCTTTAGCGGACCAAAACACCCAACGTCAAGGGGCTGGAGTAGATGAGGCGAATGAGGCGGCATACAAAGTGTAACGATCTTGTTTGCCTTGCAATATAGCTCAAAGTCTGTTGAGTGGTGACTTTCGTGCCCGTCGACGACGAGGAGGCGATATTGGCCTCTCAAACGTGGTTTCGTATGACGATCATAGTGCTGGATCCAATCTAGGCCTCTTTCATTTGTTGTCCATCCGTTTTCTGACGTCGCAATGACCCAGTCGTCCGGGAAACCTGACTCTGTATACCAGGTTGAGAGGTGATATTGGCCTGCAACGATGATGTACGGCGGGACGTTATAGCCTTGCGAGTTGATGGCTTGAATCACTGTAACCCATTCTCGATTACCAGGCTGCGCAATTTTTGTGTTTGAACGCCTTTCAGTACTTGTGACAACCATGCCAGATGCAATCTGGCCCATCATAAAGCCAGTCTCATCAAAGTTGTAGATATCAAACTCATCGATACCATACTTCGCGATTGTGTTCTTCACAAGAGCGAACCAGCCGCGAATAGCCTCTGCATCCTCGCATTGGGCCCTCTTGTAGTCGTACCTCCGAAAAAACCGCGTCCGCAATTGTGGTTGTCGTTTGACGAAGTTTAAGGCCCAGCGCTTCCCAACCGGAGGCGCGTCGCGATCAGCAAGCAGTCGATCAGCCATTTCTTCCACACCACGGATCCGGGGAGGGAATGATCGGGCATCTAGATCGAGAATGTGATCAACTAACGTCTGCTCTTCTAGCAAAGTAAGATTCCTCGAGTTCGGTATCCTGTCGCTTCGAGATGTAGAGCCCTTCAATCGTCGACTCAATGTTGCATGGCTGACCGAGTAGATCGTAGCTGCAGCCCGTGCACTAAGCTCTGGATTGATTCTGATAGCTTGAAGGGCCAGCTGTATGCCTGACTCATTACTTCTGGATGCCATGATGTGTTGTGGAAGAAACATCTCCATTTGTGTTGAAGCATCATCGGCGCAGTTTTGTGTCTCACTCGCTTATCATTCACGTTAGTTAGAGTAACTAGTTAACTATAGAATAATTATCAATACAATCGATTCTCCAATTATCCTAACTCGTACCTCAACTTATTTACTTTTTCCCTTTTTGCCTACCTCTAACCTCTTAGTATAGTTATAGTATAATATGCCCGGACTCGGCGGTATGCTGCGGTAGAATAGTAGCTCTAGTAAAGCTGGACATCTTGACCGGCTCCGGCCTGTAGCATGACCGAATGTAATAATCTAATGTAATAATCGGTTATTACAGGTCGCGGTCGGACAGCTTCCCAGCAGAGGGGTGTGCGTGCGGCTCCTGCAAGGCCGGAGATCTCAACCGGGCTCCAGCCCGTGACAGCTGGGCACCGCTGGGGTACTGGTTGAGGGTTTAGGGACGTCCTGATGCATTCTGATATGGTGAACCTTCGTTTTTTCTTCGATTGGCGGGGATCCTAGCGTCCATTTAAGAATCTCGTCTCACGAAGGAAATGCGTATGTTTGTGGGGTAGCGTCATGTTCGGTTGTTTTTTAGATTTTGGAATCTAGTGTGCGGAAATGTTCAAGCTGCGTCAGTGAGGATCTAAGCGCCGAATAGCCGGCGGGACCGGGCAGTGCCGGTCCAGAAGCGCCGGCCGGCCACTTCTGCGCGCTTACAACACCGCAAGTTTCCGCACAGCGCCGGATTTCAAATCATGGGGGGTATGTAAATTAGCGCTGCAGATGCCGGCTTTGCTATTTACCTGGCAGCTAAAAGTCTACGTCCATATGAGTGCAAGTCAAAAACTAGCAGCAGGAGCAATCAGTGTCAGTCCGACTGCTAGTAACGTGGAATACGATCTCTGCCGTTACCGTCAGAATGGCGAGGCGTTAGTCGCTTGACTGGTAGCACCCCTGGAGGCGACACCCTCCTACTGGTAACATGGCTGGCTCCTGAGACCCTGTGCTAGTGACCAGGCGGTTTCCGGACCCTAGGGTGGTGAGGTGCCATTCCCGGTAAGGTAGGCGGTGCTTAAGATCGTGTGCTGGTGACTTCGCAATTTTTGAAATACAAGCCACAGAGGGGTAGTGCCCAGTAAGACGGCCGGCTTCCAAAGCCCGTTGCCAGTAACCTTAAGGCTCTATGTCTCTGGGCCACAGTGCATCTTAGCGCTCTTACCACTAAGAACGGCTGTTCCCAGACCCCTCTGTTATCACTTCAATTAGAGGAATTCCATGCGCTGTAATCTTTTCTTCACTGGATCGAATGCCAGCCATGACACAGTCGGTCTCTGCCCGCTCTACTGGTAGCAGCCTATCCCAGCTGCAGCGACCCATTAGCAACCACAGGTCTGCTTTGATGAACTCGTCCTGACCGGTAAAGCGACTGAACTGCTGGCCTGCTGATGTATTCGCGTAACCTAGCTGCGCAGTGCGCTCCCTCATCGAGCAATCGACAACTGCGACCTACAAAACCAGGTCGGGCTTCGGAGCCACACACCGAGTTACGTCTTGCACATTTCCGAAGGTAGCTTCTGGACCAGCTGTCCTGGGCTTGCGCCAATAGCAGAATGGAAGTGGAGTTCACACCCTGATGTGATCACTGATTCAGCTTTCAAACCCAGGAACCTAAAAAGAAGGTTGAAAAAAGAGGTGGCAGGTAGGGTATGTGGTGTTGGTGGAGGTGGTGGTTGGTGTGCGTCGCTTAGCCATCCGGGTGTGCTGATATCACTGACGGGCTGACCGGTTCGGTACGTGCGAACTTTGTTCCGTAGCTCAGGACCCTCGTCGTCTGTTGGAGATGGTGGCATACCTCAACACTATGAGGTTGAGCGGCCATAGCTAAGGTCTCTGAGGGCCGGATTAGTAGTTGGGTCGGTGACGACTAGCGAATGCCTGGTGTTGTATGTTTTTTGAAGTTTTGTTGTTCTTGAATGCTTCATCGCTTGGGGAGATCTCACTGCTCCTATAAGTTGAAAGGAATAAGAAAAGAGACTCCCTCCGAAGATACTCTTATATACCCGGGATCTTAGTGTTATTACTAATTTTATACAACATAATACTGCTTTTAACCTAGGTAAATCTGATAGTACTAGGAAGGGTCGCTGTGTGACATTTTTGAGGGGAGATGTGCCCTATCAAAAGGCTTCATATTGAAGTATCTAGTACATTAGGAATATCACGTATCTAAAGCATTGCTCCCCCTGAACAGAGGACGTGTTGCATAGAGACCGGAAGACAGAGAAGCGGACTTCAATACCCCGTTACTCCTGATGGCTTCTCCTCGCTGCTCGGGTTTGCCGGGTCCACATTGTCCTGGTTGCCCAACTTAATAGCCGACCCCTCTATTCTGATCCACTCGATTCCGAAGGCCAGGAAAAAAGCCACACCGGCTGAGGCAACAGCAACGAACTTTCCAGCGACATGTTAGCGAACATGGAAACGCCAAGTCGGGTCATAGAGATAGGGGACTCACGTGTGTCTGAGCGATGGAAGAGTTGTACGACTCCATGATAGGGTCGAACAGCGAGGGAAAGTATTGGTCCACAATGGCTCGCACGTTTGCGATACCACTCCGGTAAAGTAGTTGTATCTGGTCGTGACTCAGCGCAGCTCCCGAGGCGAGCTGGTTCTCCAGACGCGCGTGGAAAATGGCACCGGCAATGACCTGCGCGACGGTAGCCCCGAGAAACTGGGCGAAGATGTTGAGCGAGACGCCGATGGGCAAGAGATCGGCGCGGTCCCTGAGCGCCAGTTGGACCATGAGAGATGGCATCTGCATGGAGAAGCCGACACCCAGGCCCTGGATGACCTGGAACCCGATCCATTGGCTCGATGGGGTATTGGAGACGGTGAACTGGGTGTACAGAGCGGCCGCGGTGCACATCAAGACTGGCCCGACTTAAAACCAAGGGTTGTAAAAACGGATTTTGAGGGCTGGAGAGACGAATTAGAGGCCGGAACATGGGCGAGGGTATTGAAAATGTGCGTACCAGTAGCACCTGCACAAATCGTTCCCACGATTTGTGAGATGACAGACGGCAGCACCCTTATGCCGCTCTCAAAGGGAGTAGCGCCCTGGACTACCTGGAACCACTCCGGGAGGTAGTACGATGAGACGGATAGAGCACCAAGATGGCAGAAAGAGAAGATGACACTGAGCAGGACGGTCCGTCTTGTGACCAGAACACCAGGGATCATGGCCGAGTCCCCCAAGCGCGACTCCCAGACAGCGAAGAGACCCAGCATGACGATGGATCCAACCAAAAGGCCAATAATGGTTGCTGACTTCCAAGGGTACGAATTTCCGCCCCATTGCAGGGCGAGGATCAACATGAAAATGCCGGGGGCGAAAACGAAAGACCCAACGAGATCCAAACTCAAGATTTTCTGCATGGTGGTCATGGGGCCGCCTTCTCGTGGAGGCAACTTGAAAAAGAAGAACATGGCGAGCAGGGTGACGGCGCCACCAGGTAGATTAATCCAGAAACACCAGCGCCAGGTGACCTTCTCGGTGAAGGCGCCGCCAATGATGGGGGCGAGAATCAGACCCAGGGCAAAGCAGCTGCTGCACAGGCCGATGTACAACGGCCTACGTCGGGGTGACGATATGACCAAGACGACGGTGAGACCTCCGCTGGTGACTGCAGCTGCGCCGAGACCCGAGACGGTACGGCCGACGATGAAGATTTCGCTTGTGGAGGCCCAGCCACATATGGCACTGCCGACGAGGAAGACGAAGAAAAAGCCTTGGTAAACCCAGCGGAGCGAGAACACACTGGCCATTTTGCCCGCCAGGGGGGTGAGTGAGCAGACTGCCAACGTGTAGGCTGCTGGATACCATGATATGTGTGATGTGTTCTGAAAGTCGGACGTGATGGACGGAATGACCTAGGCAAGAGCAAAGTCAGTTTTTCCCTCGAATGGGAAGAGAGAGAGAAATAAAGGAGTGAGTGTGTTGGCTGGGTGACGAACCGTTCCGATGATATAGACATCGAGAGCCATGACAAAGGCGCCGAAGCAGACGCCAATCAGAACCATATATAACTTGAAGCCGTGCAGCTCCGAGGAGGCGAGGCCGGAATGCTTGGTTTTGCCTGCGGCATATGTCGTGGACGCTGGCGCGGATTCTACCAAGCCTTCGCTCGCCTCGCCATTCATGTTTCGGCCATCTGATGGTGCTGATACTGATGCTGTTGCTGTCATCCTTGTCTTCAGCCTCCAGCTATGTTTGTGTGTGGGGGCACTTAGAAAGAAACGGGATATAGTGAAAAGAGCAGATCGAAGAGCGAAGAGTGAAAAAGCGAAAAAAAAAAAGAGGAGCGAAAAGAGCTGTAGTGATTCCGACGTCTAGAAACTTTTTGGTCGAGGCACGAAATACTGAATTATACTGGAACAATCGGTTGAAAATCACCGGTTCAGGAACGTATATAACTCATACTTGTCTGCCTGGCCACGTGCGCGGCCTGCCAGGTTGTAAGAGGCACAGCACTCCAACGTTCAACCTGCATATTGTTGGTGATTCGCCTTATTGCGGTATGTAGACTGATTGACCCGCTAATTCCGGATAATTCGCAAGTCGAATAGGATGAGTAAGAGTCAAATACAAGAGCTCGAGTTCCAGGGTAACGCCACTGCTGATGTCCTACCTATGCTTGAGTGTGCTCAAAGCCAGCAGTCAGCATGCCTTCTTCAATGATACATTTTGATTGTGGCTAAACGCTAATATCACGCGTTACATGCCTTGATCTATATGGTGCTTATAAACCATCACACAAAGAACGCCTGCTCGAAATGCGAGAAAACTGACAATGGAAACAGTAGTAATACATTGCAGGGGAGGGATATTTTGCCTAAAAGTCCCTGCTCTCTCCAATCTCACACACATCAAACACGCCCGTCGGTGGCAAGCCCTTCTTCTTCATAGCCTCCTGCAGAAGCTTGGGCGGTTCCAGCACCTCTTCCATGGTCAAGGCCCACGTTCCCCAGTGAATCCCCATGGCGCGCTGGCACCTTGTGTCCTGGAAGATCTCAACTGAATCGAACGGGTTGGCATGCATTCCCGAGAAGGCAACGCGCGGGTAATACGCGCCGATGGGGATCAGGCCGAGATCAAACGGTCCTCGGAACTCGCCAATCTGCTTAAACTGCGGGCACATGGGCAGGTGGGCGTACTTTGGGCCGTAGTCGTCAACATCGAGCGGGGTCCACGGCACGGCGCGGTATCCCGTATCACCGCCGAACCAGACCGACTTGCCGGCCGATTTGACGCCCCACGAGGCCCAGAGCGTCGTGTCCTTGTCAAAGGGCGTGCGGGCGGAGGTGTGCTGGCAGGGGAGACACGAAACCTGGGCGGTGATGGATTCGGGCGCCTCGTCGACGCCCTTGTCGATGTTGAGGGTGATTTCGGCGTCCTCCCACCAGTCGAGCTCCGTGACGTTCTTGAGGCCGGCGTTCTTGAACCAGGATTCCAGACCGAGGCCGACGAAGAAGTGGGCCTTTGGGTTGTGCTTCTGGATGGTGAGGACGGACTCGTGGGAGAGGTGGTCGTAGTGGCTGTGGCTGATGAAGACGGCGTCGACAAAGGGTATGTCGGCGAGGTCGCAGGGTTTGGGGGTGAAGCGTTTGGGGCCCATGAAGGAGAAGGGCGAGCAGCGGTCCTCGAAGACGGGGTCGAAGAGGACGCGCAGGCCGGAGGGGAATTCTACGTAGTAGCAGGCGTGGCCCAGCCATGTTGCGCGGAGCTTGTCTGAGGCGGTGCGGTTGGGCAGGAACTCTGGCTTCTTGACGGTCACGGTTGGCGGCGTGGTGTCGGGCCATTTAAGCTCACCCGTCACTTGCGGCCTGTGATGTTTGTTAGAATAAGGTAACTGAGCGGGGAGTGAGGCCGGCGCGGGGCCGGGATGGCCGGACTATGAGAATGAGTATGAGATTGATACGTACCAGAGAACATGGCGGAGCATTTTGGAAAAGCCGATGCCATCGCCAAAGGACGGGTGGACGTTCTTGAAGCCGACTCTGTTGCCGTTCTTCGTGATGTGGTGAGGCTTAGACGAGGCATCCTCGGGCGAGGGACCCAGGTCGGGGATCTTGGTGACAGTGGTTGAATATGAGGCCATTGAGAGGGCGAGCACGGAGGCTGGTGTTGCTGAAGCTTTCTTAGCACCGGGGCGTATGGGTGGTTGTTGGAAGAAAGTGCGGAAGAACTGTCTGAACTTGGACATGGTTCATCAGAGGCCCCCTTTGCTTGGAGGGGTGTGAGGGGATTCCGAGATATATAGATGGATTCGGACCTTGCTATGCAGATACAAAGAAAAAGAGAGGGAGGGATTGGAACTTTGGCAGAGACAAGCTCAAAATGGTAGCAATCCGCGCTCGCCGGCCGGGGAATTTGACTAGACGGAACGAGATCCACTCGGCGTTAGCGAGCACGATGAGCCCGGTCCGAGAGAGAGGGAGAGACTCAAGACAGGCTGCAAAGGCAAGCCACTCTTAAGATGGGCTAGGCAGTGAAAGATACGTGTGCATCACTCATTCAGCGTCCTGCGGCGAGGCTTGGTTTAAATCTGCACGTCAGATGTGCGACTGCGAGCCACAGAAATGACCTGGAGCTATCAATATCGCCGTGAAAAGTGAGCTGTTCTCCCTGGCGCAACGCGTCAAGCATCTGCGCGTCACTACATCCAAGTCAATCAATGTAAGTTGTCGTGTCTGATTGGCACGTCAGTGGAGATACCGGTTTTTAGGACAACCAAAGTTCCCTAACCCGTACTACGGGTGTGTCCGTCTCACTGACAATCCATAGAGCAGCCCTAAAGTTCAAGCCACATCACCGACTCCGACTTCCAAAGTTCCATCTCTCATCGCCAGCTTAAGGTACTTTGGGTGCGAGTGCGGGGGTAGGTAAAGTCCGGCCGTACCGTACCTTACGCATCGGGCGGCCCATCGCGGAGACACGGTGGAATGATCCCTCCGTGGTGCGGGATACCGGGCCAACGACGCTAGTCTCTTTTCGGACGGGAGCCCATTGGATCTCTTTTTCGCCGTCAAAGTCCCCTTTTGAAAATGGAGACGCCCCAGGTACCCTAGAACAGGGGAGTCAAGTACCCTAGAAGAGGTATGCGACCTGTGCCAAGTCAACTGGGAGCTGCCCCTCTATCCTGACTCACTCTGTTCATACACCACATCACATTTACGAGTTACGGTTCTTGTTGACGCATGGCAGAGTCCATGTAAGCATGCATGTAAGCAACAACGGGCTTGACGATTGGAGCAAGCGGGCATGCGGCCGCATGCGCCGCATCGCTAAATGGACAGCACTCGCATCTGACAGCCTGACTTACATGCAACTCACACTCAACGAGTAACCCGCTTTTTGATCCTTGGGAGCAATTTTGTCTTTCTTCATTGAAGTCCTCTCATCTGCAATGTGACGATCGCCTACGGACGTCCTCCCAACGCCATCTTCCTACACCGTGGCCCATGAGAAACGACCGCGGCCAGCAAGACCGAATACCCCCTTATCCTGCTCCCACTCCTGCCTCTCCATGGCCCTCAAGTATTGTGTCTTTGCCCTGCGCATGTTGACCGGGTACTTGTGTCTCATCGCCAGCAGTAGCCGGTGGCTCTCCTGCTCTTCCTCGCGTTGAGCCCAATCTTCCTGGTGACGAGTCCAATTGTGCAGACGACGAACCCACTCTTGTTCAGAGCAGGCATAGCCTTCCATCATCTCTGGTCCTCCTTCTTCTTCTTCCTCTTCTCTTTCGTCGTCGTGCACTGCTTCCGAGTTATCGGCATCGTCAGGAATTTCCATCGCTCCCCTCACAAGCTCGAGACTGAGTGGTCGCGGTTTACGAAGGGACGGAAGCGATACAGCCCTGCCTCTGCCTAGTGGCTTAACTTCAGTCGTGGTGGTATTCATCGAACCCCCCGCATCACTTGCTTTACTCTCCTCTCCTCCACGACCAACCCATCGCCGCAATTTCGCAAGATTATGCGGTATCCGCTCAAACCGAAACGTCTTGATAACGAACTGGTCTCGAAGACAATGCAGTTCCGCCTCGCAGTCCTGTACAATACCAGCGTACAAGATCCGGGTAGGTTTATACCCGCTATTCTTTGCCTTGGTCTCCATGGTACGGGCCTCTCGCAGCCAGGCATGAAGTTTGAACTTCGCGTCCCGTGGTAAGCGGTGCTCCTGGACGAGGCGATGGACGTCCCGGTACTCTGCCTCTTCGAAGCCGTCGCGCCATGTTTGCACCTTTTTGTCTAGGAGAGGGATGCTGCTTTGTCGGCGTAGTGCGAGAATGGTTGATTCCCAGACTGCTGCGTCAGGATCTGCTGGACTGTTTGGCGGGGCGAGTTGTTAGTGTTTTGTAGGCGCAAGGAAGTTCATGATGGCTGCAGCTGGTATTTTTGATATATCCTCAGATATTGGTGACTGGTTCTTGTCTTTTTGGTTGTAATAAGGGGGTTGAGAAGTAGAGGGGCGGGAAGTGTGATCTTTCATTGTCAGGAACACTTAGATCAGGGTCTCGACTCGGTTCTTATAGCGATTGCATCAACCTTTGCGTCTCGAGCCGTGGATGTCGGAGATAGTTATAGAGTTGTACCTCTCCCGCGTAAAACTCTACCGCGTAGAACGAGACGGCTGGGCCCTAACTTTCAACCTGGAAGTCTTCAACAACCAAATCAAGCCACAGAGGTGCAGACAATGTCAAAAACAGTAAACCAAGTTCAAATTCATCGAGACTGTACTGTCCCTTTCGCCGTCATTATCCGTCATCATGGTATCTGAGAAACAAGAACGAAAACAAGCCCTGGACTAAAAGTTGCGCCCGAACGGAACGCTCATCAAGAAAACCAATGGACAATCCTCGCAAAGGATGCCCATCAAGCCACCCAAAGACAAAGAACCTTGCAAAGCAGTCTCACATGTTGATATTCCGTGTGTCCTCGCCCATCTCCTCGCTGCCCAACTCTGCTTGGACCTCATCGGCCACGAAACCCTCGTAGTCGTCAAGGTTCTTTTGTACGTGAATCTTGAATTTGATGACATCGTTGAGCATACGGTCAATCTCCGTGTGCAGCTCTTCTCGCAGGGAGTTGGCACGAAGTACGAGCTGTTCGTATCTAAGGCTATAGTTAGCACTGAAGTATAAGTGAGTCCAATCAACATTGACTTACTCGATGCTCGTGTTCATCTCACGTTGTTCCATCAGCTGTACCGACTCTGACAAAGTGGCTCGCATCTTGGCAAGCTCCTTCTCCATCTTTTCGATCTGGGCATCAGATGCCATCTTCTGTGTTGTTGTAACCTATGATAGTTGTCAGTATGTGGTCTGTTAACTGGATCAAGCATAGTACGTACCTCCTTGGTCTTCTCATATTCTTCCTCGGCAGCGCGGACACGGTGCTCCAGAGCCTCAACTTCGTTGCGCTTGTCTTCGATTGCCTCCTTGATGCCATCAAGCAGGTCATGATCTTTCATCATGTTGTCCATGGCAACGGTCCTCCTTTCAGAGATCTCTTTCCTTAGCGTAAGGAAGCTGTTCTTGACCTGTCCGCGCAGATCGAGACTGAGAATGTGGGCAGCCTGGTATCCAGTAATGGGGTCAGCAAGCAATCGGTCGCTTGAAGAAACGCCACTCGAGCCCTTGAGTTGCGAAGAGCTGAAGTCCGGTCCGTCGTTGACCGTTACATGCAATTCGTAGTCCCTGCCGTTGGCGTTGACCGCGTTCGCAGGTATCAGTGCAATCTGGTACGCCAAAGTGTTGTACCTGTCCACCATTCTCTCGAGTTCGTCCAGCTTCCTGCTTGCCTCCATCTCCTTGTCCGCGACCTTCTTCTTGACATCCTCTAATCTTTGCGACGCTGATTCGATGCCCTTCTGGAGACGTTCCCGCTCGGCAGTCATGCGGTCAATATCCTGCATGCTGATGCCAAGATCGTCCACAGCCTTCTGCAGTCCTCGTCGTTCGTCCTCCACCTCTCTCAACTCCTCATTGAGCTTATCGAGCTCCTCGTGAAGGACGTTGATTCGTGTTTCGTACTTGTCGGATCTCTGCATGGCAAGCGCATTGTATTCTTCGAACTTGATCTTGTCCTCTTCCATGATCCGGAAGTGATTGTCGAGTACGGCAGGATCCGGGGTGGACTTTTCAAGATCTTCGATTTCTTGCAGTAGTCGGCCGTTCTCTGCCTCGAGCATCTCAAGCTCAGATGTATACTTGGAGTTGGACTGCTCGAAAGCGGCTGCCATCCGTTCAATATGAGGGGCGAGTGCTCGGTTTGCGTCATCGTCATCTGCGTCCTCGTCCATGGCAAGCCAGTCCCTATATGCCTTGCTCAAGAAGTCGAAAATGATACGATCGCCGGTGACGTCGAGGCCACTTTCGAGACAAGCGTCGTCGTATCGGCTGCAAGCGTAGCCATCCAGCATCTGCGCCAGCTGCATCATCCAGTGCAGCAATCCCAGGAAAGTGCTCCAATTTTGACCACCGACAGCGGCAATCTGACTCTTTGTGATGCTTCTCTCGTATGGGTACCGCAGCTGCTTCAAGATAGGCGGCACTTCTTGGTCGATGTTCTTCTGGAACTTGTGGCTCGGGTCAATTCGCCTGTACAGCCATTGGAACATGAAGTTGAAGTCCTTTTGCGTAGGGGACTTGATAATATTTTGCGATAGGGTATGCTTCATCTGCATCTCGAAGTTGTTTTGGGCAAGATAATCTAGCAGCTCCTGTCCTATCCTGGCCTGGTATGATCTGTCTCGCAGCGGGCGGGGGTCTCGAGGTACGCCAGCAGGTTGTGGTGCTTGCTGGAAGAAACTCTGGTGGCTCATGGGTCCGGCGGTTGATGTTCTTGCGCGGTAGACACTACTCCTCCTATCGTCTTGTGAAGAGCGTCCTGGCGCAGGTGTCGGCGCGAAGGACTTATCGCGCATCGATGATGTTCGCTTCACCGAGGACAGGCCAATGTCTGCCAGGTTCGTTCCAGATGATGAGCGCTGGAACATGGGCTGGCTGGGTCGTGACAATGCCAGAGATTGTCTGGAGCCGGACATGGATCGGCCATGGCTGTTCGAATAAGGCGCGCCTGCGCCGACGCCAGAGGCGGATCGTTTCATTGCTGATGCGGGTTGAGGTAGGCCGGTGTTGTAGTTGATGCCTCCTAATGTCTGCGTCATAAGTTAGTAAGAACAAACCTATCGAGGCTGTGATATCGCGACAGGCTGATGTTGAGGAAAATGCTGACTTCTCTTGGTCTGCGCACACTCCACAGGCCGGTTTCTTGCGACATGTTCGGAGGGAGCTGGACAGTGGTAGTTCTAGTGCCAAATCGCAGTCGACGGACTTGCGAAAAGACTGGCGATGCAGGCGCTAACGATTGCGAGTCGCTAGGATGGAAGTAGATTGTTGCGCGACAGATTCGAGTAAAGATGTATGGTTTGCGCGCGCGTGCATGCGTCGTGTGTAAGGAGGTGCGAGTGGGATGGCAGATGGGGTAGCAGATGCAAAAGTGTTGTTGCTCTGGAGCAAGTAAACAAATTGTTGTACCCCTCGTTCATTGGCTGCGCACTGCCCCTCTTTAAACAATGGGCGACGGGGGGGCCACAGGCTCGGTGATGCCCAACACGTGACGGCGGGCGAGGACGTCCGGACGGTACTTACTCGGCATTTCTCCGCATTAGGTAATCGCTCCAGACATTTCCCCAGCCGCTGCCCTGCGCCGAAGCCTCGGCTCAAGATCCGGCCACCCATTATTGCACGTAATCAAGGTCGCGAAGGAACCTCCGTCAATCCTTCCACCTGCACATGCCTTTTCCCTTCGCCTCTACTGCCGCAAAGCGTGTTCTTCACTGAAGGAGATCGCGGCGAGGTTGATAAGGTGACACATTGAAGATGGCGATACGAGAGGATATCGTCGCCTCAGCGGTACGGTGACCCCAGCCCCAATCTCCAAAGACGACCCGCTAACTTGTAGACAGACGCAGTGTTAGTACCGACGAACCGATGTATCGCGCGCGACCTTAGACTGACCGAACTGTAGTTCTGCAAGACCCGAGTGTTGCAAGCTCATCCATCGAGAGCCGCATGTCGTTCCTACGGACTAAGAACTTGACCCAAGAGGAAATCGATGCCGCTCTGTCTAGAGTCGGCGTCCAGGCTGCACCGGGTCCGATGCCGGTCGCTCAGCAGCAACAACAGCAACAACCGCAACAATACTACCAGCCATCATACCCTCCTCAGTACCAGGCATGGCAACCTCCACCGCCGCCCCCTAAGAGGGACTGGAGGGACTGGTTCATCATGGCAACAGTTGTTGGTGGTTTCAGCTACGGCGCATATACTCTGGCAAAGGTACGGACATCCACACCTTTAGCTCTGGGAATGTAGATGACTGACAAAGCTAGCGATACGTGGTTCCCTTGATTGCGCCGCCAACACCCGAAAAGCTCGAGCAGGACAAGAAGTCGATCGAGGAGCAGTTCGACAAGGCCTTCGGGCTTGTAGAGCAGCTGGCCAAGGACACAGAAGAACTCAAGGCTACGGAGCAAAAGCGGACCGAAAAGCTGGACACAGCTCTGGAGGACATTGAAAAGATCATGACGGAGCTGAGGAACGCCAACCAGCGACGAGAACTCGAGACACAGCGCGTCAAGGACGATGTGCAGATCCTCAAGGATTCCATCCCCAAGGCTATGAACACCCAGAAGGATCTTACCGACTCGAGACTGAAGGAGGTCAACACCGAACTCACTAGCCTCAAGACCCTGATAACACAACGCATGACTGCCGCGTCATCATCGACGCCGGCCAACGGTCTGCGAACTGGTGCGACCGCTACGCCTGCTTCTCCTGCTATGAACCGCACCGGTACCACGGGCAACGATACTTCCGCGAGCAGCACCGAGGCCGCTGCCGGCACCGATGCCAGCAAGCCTGCTAGCACGCCGACCTTCAACCGCCCTTCGCCGTTCAGCGGTGCCACGGGCGCAAAGGCCTCTATTCCGGCCTGGCAGATGGCCATGGCCAACAAGGATTCTGCGGCCTCACCAGCAGCGACGAACGGAACTGCGTCCGACAGCAACTCGCAGCAGCAGGCATCCGCTTCTTCGTAAATGGGCTAAAAAAGGGAACACAATGTACAGTATACATCTATGATTTCATTGCGTCATGAACAGGAGAGCGACGGGTGTAATTGCGCTTGTGGGTTTTTGAAAGAGTCACCTGTACAGAGTAGTAAGGTAGATATAAGCCTTGAAGCTAGGTATGTGTATGCGGCATAAAACATCCGAAAGCGACTTTGTGTGACAGTTTTCCCACGTGCAGAGCCAGAAGAAGCCCAGCCCAGCCCCGGACCGCAGCTTCAGGGGTCAGAAGGGTTGTGACTGTGACTTGTGAGGCTGGCCAGGGTTCAATTGACATGTTTTACATGGGCTGGTCGCGATCTCGGGTGTTGCCATAATTGTTCCGTAAGCGAGGAGGGTCTCGCGGGGGAGAAAAGGTTCGTTGGCGCGGTGTGCGTGTGGGTGTGCGTGTCAACGTCTCACCACGAAATGAGCCCGTCTCATTCTATTTTAGTAGGTAGGCTGCTGATGCCAGATGAGAAGCGTACCCAGACCACACGCTGTCACGCAGTCAGTTTCATAAGCACCTTGGATTACGAAAGACCATTGGCGATGTGCAGTTTGAGGGGATCCACATAGATGTCGGTCAGGCAGAAGAGAGAGTGTGAGTGTTGAGAGAATTGGTACCCGTAGAATGTGAGCCTACAGATAAAACAGCGCAGGTATCTGACGATCTTCGCAAGCCGGACTGAAATGGGGTGGCGTCGCCCGATGGTGTTGCGGGAGCGCGCCTGAACGCCCGGGGGCCCACTGCCGGAGCCGTAGGATTGGGTGCATTTCTTCTTCCATCTAAGCGACGTTAATCATCCGAGGGAAGGGGCAGAAAACTAAAAACGGAGAGGTATGAGCATGGGGTTCTAGTGTCTTGTGTGGGATGCGGTCTCTCTCTCTCTCTCTCTGTGAATCGCGCTTGATTCAGCAACGGGCGCAGATCTCACTCTAATAGTGTACCCCAACTGGAGCTTTGTGCTGCAGCAGCCCATGTCCATCTGCTTCAGCCCACAGACGATGGGTCGGATGTTTGAGAAGCAGAATGAAGAATGCAGGGCTAGGATGAGGGGTATGGTTGAGTACATACCTATCTGAACTTCTGAAAAGTACGGAGTAAAGAAGCATCTATCACTCCAAGATGCCAGCCACCTTGAAGCAGGGCGGATGGCTCCGCGCAGTAGCTTTGCGCCTTGAGGTAGCCTCAAAGTACATTGTAAGCATGTATCAGTTGTCAACCACATGGGAGGCCTTCGGAGCAAATGTCAAAGAGCGTTCGTTCTACTGTCAAACACTGACACATTCATCGTTTCCCTTCACCATCCAAGTCTTCAAAGATGATGAGTAGGGAAAAAAAGAAGGAAATCGCCCAGCTTTGGCATGCCCCCCAGCAGCAGGTATCCGTACCCAGTCTAAGGTAAGGTATCTATCTAGTCAGTAATGAGAGGTGAGGGAGAGCATTAGAGCGGGCCGAAGAACAAGCAACGAACATGTTCCACCCTTTTCCGCAACAATTTCCTCTTTCGACCGTCCTTGCGGAGCGAACAACAGCAATCCCCCCGGACCGCCGCTGTCGATGAAGCAAAAGCCAACGACCCTCGTCTTTTTTGCGGCTTGCCGTCCGTCTGGTCTTTGACTCTTTTTCCAGCAACGGTAATACTCAAACATAACGCCTGCCAGGCTCATCCCCGCCACTGCATCTGCCATCTCAATCAACAACCTCTCCACGCTTCCCCCCCAAAGGACAGGCTGAAGCTAAAGCCTACCTTACCGTGCTGTACAGAAGTTACCAAACAGTCGATTCAGACTCTCTTTTTCATCTACCGACCACTCACGGCTTCTGGAACCCTTCGCATTGCGCCGGGCCTCCTCGTGATTGTCGTCCTGCGCGCCACTCATGTTCAATCTTCGCCCTCCTTCGGCCCCTCGGCCTCTTCTAACCCTCCACTTCCCTCCCATCCATCCATCATCGCTGTGCCCCGGGGCCCCAATGGATCAAGAATTTGGAGTGACCATGAGGTTGTTTCCCAATATGGCGGACCTCCCTCTCTACGAATACAACACCAGTAGCCTTTGGCACATGATGCAAGGGTTAAAGCGGGAAGCTAACGGCGTGAGGTAAAACTTGCCTTAGACCGCGCATTCGTTTGATGGCCACAAGCGATTAGTCGAGGGGAAATCCCACCAGCCGAGACACTTTTTTTTTTTTTTTTTTTTTTTTTTTTTGCTAATCGACATGTCATCGATTTGTCTGCCATTGACCTGAGGTAATTCGCCTTCGTTGCCAACGAAGCACCCCAGTCTCGTTGGCTTTCTTTTATTTTTCAATACTGTTCCTAGTTTCTTACTTTGGCTTATGTCGCGGGCACCTGCGGGCTACCATCTAATACCGTTACATTGGTTTTCTTCTCCATTCTGGTTCTTCCTATCTTCTCTCAGTAGATTGCAAACACGTTCCCGCTTTCCCCACAACAGCAGCTATTCCCATCCACACCGCAGACACGTACACACTCCACGGCAAGCTTTCTCAGCTTTACCCTGTCTGCTCTTCGACCTTGGTACCCTGTTCCCAGAGGCTAGATACCTCTTTCCCAAGGGACCGCCGATCCGTCGGTGAGGTCTGCGTGTGAGTGTGAGTGGCTCCGAACCTGATGTCCAGGGGGTCCCGCAACCAATTCCCTCCTCATCTGAACATCCTGTCGACCCCTAGCCCTTGACCGTTGCGACCTTCTATCGACGGATTGCAGCCTTCTTTTGCTGGCGTAGCGTGTGTTGTTCCTGGTGTTTCAACCACGTCAGGCATAGTACCGTCTTGGCCTCGACCTTCCACTTGCGTCTTGATTCTATCCTTCTTATATATCCCTTGCCTAGGCCGTCGTCTGCCCGCCATTTCCTCCCTTTTTAGCCATGTCCCGCTCATCCTTCGACTATCCGAACCCTCTCAATATGGACCCTGCCCAGTTCAAGTTGCTGTTGTCGTTGCTGCCCAAGGTGCCTTTGATAACGAGGGTGGCACTGCTTCATGTTCTGCGCTTGTCGAAGTCGTCTCAGTACCTAGATCTGCGGAGCGATCTCATCATCTCAGTGATACGTTCATACCTCCAGCCAGCCAAGTTGCGCTCCATCACGTCTACACAGAAGCTCACCAACCGCGATAGCGGCGTCAAGGGGAGAATATGGGTTGCCACATACGCTAGCCCCGTACCGCCAGAAACCGACGTGCGCGATGCCCTCATCGGAATTATACAGTCAACCAGGGGCCCGGATACGCCAGAACTCAAGCTGCGGCTGCCGGATATCGTGCCAGTGGAGGCCGAGTGGACGGGCTACCGTGCCGGTGCGACGGAAGAGGAGCGGCCGCCCGCGATCGGGGAGAAGGACAAGTTTGAAAAGCTACAGAAGGAGATCACCAGCCCCCTGACGGTGCTGTACCTTCACGGAGGAGCCTACTATCTCTGCGACCCGGCGACTCACCGACCAGCTACGAAGAAGATTGCCAAGTTGACCGGAGGCCGTGTATACTCGGTCCGGTACCGCTTGGCTCCGCAGAACCCTTTCCCGTCGGCTCTATTAGACGCTTTGGTTTCCTACTTGACTCTGCTATACCCTCCACCCGATGCTTACCACCAAGCGGTCGACCCGAAACACATTGTGGTTGCCGGAGACAGGTGAGAAAGTCTCCAGTGTCAGGATGTGAATGTGGTTTGCTAACCAAAAACGCTATAGTGCCGGGGGAAACCTGAGTCTATCTCTGCTACAACTCCTCCTCGAGCTGCACAGACAAAATCGAAAGATCCGCTGGCTGGGCGAAGAGAGAGACATCCCCCTACCCGCAGGACTCGCACTCAACTCACCATGGATGGACATCACGCAAAGCTCGCCCAGCTGGGACGCCAACGGAGAATTCGACTACCTCCCAACAGGCGAAGTCTACGCAAAGTACCAACCGCCCCCCTGCGACGCCTGGCCCGCGAAACCGCCCCGGACAAACATGTACGCCGACGACGACCTCCTCGCCCACCCCCTGGTGACGCTCCTGATGAGCCGCAGCTGGGCCGGGGCGCCTCCCGTGTACATGTGTACCGGGTGGGAGCTGCTGGCGGACGAGGACAAGTACATGGCGCGCAAGCTGCACCAGGACGGCGTGCCTGTCGTTTTCGAGGAGTACGAGGGGATGCCGCACTGCTTCGCGCTGATTCTGACAAAGATACCCAATGCGCAGCGGTGCTTTGAGGGGTGGACCAACTTTATGAAGAGGGCTGTGACGAACCCGGAGACGATCGATTCCAGGGCGACGACGATCAAGTCCAAGACGCTGCAGGAAGAGGTTCTCGACTTTGAGTCGTTGAGTGCCGTGAGCGCTGAGGACGTGCAGAAGAGGGTGCTCGCTAAGAAGGAGACGACATTGGCGGCTGCGCCAGAGACTACGGCGAAACTCTAGATCCTATCCCGCCGGGATGAAGGGGGTGCGGAAAGGGTCGCGTCGTCGATGGCTGATGATGAGCTTTACGGCTTTTTTTTTTCGATGAACAGGGGGAGAGATTATTAATGATTTTGCACATTCAACATCAGACCATGTAATTATTTGAACGCCTCATGAGAAAAAGGAATGATAGTAGGGCGAGCAATTGCACAAAACCGAACAAGGTAGCTTCGCAGCCAGAAAATGGGACTTGAGAGTGTGAGTGTGTGTACTTACCCTTGGTTGCTGGGATCATCTCGTTGAATAAGCAGCGGACGGATCTCTAAAGCCAAGAAGAGCATTCTTGTCCGCCCCGTTCTAAGTGCCAACATTTCATATGCTTTCTTAGCCAACGAAACGTGTATCACGAATACGGAGGTTTACTGTGCGCCGATCCACCCGTTCGTGACGACTGAAGAGTTGGGAAATGCCCGGGCGTGTTGCAGTGCAGCAAGGTGAGATGGCGGATTTGGTAAAGATCTCTCACGCACACCATGTTTGTTTGCTGTATCGGCATCGGGCCGTAGTTCGGCGTGTCACCTCTCATCTTTGATGGAAGTTTTCCGAAGATGCAGGGGCTCCCGTGTCCAGCGATCTGAGTACAACGAACGTGAACTGATGGCTGGTGACCCTGGAAGTCATTCTCTCACGTACTAATGGCCCACGGGTGGCTAGAAGTTGCAGATTGCAGGCTGGTTTCTGAGAATGTAAAGTAGGAGATGGTTGAGGTTGGAACTACCCCTGCATCGAAGAGCTCCGGGTAAGGTAGCACCCCCTGTCAGAACCTTGATTAAGTACATGCGGGTGAGCTAAGGCACCTACAGCTCCAAAAACGTGGCGCTGCGGCGCCGGCGCGACGTCTGGAAAAATCTCACCTCACATCCAAATCTCATTGACGTAGCTCTCACTCACATCTCACATCTCACTCTCACCCCCGTGCTGGATGTGAACACACAAGAGATCTCACCAAGATCTCACAAAACACCCGAACAAGGAAGGGGGAAAACTCACAGCAGGGGCCGAAAAATACGCCGGAAAGCACTTCCCTACTTTCACAATGGAGCGCCACCAGAAAACCGTCTCCAAGATCGCCGCCGCGGTGCGCTCCTTCTTCGACCGCAAGGAACCCTACCGCATCTTCCACGGCTCGACAAACAGCACCCGGCCCTTCCGCCGCGACCGTGTCGTCGACATCTCGGCCCTCGGCAGTGTCCTCGAGGTCAACAAGGCCCGCCGCACCGCCCTCGTCGAGCCAAACGTCCCCATGGACCGCCTCGTCGAGGGCACCCTCCGCCACGGCCTCATCCCCCCCGTCGTCATGGAGTTCCCCGGCATCACTGCGGGCGGCGGCTACGCGGGCACCGCCGGCGAGTCCTCGAGCTTCAAGCACGGCTTCTTCGACGACACCATCAACGAGGTCGAAATGGTCCTCGCCGACGGGCAGGTCGTCCGCGCCAACCGCACCAACGAGCGCGCCGACCTGTTCCGCGGCGCCGCGGGCGCGGTCGGCACGCTCGGCGTCACCACCATGATTGAGCTGCAGCTCGTCGAGGCGAAAAAGTACGTAAAGACAACGTACCACCGCACCCACAGCGTCGCCGAGGCCGTCGAGACCGTCCAGGCCGAGACGCTCAACGCCGAAAACGACTACGTCGACGGCATCCTCTTCTCCAAGGACCACGGCGTCGTCATCACCGGCAAGCTGACGGACGAGATCCCCGCGGACCGGAAGCCGCAGACCTTCAGCGGCGCCTGGGACCCCTGGTTCTACCTGCACGTCAAAGACCGCACCCTCACCGCCGGCTCCGCCAACAGCGAAGCCGCAGTGGCGACGTCCTCATCCTCTCCGTCGTCCACCGTGGTCGACTACGTGCCCCTGGCCGAGTACCTCTTCCGCTACGACCGCGCCGGCTTCTGGGTCGGCGCCGCCGCTTTCGACTACTTCAAGTACGTCCCCTTTACGCGCTTCACCCGCTGGTTCCTCGACGACTTCTTGCACACGCGCATGCTCTACCGCGCCCTCCACGGCAGCGGCGAGTCAGCCCGCTTCGTCGTCCAGGACCTCGCCCTCCCCTACAAGAACGCCGAGCGCTTCGTCGACTACACGGCCGAGAACTTTGACATCTGGCCGCTGTGGCTCTGCCCGCTGAAGCAGACCGCCCCGCCGACGTTCCACCCGCACACGGGCGAGGTCGAGACTCTGCCAGCAGCCGAAGGTAGCAGCAGCAGCAGCAGCAGCACGGTAACGGCCCCCAAACCGATGCTCAACATCGGCCTCTGGGGCTGGGGCCCCTCGGACCCCGCCGAATTCGTCTCCAAGAACCGCGCCCTCGAGCACAAGCTCCGCGAGCTGGGCGGCATGAAGTGGCTGTACGCGCACACGTACTACACCGAAGACGAGTTCTGGCAGGCCTACAACAACAAGAGCTGGTACGAGGCCCTGCGCGAAAAGTACAATGCCACGACGCTGCCGACCGTATACAACAAGGTGAAAGTCGACGTCGAGGCCCGCAAGGGCGAGAAGAAGGGCTGGCGCGACGTCCTCAAGTCCAAGCCGCCCATTGGCGGTCTGTATGGTATCTATAAGGCTATTCAGAGCAAGGATTACCATTTGCACCGCCGGGCTGAGTGGAAGTGGAAGGGTGATAAATGAAGGAAATGTTAGAGTGTACGAGTAAGAAGGCGAGGTGAGGTCGCATCATACATGGACGTGACTAGTGATTCTCATGTCGGGCGTAATTCGTGTTAGAAACGGCCAAGCATATTACCCATAGAATGTCATGCGTGACATGTATTAGTAGTGTAGCATCAGTAGCATCACAGTCAACCGCAAAAGGAGGGCTTTAGCATTTTGGCATAGACAGGATTATCAGAAACGAGGTCATGGAACATGAACAGCACAAGGATCACTTTTCCCACTTGCGAGTTCAAGAGGTTAGGGCGTGATTCAATTCATTCATCTATTCTTCCAGCTTCATTCGTCCTTCAGGACGCTCAAATACGGCTATCTGGCCCGGTATATACAATGCCCCCGTTGCGAGGTGCATTCCACGCGCCATATCCTCTCTCACAACAGAATCTCCGTCTGTCGTGGCCGGCGGCGCCTCTGTATTTCCTCCTCTGATTAAACTACGTAATGCTGGCCATGCTCCTTCAGTTATCATGATGTCGCAAGATCTATGCAGCCGCCTCTATTTGTTTCGTAATTCCAAGAACAAAAAAGTCATTGTCGGTTTCATGCCTTGACGCTGTAGGAACGCTGGAACTTGTCGTTGACCTTCTCCAGGTAGTATGTGCCGGGGGTGATGGTGGAGGCGTCACCCTTGGGGGAGAAGTCCTTCTGGAGGTGAGCCTGGTGGCGGAGGTCGCAGAACTGTAGTTTCATTATCAGCGGGGGTTCTCTCGTTTGCATTGTGCTTGGGGAAAGAGTTGCTTACGGCCTCGTAGGTCTCGGGGCTGAGCTTGGTGCGGGCCTCGAGTCTGGCGGGAATGTCGAGAACCTTGGCGAGAGGAGTGACGTCGCCGTTGATGCGGAAAGACAGGAAGCTGGCAGCCAGACCGGAGCCGTAGCTGAAGACGCCAACGCGCTTGTCCTTGAGGGTGGCAGCGTCAACGTAGGACAGCAAGCTGGCAATACCGCCCCAAACGCTACCGCAGTACATGTTGCCGAGGAGGGTGGCGACCTGGGCACCGGGAGCGACTCTCTCCTGGTACTTCTTCTTGGTGAGACCCATGAAGGTCTTCTCGACGACCTTGTCGGTCAGCGACTTCTCGTAGTCCATATCGCGAAGCTCGGGGGCGACCTCAGCGAAGACGGATGAGTCGGCATCGGCAAGGTAGTCGTGGTAAAGCAGACGAGCGTACGACTTGGCGACGAGCTTGCAGTTGGGGGCGTGGAAGGAGAAGTAGTCGAATCTGTCAAGGCTGGTCTTGGGGAGCTTGGACTCTCCGTTGGTGGTTCCGTTGCCGTTGGCGTGGCCGTTGGCGGCCTTGGAGAGCTTGGCCTCACGCTTGTTGTACTCACGATAGGCAGCATCCAGAGCCTTGGTGTAGCAGGTCAGGGAGTAGTGACCATCGACGTAGGGGTACTCGCTGGTGAGGTCGGGCTTGTAGAAATCGTAAACGTGGGACATGTAGGTACCACGCAGACCGGGCTCCAGAACAACGGGAGCGTTGGGGCCAACAAGCATGGCGACGGCGCCAGCGCCTCCAGTGGGGCGGGCGTTGCCCTTGGCGTAGAGGGCAATGTCACCAGCGACGACAATGGCATCACGGCCGTCCCAGGCGGAAGACTCGATCCAGTTGACAGAGTTGAGGAAGGCGTTGGTGCCTCCGTAGCAGGCGTTCACGGTGTCGACACCCTCAATGTTGGTGTTGTCGCCGAAAAGCTGCATGAGCACAGTCTTGACCGACTTGGACTTGTCCAGAAGGGTCTCAGTGCCGACCTCGAGGCGACCAATGGAGTTGGTGTCAATGTTGTACTTCTTGATCAGGTTGGAGGTAACGGTCAAGGCGAAGGAGTAGATGTCTACAAAGAGCGTGAAAGATTAGAGCAAGCAACGGCTTTGGGGAGAAGAAGGCGGAACTCACCCTCGCGGTCGTCGCAGAAGGCCATCTTGGTCTGGCCAAGGCCGATAGTGTACTTGCCGGCGCTGACGCCATCGAAGGTCTCGAGCTCGGTCTGCTCGACATACTACACGGCGGGAAGCAAACAAGTCAGTACAATGCTCTCAGAATCTTGCGAGAGCTTCAAGATGGAGCGGCTTTTTGACGCGCCCCAGCCCGGGGCGGGAGATTGAGGAGGGGTAATTCTGGCTGTGCTGGTGGGTGGATTGCGATTTCGGCGCTGAGGGGCAGAGCGCGGTTTTTCGGGTTTTTTTTTTCTCTCGCTCTCCCTCTTCCAGCAATTTGGCGGTGGTGGTGGCGCAAAAAAAAAAAGCATGGTGAGACCAACCTGGTTGGGGAAGTAGATTTCGATGGCCTTGATGCCAATGTTCTCAGGTCTGGAAGCCATTTTGGACGGCGCGATCGTACAGACTGTGATTTTGGGAGAATTGAAGTCTACGAAAAGGGTGAAGAGTTAGCCAGAAAGACTTATTTTTGAACTCCCAAACCCCCATTCACCGCCGTTTCAACGCGCCTGGCAAACAGGTCGCCAAAGGTGCCCAACGTGCAGAATCAGGACAAGGATGTTCCAGCACCAAGGAGGGGACGGGAAGAAGAGGGGGAGGGGCAGTGAACTCGGGCCCAACGCACCTATTGGTAGAGGGTGGTCGTCTTTCCGTGAAAGACCAAAGTGTGTGTTGGAGAGAGTTTGGAAGGATGAGGAGGAAGAAGAAGGAAGAATAGGTGTAGGAGGAAGAGGAGGAGGAGGGAGGAAGCTGTGAATGAGAAGAAATCAGGAGAGGGAGGCAGTGGGTAAAAAGATGTTGGGACGGAGACAAACGGGAGGCAGCAGCAGTAGTAACAGCAAGAAGAGGGTCCAGAAGTCGAGTTGGTGGAAGGGGCGTTTATCTTTTTTTTTTTCCAATTCTTCTTCTGTTTATTCCCACAGCTCTGCAGATGATAGGAGCAGACTTACGGCGGCATAGGCAAAAAAAGGTACGGGGGAGTGATTTAATATTAAATCCCCACTGACGTCGCAACACACCATACAGCCAGACCATTGACCAAGGGCGAAAACGAGCTAGGTATCCGTTGATGGGTGGGATCATAGTCATACTCATACACCACAGGACCATGGTCCATGGTCCATAGAGGGGATGTACATCCCACTACTTGTGCGACGGGACTGGACGCGCATCAACAAGTAGCAACATCCCAGACCAAGCAAAGCTGTCCGCTGTCCGGCGCCTCTACATTGGACAGGAAAGAAAGACCACCTCACTCTCCCCATCTACATGACCTTCCTTGGACAGTAACAGTAACGAGACACCCGAAAACCCCGACGAGAGAGAGCCCAGGAACGAACACCGGCGGTGGCGGGGCAGACTCGCAGTGTGCGACTTGTGTGACAACCGGTGGCTTGGGTTGGGGAAGAGGGAGTGTGCGGCCTGCGCGCGCAGCCAGTTCGGCGCAATGCCCAACCCGATCCAGGGTTCCGAAGAATTTCCCTCCGAATGAGCACATGTACTCAGTTCTTGCTTCAAGTGGTCTATGTGCTGATCTGCCTGTATAAGTCTTCAATACCGGGTCATCTACTCTGTAGTGTCCTCGACTGGATAATGTGATGATGATGTTGCCGTATTCCGAACAATTAAGATTGGAAGCGAGGACCCTTGGGGACAAGGTGAGGTACCAAGGTATCGTTGCCTTATCATGCTTATCTGGCGCTGCGCCAACGACCCTTCCTTTTCCTGCCTCCACTTCGGAGTCGGCGCATTCGCAAACTTGGCGTATTTCTCTTGACCTCGGTCTGCACTAGCACACGTTTGCCTTGGCGTCAAAGAATTGTCTTGTTTGTTTTAGCAGCGGCATGACAAGATGTAGCAAACGTTCTCTGTAAGCTAAGGTAATTAGCAGCTAGCTACATACTCAAGCGAGGCGAGAGGTCAACGACAATGACATCCGGCGCCAGGGAAATTGAGACATCCGGCAATCTTCAGAAGCCAGTTGGATGGACTGTTGGGCCTGAATGAGCTGGCTGCCATGTTTCCTAGCTCGCTGAAGGTATCTGTCGTTATGGCATCACTTGAGCTGAAGCCTCAAGCAGCAACCGATATCCAACATGACGGATGAATGGAGGACCCCGGTGAGCCTGGTAAAGTAGATAAGGTTGCGACGGACCCTGCGTCCGGAATGCAGTGAGGTCGTGCAAGCACAATGCCAGACTGACAAGAAACATCCAAGAAGAAAGGGACTCGCGGTGCTGCTGAATGATTGATGGATCGAGTTGGAGGGGGACGGTGCTCTGTTGTGTGGGTGGGCAGGTAGGTACCTCGCCTTGTGTGGTGAGAAGGAAGCAGATCTATCACCACCAGCGGTACGGAGTAGGTACCTTAGTACCAAAGATGGGAAATGGCGATTCCCCTCCAAGGTGTAGCGGTACGGAGTACGGAGTACGTACCCACCTGAACATTCTCGTCTTGGCCCATTCGGAAGGCTTGGTGGGGTCAATGTACAGTCAAGCGGGGCCGAACGCCAAAAGGTACCTTATCAATCTGCCCCTCCATCGAAGGTGCCATCCAGATGGATACTTTCGTGAGGCAAGTTCGACTTGCGACAAGTACCCAGCTGTACCTTGCTCGACTCTCGCACGTTTTTTTTTTTCCCATCGGAGTGATGAAATTTTCGAACAGACGAAGAAAGTCTTCCGTTCTGCCTCTCTCTCCAGCGTTGGCTCACAGCTGGATCGCTACCTGGCCATAGCAAGACGGGCGGCATCTCGGAACGAAGCGTTTGATGCCTGTCTATCCGACTGTCGCGGCGTCGCACTTGCATGATGAACAGCTAATGTGTCTGAAAGACCATCAAAACTTGCTAAAGACAGCTTGAGCTCGCTTACACTGAGACATGGAAACGGCTCAACGTGGTGAGAGACTTTTCCCCCCCTCCAGCCCCGCGGTTTACCCCTTCCGTAGCTTGGCATCGCTTGTCTCAAGGACGGAGGTATCTGACGTAAAGCATGTGAAGCGACAAGCAAGACACAGAGAGATGCATAGATCTAGGTACTTGATAACATGGCAAGCCTTGTACTTTGCTTCTAGTGCTCCGAAGATGCTTCGTGTTCCATATATTGGGGATCCACTGGACCGGGCCGCAGACGCTTCTTGAGGCCAGCAACGCGGCAATTAGAAGCACGATGCATGCCATGGCAGGCAGACGATGTTCAAGGGTCGAATTGGTTGAACCGGCGGCACAAGCCCGCCATCTGAGGAGCGCAGCCGGCAGCTCTGAGGCGCTTATTCATTATTACGCTCATGATTTTAGTCATTGAAGCAGGAAATCAAGTTCAGAAACACGGTCGTCAACTGCGAGCGACTCAGGGTCGAACGACAGCAAGACCCATTCAGCAGGCGTTGGTTCAAGGCGCTTCAGGAAAAGTCGCGCAATTCCTGTAGCCTGTGGTTTCTTTTCGAGGAAGGGAAGCTCTGGTAGGGCAGGGCATCTTACGTCAAGGCAATTCTCGCTCGCCTCTGCCCCTCACCTCTCACTCCGTCACGGAAGGCATATCGCATGACCCCGCCAGTTGCGGAAAGATTGCGGATACTCTTGGGCTTTTTTCTGCAACGAAGGCAGCTGCAGAGAAGAATTCTTTCGCTCGGCGGCATATAGTGCACCTGGCTTTTCAGGTTCCCGAACTTCTCCAGGGCGTCGTCACTTCTTGCATAGTAGTATGAGACGCTGCGCATACCCCGAGGCGTGCGTTCAGAACTTCGGCAAGCAGCAGCTCATTTTGCCAAAATCTCTATTAGGAATAGCGTCTGCTGCTCGTTGACGATTCATCGTTTGATAACTCCATCTTAAACAACACCACGGCCTTCTCTGGCGTTGACTCGCTAAGCTTGTTCAGTCTAGCTTCATGCAAAACGGCCATGCATCCCGATATTGACATTTCAATTTGCTTTCCATCGACAGGAACTTGCCTAGTCGTACGGAGTACAACCTACACTATTCATCTAGCGGCTACGGTCGAGCACAGGCACAGGCACGGAAGAGTCTTTTTGGGAACATAAAAAGGCACAGGCACATGCGTCTGACTGCAGAACTGCAAGGGCAGCAAGCAGCTTCCCAGGCTTGCCAGGGTAGCGGAGAACTAAGAGTGACAAACAGGCCAGCCACCAAGCCACCGCATCGCACAAACTCCAAACCACACGACTTCGAGGCTTCATTCTCATCACCATGTCATTGGTGATGGTGTTCGCGTCCGTCGTGGCTGAGCCTCCCGTCCTCGCCTTGCCGACGTTGGGAGCGGCTGAAAGGCCCGGCCAACTCCGCAGAGATCAGAGACAAGCAAATAAGCTAGATAAGATTCGCAAACATTCTTTCGTGCCGCATCTCGTCAGCGACAAGCATGTCGACATTTGGACCCTTGCACAACTGGACAGTTTCGCCTCGCCAGACGCACATCGATACGTAAGAAGAAAGAGGGAATAAAAAAGAGACGTGAGATCTTTTCTGGGGATCGCATCCTTGCAGCTCATCTCTCTCCCACCAACCCCGTATTCTGAACTCCGACTGAGTGACTGATCATTGCTAGATCGCCTGTGGCCATGGTATGGCATCCCACGCTTTCGACCTCGCATCGTCGCGTCGGTCCTCCGAACGATGGCCCCTCCCGGCGGATATCCACAATGGAACCGCCTCGCGTAACGAAACGTCACAAGCAGCTGGCGGCTGGCCCGTTCTCGCAGTGTTCTATTCAGCCTCGAACTCCGAGGCTTTTAGACCGAGCGTGACAACCATCACGTCGTCCAAGGAAAAATTCTCTTTCTAACCCCTCGTTCTTCATGCCCTGCAACCCGAACCGCACCGCACCGGTCTCGCATCGGCCCTCTTGCCCAGGTTTGCTGCTTGCATGGTCCGGCCCCTCCCCTCAGTTTCCAGTTTTCTCCAGTTTGGGAACTGTCGCCAGTTTCTGCGCAGCAATCAAATGTACAGCACGGCAAGGCAAGGCATGAAGGCGCATGCTAGGCACGGACAAGGACATCTCTTCATCGTCTGAAGATCTTTCCCTTCAAACCTCTCAAATGTCCCCGTTCTATTAGCTCGGAAACCACATGCATCCAGGGCACACCCCGTCCAAGGTTTATCGAACCATTGATGATGACACTCTGCCTTGGCTAGCCTGCTCCTATGCCGCTGGGACCCCGAAGTTGCATCTTGTCCGTTCCAATAACTGCTTCCAGAAGCCTGCTGCTGCGAGGCTGCTGTCAGCAGTGGAATTTCCAGGTCCTCTGTCCCCAGACTACAGTTGATGGCCCATTACCATCATCTGCAGATATGGTCAACTTGGCATCGCAAAGTTGTCACATACGACCATACCCATTGGAAAACTCGGGATCCCGTCCGCTCTCCCATAGATAAGCCAATGAGGGCCGGATTAGTAGTTGGGTCGGTGACGACCAGCGAATACCTGGTGTTGTATGTTTTTGATTTTTGGAGTTTTGGCGATGTCACGAGAAAGCTGTTTGTTGGAAGTAAGTCTCCAGCAGCGGATGATAATGTTTTGACTTGGTCGTATACACTCACCCTGAGACAGGATTCGGAGGGGACAAGGGGGGCTCGAGCAGCCAGGCTGTGCCTCAAGAGTCTAAATAGACCAAAGTGATTAAATGACCGAGCCCACAGCTGTCAGTTGTTGATGGTAGCCAGTGCGGTGTTAGTCAAGACGCTAATATGTGTGAGGGCGTTTGTGGCTAGCTTCCGTTGCAATGTCATTTACCTTATTCAATGGCTCAAATGATTTGTTGACAATCACAATTCCATTGTATCCTTGTTTGATGGCTTATACATTTGCGTATTGTTTTCTACCAAAAGATGGACATAAAACATGCCTCTCTCTATCAACTTGGTTGAAATCAAATGAAACCCCTTTCAAGAGGTAACGCTATGACATGGGATCGCAGTTCTCCTTCCGGATCTTCCCCATCTAAGCCGGCCGCCCGGACGCCGGTCAATGCAAAAGGAAGAAGAAGAAGTACAGACGCCCAAGAGAAACAAACAAACTCCCCAAATCCTTTGCAATGCAATGGGGGCTCTCCAGCTTTCTCAAACCTCCACTGGGGTACCGTAACCCGAGTCTCGCTTTTGCGTGACATCCTCGGTCCCGTGCTCGGCCTTAGCCCCCGAGACCACCACCGGCTCCTCCGCCGTCTTCTTCTCCGGAACCTTGGCCTCGCCCGTCGCCGTCGTCAACTTAACAGGAGCCTCCGACTCCGAGCCGGAGGCAGAATCCGAGTCTGAAGAGGACGATGAATCCGAAGAAGCCGCGACCTCCTTGCTACGGCTCCGCTTACTCTTCTTCTCCGCCTTGCGCTTCTTCTCCGCGTCCTCCTTCTCCTTGGCCTCGGCCGCGCGCTTCTCCTCGGCCGCCTTGAGCTCCTTTTCCTTCTTCTCCTTGCGTGTCTCCGTCACCCACTCGGCGGCGCCCGCGACCGCCGCCGAGGCGCTGCGCTTGTGCTTCATGAGGTACCCCTGGATCTCGGCGGGACTGAACTCGTGCGCGGGGATGCGGGAGACGAAGGTTTCGGAGAGGGCTTCGATGGTGGCGACGATTTCTGCGGTGCTGGGGGCGGCTTGGGCGGCGAGCTTCTTCTTTTCGTCTTCGTCGTCGTCCGGGGTGGTGGTGGTGGTGGTGTCGCTTCTCAGTTGTTGCACAGGGGGCTGTGCGACAATGTCTTCGTCGCCCTCGAGGGGCGCGTAGATTGCGCGGAAGATGGCGCTGATGATTTCGCCGTCGGCCAGGGTGAATTTGACAATCTGGTCGACGCGGCCGGGTCGGATGAGGGCCTTGTCGAGCTTCTCGACGTGGTTGGTGGTCATGATCAGGACGCGGCCCTCCTGGCTGGCTACGCCGTCGAGGATGTTGAGAAGGCCGGACAGTGAGAGCCGGCCGCTGGTGTTTGTGGTGCCGTTGCCCGCGGTCAGCTGGCCGGGGACCATGTCGCCGCTTCCGTCCTTGGCGTCTGCGGTGGCATCGCCGGTCGCGTTGTTCTCGCGGGTGTGCGTCAGGCCGGCGGTGTCAATGTCCTCGAGGAGGACGACGCACCGCCGGGGCAGCTCGGCGAAGAGGGTGGCTAGGTTCTCCTCGTTGGCCGAGATGGAACTCAGGCTCACGATGTAGATGCGCATCTTGAAGAAGCCGGCCAGGGCGAGAGAAAGCGAGGACTTGCCGGTGCCGGGGGGGCCCGTCAGGAGGTACCCCCTGCGCCAAGGGATACCGCGGTTGGAGTACCATTTCCGGGTCACGGGGGAGAGGTAGTCGGCGACGTCGTCAACGAGCTCCTTCTTTGTCTTCTCGTTGAGGATGACGGTCGAGAAGGGCCGGGAGGTGCGAGCCATGCACCGCTGCCACGTCGGCTCCGTGGTTCCGGCGCGGGTGCTGCCGCGGTAAATCATAGTCTTTTGCGAGTCCTTTTTGAGGTACTCGGCGCGGGCCTCCTGGAGGAGCTCCTTGAGGACCCAGGGGTTGCGGCCGAAGCACGAGAGGCTAATCTCCTCGCGCTCGCTGACGACGAGGTAGGAGGCCTGCTCGCGGTTCTGGCTGCGCTTGAAGAGGAGGAGGTGGCCGCGGTACCAGAAGGAGTGGCTGCCGAAGCTGGGCGTGTAGGCGAGGGGCTTCTTCTTCTGGCCCGAGATCTCGACGAGGCCGCTGTCGGAGGAGGACTCGTCCGACTCTTCCTCTTCGTCGTCCCAGCGCCAGAGGAACCAGGATCGCGAGCTCAGGTTGGTGTTAACGACGAAGCGCCGCGAGTTCTTGGCGAATTTTTGGGCGGCGACCCAGGACATGAGGATGTTGTAGATCTCGTCGTCGGTGCGGACTTCGACTGTCGACATGAGGTGCTTTTCCACCTTTTCCCAGAGGTACTCGCTAAAGTACCGCCAGGCAAAGGTGGCGCCGCCGCAGAGGATCACTAGGGGGATGTAGACATTGAGGTCGATGCCGAGGTACTTTTGGAATGCTGTCGTGAAGACGCTGAAGCCCGGGAAGAAGAAGTCCAGCAGTGCTAGTTGGGGAGCGGGCTGTGCCGTGCTGGATGATGTGTTGATGGGGTCGGCGTAGCCGGTATCTGTCATTGTGTCCATTGTCTGTAGAAGCTGAGAAAATGAGGCCAGCTCGAGGGGAAACAATATGAGTCTATGTTATACAAACGGTCTGGTAGGGCTGATATATCTCGAAGAAGGCAAGAGGTAAGGCGGCTGAGAATGCTTCCTCTTATGGATTGTGTGGAAGAGAGACAAGGAGATGTCGTACTAGTGAAGTGTGTGAGATCTTTATGTAGTGAATGTGCAAGAAACCTGCTATTTTATATAGTCGAATTATAGATGGAGACGCACACCCATACGTTTGGGAGGCAACCACGTCAACGAGGCGTTCGTGACCCCAAGTTCGGCCAGTCAGGCAGGGGTCATCTGCAACCACACCGTGTAGTATGCGGGATAGTTTGCAGGACCGCATCACACCAATTGACACAGCCGGTCCAGTAGACTTGGGTTGTCAGCACATGAAGATGGGTCGCTGAGGCCGCCGGGTTGAGGGAAAGCAAAGCATCGTTGAGTCACTCCGGCCTGCGCTAGGACAGCGGTGAAGTAAGAATTTCGCAAGACTAAGTCCTGCTATAACCTTGGAGGGGCATTTTTTCTGGAGAACGAAGAGTAAGATCTAACGCTAAATGCTAGGCAACATTTGCTGCCTGCCGCTAATGGCTCTTGGGACTGTAAGGCTGAGTGATGAACATGGAACTCGGTCTGGGGAAAGAAGTCCAGGGCTGTTTAGGACGGCCGGAAACGAGCGGCCCAAGATATGCAATGGACATGGCCGAGCCACTCAGACTTCGAGAAGGAAATCTGGGTTAAGATACCTACGTTTGGTGTTCGATATGCAGTCATCAAAGTATGGGGACATACCAGTGGTTGAACGAGAGGTGGTCCCCATGAGCCAATTAGGTGATTGAGGGAGGGGAAAGAGTAGTAATAAGACCTGCGTCTACGACAAAATGAAGTCCCTTGTATCCTTGAAACTGATGTTAATTGGCTTGCCAAACGAGACTCTCAAAGATCCCATGCACAACATACAGATTAAAACAGGCTGTGGCGCAGGTTCTTCCAGATGCAAGGTACTGCAATATACGATATGCCAACTCAGGACAATGGCAATTACGCCATTCAGAGTACTACCTACATTGCGGCTGAGAGCAAGTGCAGTACATGATATAGATCTTGAGATGCAGGACCAAGACAATTTAGACGGGGTGCACCGTGAAGTGCGTGGGTTGAGGCCAACTGCAAAGTCTGTGTGGCTGTGGTCCAGAGAGCCCAGATGTACTCAGCCACACACTCGAGCTCAAGCTACAGCGGCTTCCCCGAATGACGCAGAAGCCGGTAGGTATCCGCACCGAGGCCGTTTTCTTCCATGTTGCCGTTAGTCCCGTCTGCCGGTACTATAATTTATCGGCAGTTTGCTTGAGATGACATCACTGTAGGCATGTCGCCGTTGTGAATACTCGTGGCGGAATTTCAAGAGACCCTGGTTTCACTTCTTTTCCGATGTGTCTGACTTCAACGGGCTTTGAAATCCCCTTAATACGAACTCTGGGTTGCTACTATTGAAGTATTACCGAATGCACATTCACCACGGAGTTGGAAAAGTAGATACCACAACCTAGAAGTAGCTTTACTGTAAACCAAGCATAAGCATTTACAGCATTGTTTCACTCATAAGAATAAACATATCGGTATCGTGATCTTATTCTCTTGTGATATCAGTAGTGAAAAAAGCAAGGTATCATAATTCATCAAGCTCTCCCTCCCCCACTTTCCTTGAAGGTCCTGTCTCTCCCTTCGAAAAAAAATGTTCTGGGTACAATTGGAGGGAAGGGGGAGCTTCGTAGTGTGTATGTGTGTGTGGGTGTTTTTGTTGTCAAACGCCAAATATCGATCGTCATCGAAGCCCAAAAAGAAAAGAGATGAACCGCCTTCCCGTTGCCCGTATGTCCGTACAATAATCGTGACCAAGTGAGAGAAAAAAGACACAGCCTCTTAGAGACTAGCAAAGGACTCAATCATCCCAATCGGCGTATTTGCCGGGGAAGTTGTTACCACCACCACCACCGCCGCCTCCGGCATTGAGGTCCACAAAAGCAGGTTCGCCGCCACCGCCTCCGAAGGCCGGCATGGGAGCCGGGTGATACCCGGCATCCATACCACCACCACTCATATCGAAGAACGCAGGCTCGTCATCGTACATGGGAAACCCAGGTCCCGGAGACATGTTCGGTGGAGGCGGAGGCGGGGGGTGGTTAAACGGAGGAGGAGGAGGTGGTTGAAACGAAGCCGGCGGCACTGTAAACCGATGCCGACCCCCACCAGAACCCCTCTGCTCCCTCCGGAGCCGACCGCTCGTCCGGCTACTAGAGCGGGACGCGATCTCGGAGATACTATCGTCCCATTTGGGACTGACCCAGGCGTACGAGATGTACGACGCGTCGCTGTACACGCTGCCGGCGCCGTCGTCGTCGTAGCCCCAGTCCTCTTCGTAGTCGCAGACTTTGGTCTTTCGCAGGGCCAATTGCTTGCCAGGGGGTGCGCCCGTCGTCCATTTCATAAACGAGACGGCCCAGTGGTCGCTCTTGATGTTGGAGTGGGATGTCGTGGACGATCTGGACTTTTTGGAACCGCCTGAGCTGGAGGATGATCGGGAGGACG